ACTTTGTATATCAAAGCCTCCAGTACAGAGTTGTTCTAAGTACAGCCCTTCCCCAGAGATCCTTGGCTTCTCATGTGTACTGTGTGGGAATCCTGAAGCTTTATCTCTGTGTGTGGCAGACATCGACAGCCTCCTGGAACAAAACTGCCCGAACAAAAACAGTGCACATAATCATAAATCTTAGCAGAGGGAAGGAAGGGGAGAAACACACAAGAGAGGGAGCTCCCTTGGGTTACAACTTGAAAACAACGTACAAATCTTCAAGTGGAGTTGGGCTATTAAACTTGACAAGTCAACATGGTTGTTCCACCTGTATACAAGCGTGACATAATTGCACATATTGCTAAAAAGCTGATGGCTGTCTTTGTACAATATATGATTTAATGTGCATTTCCTCAGGCAGAGGATAATTGGACCCGCCATATGTCACAGTACTCTGCTCTTTAATCCCAGGCAATAACCTTAGTAGTCCATCAACTAATGCTGACAATAGCTGTGCTTTTGAACAAAGATTGTCCGAAACAATTAAAGTAATGTAATTAATCCTGGTAGGCTGCTTAATTAGCGAGATAAGTGAACAATGTGATTAAAGATCTTTGGAAAATTAAATGTAGGGACCAGACTCTCAAACCGTGAATGTAACTTGATCTTCAAGAGGAAACTTTAAAGTAAGGAAGCCTAGTAGTCTTGTGCTTGGGATAATTGACAGTGGCTTTTACTATGGGCACAGTAAAAGAACCATAAAAGGAACTTTTTAGAGGCAAGAAGAAGCCTGCATTGCTTTACCGTGGACCCCCGACCCAGTGGGATAGACTGTCTAAACAGAGCACAGTTACAGCCATTACGAAGGTCTGGGATGGTTAGTGAAAAGCCCAAGTAGGGATAAAATTAGACTGGTATTTCACAAGGAGTGATTTGGAATACAAATCTCTAAAATAGAATTTAGGCTTTCTCTGAGGACCCAGACCAGAGTCACGTTCCCAAGCTTTAGCCTTAAGGCAGAATACTCAACAGGCTTTCAAAAAGGACAAAGCACTCATTCCCCCACATCTTCTTACAGCATATTTAAACTAATGCCAGTTATTTAAAGAAAAACATGTTTGTCTCTTTGACACAAAAGCTAACCTCGATTCATAGTCAGGTGCATTACAGTGTATCATTAAACATTACACAACACCTGAGAAACCTTTTTAGAAGCAACCTGTTAATCATTCAAACCCAAAACCATGAGTGTGAAGAGAGAGCCTCCAAAAGCCATGCTGATTAACTTTGGACACTTATGACACAGTGTTTACAACTGGAAGTAAAAAGAACACAGCTGACATCAGGGGATATGACTCATGTGCCCATACGAGTCAAATATGAACAGGGACAATTGAAAAACTATGAGTAATGACGATGGAGCTCTTACAAAACCTTGCTTTCTTGCATGGTTATCCCACAGCCATGCTTCTGAGACAGAATGCCTGGGATTGCGCAATATTAAGGAGATTCATTGGCAGGATGGATCTTTGCACTGAGGGGAGCGCCCATCAGGTTTGGGTAGTTTGACATGGGGGATAAATAATGGATCATTCAATACATCCAGTATTGTTTTCTACCTTGTGAGCCCGCGTGTGTCATCATGGCAAAATGTGCATCTTGAGCGCCTACTGTAGTAGAGAGTACCACAAAAGCAGTTTTGAAAACCTGCCAGGTATAATTGTTTCTGTCTGTGAATAGATTTTGTCGCCACGAAAACTTTACAGGCGTGTATTTGAGATCAAATGAGTTCGTACTAGATGGGTGTGATCCAAGCAAGGACTGCAGAAGTAGGGATGTAGACCCAAGACATGGAACCTATGTTAACCTCAGATGTTCAGTAACTAATAATACAAACAGTTACTAAAGATTTAGATCATTGTATACATGAAGTGTATCATTGCATTTAAAAAGCTTTCCTGTAATGCCCTGTCCTCAGCCTCACTGACTGTGAGGTGCCGTTTCATTCTTAAGCAGCTGACGCCGAACATTTGCCATCATCCTGCTTGACAACGTCAGAGCATGAACGCATTGATGACACACCTGACCAAGCCAGCCACAACAATAAACCCGCACGCTTGAAATGAGTTCTGAGATGCACAACAATGTTCGGCAGAGCTCTTTGAACACAGCAACAGTTATGCATTCTGTTGTTGGCAGGATGTTTGTTACACTGATCTTATCATGGAGCGCTTCAGAGGAGCCATTCACCGTCAAAGTCCAAAAGTCATCTGTTAAGACACATTTTTCCAAAATAATAATCCTTTCCAATTACTGACATCTCCTTCATAAGTGTCCACTTGACAAGGTTATAACTCTAAAGGAAGAATGTTATTATCCGTCACACTTTGACGGAGCTGTAAAGCACATAAACAATCTCTTCAGTCGTTGCCCCAGCCACAACTGAACAGCAGCTGCATTATAATTACCATTTAAGGTTGAAAAAAACCATTTGTGTTAAAGATAGAACATGCTTAATGGATTTGATGGAAGAAACCCCCAAGGGGTCAATCCCACAGGCCACAGCTATTCCTGACTTGGGAAAGTATCATTTCTGCAGAAGCTGCCCGTTAGCAGCAGCATGTTAGCCTGCAGATGCCTGCTGAGACAATGGGTGTCACACTCACATCATTGAGTGTGAATGCAGGCACTGCTGCGAAGGGGTACAAGGCTCCGAGCTGAATATTGCTTTGACTATTGGCCCTGCGTGGTATATAACAAGGGGGGAAAAGGAGGGTGCCCTTAGGTTTCAACGAGTGGCCAGGATAATGAGAGGTTTGAACCATTGTGAAGCACTGCAGAGATAATATGGCCATAAATTAGGGGGGGATTCAATCACATCCAATCACAGCACAAGTCAGTGACTCCCAACAATCTGCTAGCAAGCTGTGCGAAAGCCAGAGAGTGCTAAAGCCTAACAATGGCACTGTGAAGGCGTTTATTAACGACATAAACAATCCTGATACAAGCAACTAAACAATCCAAATAGCTGTGTTTGGATAAATGTTGTCCCGACTTGCTATTTGTTAAACATTTTCCTAATCCTGGAGTTTAAAATGACAAGTAGACACAATGGTCCCTTCCCTCGCCGCTCTTATTTCTACATCGTAAACAGCCTATTTTCCCAAATGAGCCTTTTCCTGTATTTATCCAGAATGAGCCTTCCTATGGGAATGCTTGGCTATCATGTGTTGGCATCTCTGTTTGCATAATTGACTTTGTGTGTACTGGACCTGTACATTGTGTGCAGTTACATTTAGGGCAGAGTCAGCTGAAAGTTGTTGAATTATGTTCGTCATGAGTTTATTTTTAAACCAATTCAACGTATTCTCTTCTACAGTTCGGCTCACAGTCTAATCCTTGTTATTGTTATTTGGAAAGAGCGCACATTTTAAACTGGTTTCTTAGTCAATAGAAGCAAGGGCAAAGTGTCTAGTATGACAGCTATGCAGCCTTGGCACACAGCAGGAACCTGTATGTGCATGCATTGTCGCTCATTAATCTGCTACTAAACTGAACAAAGTTTGTGATTGTTAACGCTCGAAACAGAAACGGTGGAGCCATGAAAGCGCAAGGTATATTTCTTGTTCAAACCAGAGCCTTCTTCTGTTCCACAAAGCTGCAGACGTCGATCTCTTGCACATGATGATTTACTGCTTTGATCCCTGGCATGCTGACAGGTCACTGAAAAGTCTCTCAAGCTTAAAAATGTGCACGCTGCAAGCCCTTCTCTCTATAATGCCGACATGTCCAGCCAGGTCAAGCACCTTTACTGACCCCTCGAGACAAAAAACAAAGCCTGGGATTCCTCTTCTTCAGGGCTAGGGTGTCATGGCACAGGGTGAAGGGGGAATAGAGGGAACCACCATGCACCTTCACCTCATCTTATTTAGACCTTTATGCCAGGTCTCGGGATTAACAAATCTGGGTTTGATCCAAAAGCCAACGCAAAAGCATACCAAGGCAGGAATGTAATAACCGCCCGGCCACACAAATATACACAGCAACACAGACAGGAGAAAGTCTCTAAAGTTCAAACTATGGTACAGGGAATTATCCATTTCATAACTGACAAAGGATGGCTTACGAATTACTGGCTTAAGAGGTTTTTTTAAGCTTGGGCGTTTAAAGTTCCTGCTGGAATGCTGTTGTTGTTTCATGGGGTTCAGTGTAGATCAATTAAAAGATGGACCGGTGATTTATTTGGTTTCAAAGTATTTCCTTCAGGCTATTTAACTCTAACTGATCACATAATTCTTGGCATGTCAATACTAACCAAAAATATATTTTTTGTTACCATGCAGGAATTCATCCTAACTCTTATAGCTTCTACAGGGACTGGTGAATGGCTGTGTTTTTCTACTGTCCCGATGGAAACAAGAAAGGGTAAGAACCCAACTCAAAGTGAGATAAGGCTGGTTGACTGACCGTGCAGCCAAGGCCGCGGCGGGACCAAACAGGCAGAGAGACCTGGCACTGTGTACATTGTGGTGAAAGCAACAAGGTGTGTACACAAGGGTTGAGTGACAGCTGTGTTCCGTTATAATTCCGTTTGGCTGTACTTACACTATTCCCCTTTTTACCGCTCTACACTGCCACAATTCAGTTCATTCTCAGAACGCATTCAATTATTTGTGAGCCTAAAATAATAATTAACCAACTGAGATAGCCAAGTGTCACCCCAGTGATGTGTTTATGTCATCACCAGTAACAGGAAAACAAGATGTTAGGGCATGTTAGTACATGGAAACACTCACAAGTGGAACTTATGAAAAGCACACATCCGTACAATCATTTGTTGTGGCAACAAAGCACAGTCACCTATAAACACTTCAAAAATATAGTATTTCAGGAGGTATGAGACATTACCTCAGAAGAGTATTGTTTAGTTACTTGAGCATGTGTGGCTGTTTCTCTATCATCAGCAGGATATCATAAATTAGTGTATTTGGGGACATTTCCCTTAATGCCAAACATACCATTGGAGTTGAACACTTCTTTGAGTTGCAGAAGCACATCAGCAAACTTGCGCACATCGCTGACGAGCTGCATGATGTACATCGGGTCTGAGGCGGGGGTATCTGGGCTTTCCGGGCTGACCGAGCCGCTCTTAGAGGCTCTGCCAGGCCCTGAGGGGCCCACGGTGGTAGGGCCTGCTGAACCCAGGCTGGAGCTGGAGAGTCGGGAGATACCTAGAGACATTTTGGGTCCACCACCACTGCTGCTGCTGCTGCTGCTGCCACCTCCACCTCCTGATCCTCCTCCACCAGAGCTCTGGCGCAGAATGGCAGCCAGCATGTCTTATACGTCCAACGGCCCTCAGGCCTGGTGACGGTTATCCTGCAGTACAGCTTCTTCTCAGACTCAACACTGCACCACTACAGTGAGGATGGAATCTGCCAAAGAGAGAGAAGACTATTAATCCTGAGAAGATCTTTTTGGACTACAAGCGCTGGCAGTTTGAAGTGTGACACATTACCAGGTGTGTGTTGGCAGGAATTACGCCCCCACATAAAAAAGTACAACTTGACTGATGTTTAACCTGCTTCAGTTTCACTACAAACGTCTTTTAGGTGTTGAGAAAAGGTGTTTCTCCTTTAATGTGGATTTCCTGTATTCCCTTGAAATGAGGTGTGTGTTCCTGGATAGTGCTGCCTTATTTCTAATACAAATAAGTAGTCGTTGTAGTTTTAGGCAAGTCTCAGCATTCTTGAACCTAATACAATAATGATAGCAATTACAAACCAAAACCTAATCTGATAAACCAGTCTTTAGCTGTGGTGGAACACAAACAGGTTGCCTAAATGATTCTGATGCAACTACAACGATGTTGTGTACAATTTAATCCACATTCAATAAAAAATCATTAAAGTGTCTGGAAGAAAACTAGGGTAGAGAAAACAGTAAGGTTAAGGTGGTCATTCAGTCCCCTGCACAGGTGACCAGTGGTCACAACACTGCTGGTTAAACATCGGGAAACGTATTAATTGTAGTTTATTGCTGAATAAAACGAGACAGAAGTAATCCTCATAAATATATATATGTTAGTTTATTCGGAATGTATAAAAAAAACGTTTTTGTCATAAAATATCATTCAGAATGCTAGTTCGCGGTCGGCATTTGCATTTAATGTTAGTTTATAAGACTCGAAGAACACTCAAAGTGTAAGTATGTTCTGTGGAAGTAGGCTAATACATGTGTTGTGTTTTGAAGTTATAACGTTGGTGTTTTAAAGTAATGTTCCCTCTAAAACAAGCAACGCTAGGCTATTTGCAAGCAAAAGTCCGCATTTAAATTAGCTGCTAAATGTGAACAGAGTTCGTGTAAAAGTTGATTAAAACAGATGAAACTAACGTTAGGCAGCGGGTTAAACTGTCTGTAGACTTTTCTTTCTTTGAACGTTGTGTAAACTTACTCATCAGCAACAAATTGCTGTTGTAGCAACCCAGACAAAATGTTAAAACATGAGACTACATTACACACCTGCAGTCGGGTCCTGTAACATTTCAGCCGGAAACAATCCTAAAGCGGAAAAGTGACCGAGGTTTAGTCTTGAAAAAGACAAAATAATCCACAATCACTGCGCTATCCTTTTGTTTCACGGCCGTACCCAAACCCCTCACTGTCTGCTCTGCTCACTGTGTTGAATCGCCTACTCTCTCCATGTGATTGTGGGCTGGAACATAGTGTGTGTGTGTGTGTGTGTGTGTGTGTGTGTGTGTGTGTGTGTGTGTGTGTGTGTGTGTGTGTGTGTGTGTGTGTGTGTGTGTGTGTGTGTGTGTGTTTGTGTGTGTGTGTGTGTGTGTGTGTGTGTGTGTGTGTGTGCGCGTGTTCGCGCGTTGCTGGGATTTTGTGTGGAGTCCTCCCTATGAGTCCTCCCTTAACAACAGGTGTCTGGAGTTTTAAAGTGTCAAGCTACCCACAGTAAAACGTCAACTTCCGGTTATGCCTTTTCAAAAATAATAGCTTCTCCATGTCAATGAGTTGGTGTGATTTTGAAAGTCATACTATAACCCAGACACAGAATATATCTGGGATTTTGATGTGTACAAAAAAAAGAATCCGGTGTGTAACCTCATGTCATAACTCATTATAGCATTCTCAACTCAAAGCCTATTAATTCCAATGTCAGAAAGTACCCTGGTGTTTAAATAAGTGTGTCAAGTTGTGATTGATATCTGAATAAAATTCCTATACATGCATATACTACTATACTAGAGTAAACCTATAGAGCAACAGTAAATAGAAACACGAAAGTAAAGTACAAGTACCTCAATATTGCACATGCTTGAGTACATTACCTTGGTTCACTGGCCACTGAAATCATAGACTGTAGGTAAAGTAATGTGTAATGTGTGCGTCCTCTGGTGGACAAAGGGAGGAACTGCAGTTACCAAACGGAAGTTCATAGACACTAGCTAAAAAACGATCATACAATTACAATGTTTATTGTTTCTTATTTCACACATAGATACTACAACAGTTTTTTTTCCAGCAGGGAATACTATGAAAATGATTTGTTATACTATTAATACATTATGTACATTATTTGGAATTACTTATTATGGAGCTCTTTGATAACCGGACTCCAACACTTTCCCCCTCAACAACCATAATTGACCAATCTAAATAGTATAGTGTCTTCACGCTGTGTTTATATTCAATTTAAAATGCAATTTCTTGCAAACTTAATGTAATCTTACTTTTACATTTTGTGAGAAGTAAGTTGGCCCTTCATAGTATACATTCTAAAGATATCTTTCACTGTCAATATGTATATATTTTACTTTTAAGTTTTGTTTTACTTTCTAATATTTAAATGTTTATATTTACTGTATGTGTTTTTTTTTCTACACTTTCATTGTCACATTATGCGAAATGCCTTGTTTACATGCTGCTGTAACACTTGAAGATAACACTTTGTTGCCAGACTAGTAAGGTTACTATACATTTAGACTAACTGCTCATTAGTATGCACTCATGACAATTACATTTTCCTGAAAAAGATACACAGTGGTGGACGATGTACCTATCTCTTTGACTTTAAAGGTAGTAATATCACTGTAATGTTGCATGGAAAGGGGGAGCATTGTATGTATTTCCTTGTTTTCCTTTTATTTTTTTAAGTAAAACAATGGCCTATTACTTTTAGTGGAGTCAACCTATAGAGCAGCAGGAAATTGAAAAAACGAAAGTAAAGTAAAAGTACCTCAATATTGTACATGCTTGAGTAAATTACCGTTCACTGGCCACTGAAATCATAGACTGTAGGTAAAGTAATGTGTGTAGGGCGCTCTCTGGTGGACAAAGGGAGGAACTGCAATGTATTCGTCAAGCTAGCGTAAATACAGAAAATATTAGTTGTATTTCCGGTGAATATTTTCAAAATACAGTTACCAAACGGAAGTCAATTGTCTGACGCTAGCTAAAAAACGATCATAAAACTACAATGTTTATTACTTCTTGTTGTAGGAAAAAATATTAAATGATTTTTATACTTACATAAATTAACTTTGTTCACTAGACACTGTGAGATATCTGATTCAACATGATTACGTACAGGGCCGGCCCTGACCAATTTGCTGCCCGAGGCAAGATTTTAGCTGGCGCATTAAAACCTATAATTGCACACTACCATTATTTAAAAAAAAGAACAATTTCACATAAACCTCTGCTGGGGCAGGCTCGGGCAGTTCAACTTCATTTTTTTTGGGGGGGGGGGGGGGGGTGTGCCATAGTTTATGGGCGCTGTACGCAATATAGGCGTAGTTCTGTTAGTATAAGATAATAAGATGTACTAATGCTGTACTAATCAGGTATTAGCTGAAATATTGAACTTTGAATCTCTCAACACCCATATGAAACAGAACTGTAAACAGATTAACTTTTTCTTTATGGATATTTTACAAATCACTCACCTTTTAAACTGTATTCTTGTTTTACTGTCATATAGTATTTCATACCTGTTTTTCATGTATTACTCTTATATTACTATCTGACATCACATATATCGTAGCATTAAAGTTCACAGTTTATTTTTATTTATTTTTTTTACATTTTTATAAATAAAAATAAAACAGCGCTGGTGTTGTGCTATGCACCCCCTCTGTGAAATGCACCCCTTGTCATGGGAACGCACATTTGAAAATGAAACGTTTACACCTTAAAACTATGCTTAAAACGAAAAGTAAACGTCCAGGTTTCAATGGTAGTTTTCAGACTGTGAGTCGTTTAGTGGTAGCTCATAGTCTTGATTCTTGTGGTTCAACTTTTCGCTCCGTATCTTGATGGTCGGGGTATTGCAATATACGTTTGTCAGGGGGACATTATTTGTTGAGCACAGGTGGCCCGAGGGGACGACATGAGCCGAGAGACCAGGCATGAGCGTCAGTTCTGAAGTTAGCACGGCTAGGATGTTGCATTGTATCTTATGGAACATTACAAGTAAAGTACGTGAGAGTAAGATAGAGTGTGTTGTTATTATCAGTATAGCACACAATACATTGAAACATGGGGTGTCGAATCCTGGATTTTGCATTCATTCATCACTTCTTTTTCAGTTTTTTAAAAAATTTGATATATGTTTTTATTTAATTGTGATGTCCTGTCTGTATACACGTGCTTTAAAATGTATTGTTTAATTTTACATATTTGTCATATAATAATCAAAATATATGTTTACAAATGTTACATAGTCTTTGTCAGCATATTTTTGCCACGTTATGGACCCCTTGCTATCTTACATAATAAAAGTGTCACATTCATGAAACTTGCTCCATGTATTGGTAATAGTCCTACTACTATACAATCAAAAGTGCTTGAGGGTGGGATTAATAGAAACGTCTTTTTTTGGGGGGGGTGCTTTTTACGACAGGCCTGGTTGTCACGGTATGCACCCCCTTGCTATCTTACATAATAATAGGGTCACATACATGAAACTTGCTCCATTTATTGGTACTAGTCCTACTACTATACCCTCAAAAAAGCTTGAGGGTGAGATTAATAGAAGCATCTTTTTTTTGGGGGGGAGTGCTTTTTACGACAGGCCTGGTTATCACGATATGCACCCCCCTTGCTATCTTACATAACCTTCAACACTTAATTTGAGAAATGCATACAAAAGGTCACTTATAGGGAACATTTATATAATTTATTCTAATTAAAACACCATAACATATTGGACATCACAACAAACAAGTGAACAAATAAACAAATAAATACTTTCAAAACTAAAAGTGCACTCAGTACCTTCATAAATTGTTGGTCATTCCTATTAATAAAACTTCAGGAATCCCACCTATGGTGTGAAAAGTCTAAAGCACCTACCCACCTTTTTGCTATTTCAAAGTGAAACAACTCACTGGTGAAAGCCTTTTTTGGATATAAATAGTTGAAGGTGCTGATTGTAAATGAGTTAAAGTGTAAATACTGCGAGTTTGTCTGTCAGAAGCCCCTCAAACATCATCATAATGATTTTAATAGAAATTACATGAACATAGAATATAAGTGATAAATCAACAGCTCTGCAATAATGCAAATTAAGAGCATTTTCTGAATTCCCCATTGTGTCGTTTACCCCAAAATACAGTACAAGTTGTAATCACAGTTATTTGGGCACCAATGAAAACCTCACTAACTTCCATGAATGTATTTTGAAATAACAGGATTTTAATTTCTCATTTGTTTTTAAATAGAGGTGTGTTTTTTTTATCTCACGTTCAGTTTACTGCAATAGTAAGACTTTTATCACTTGGCTAATGCCTGAATCACGATTCTGCTATATTTTATGTCGATAGAGACTCAACAGAAATGTATTCAAAGTTATTACATTAATTCGAAAGCTGGAAGACTAGTAATTTATGTATTTTGTATTACTCAAAAACTGAGTAGCCAATGGGGACGCACCCCTGAAGGTCCCGCCCACCTGGGACGTTTGTGTCAAAATCGAAAACAAAAAATGAGGGAGTGCAAACCATGGAGGTATAATAAGAACTGGATACAGCGTGGAAGGCGGGGCCTCATTCATGATGATAAAATGGCCCAACTTTTGAGAGAGCGAAACGTCACAGATTACCCGGCATGCCTGAGAAGTACCCGTATGTGCGCTCATAGCGCATGCGCAACTTTAACCAAAATGTTCGTTCACATCAAGCACGTCAATTTGCGTACACGTAACAGCACCGCGCGTTCATGACAGCATGGTAATGGATGTTGTTATCATGGATTTGATATTAAGGAGGCGGCAGTTAGCAGCTAGCGGCTAGCTAGTAATGATGCTAATGTGCACATCAATCGTTATTTATGTACTTATAACAGGATCTAGTGATATCCAAGCAACAGAGCTTCATTTAGCATGAAATAATTATTGCACTGTATATATATATATATATACACACACAGTGCAATAAGCTTCTTAGTGCAATAAGAAGCTACAGGGACGTTAATCCAACGTCGGTAATATTAACTTTATTTAATACAACATTTACGGTACAAGATTTAATCATACAGCCCATGTAGTATAATATTTTACAAATTATGAATTACAGCAAACATGTGCAATATATCCATTATTACAGCTCCGTGGGCTGGCAGTAAGGCGATATGGGTCCGTTGTTATTGTGCATCCATGAGTAAAGATAAACGCATGTAGTGCTGAACACGTAACATGAACGTGCCGGGCGGCGCGGTCCCGTGGGTTAGATGTGCGTTCATAATGCAGAGGGAAATAACTCTCAGAATAACGTTATTAGCAGATTATTACAACTTGAGGAACGAATGTTTTTAATAAGGGCTATACAAGTGTTCATACTGGGTAGTTTATTTAGTTTGAAAAAAATTATCCAACGATTTACAGACCACTCTTTCCCCATGTAAGTCAATGGGAAAAAGTGTTTCCGGGCCTGGCAACCAAACGGATGTGCAGTACCACCGTTTGGCCACCACGAATATTTTCATCTGAGTCCGGCGCACTTCCTGGGGGCTTGGTGCAAACGAGAAGAGCTGCAGCGAGAGCAAAAGTCTGATCATTGAAAAGGAAGCAAAGAGAACTGCAAACAAAAAGATATGTTAAAACAAAGAAACAATACTTATAGTTTACATGATTACACAAATGATTTGTTTGCAACTTGTAGTTTTATTTTTTAAATTTAATTTATTTTGCTTGACTCAGTTTTAGTGTTGCTTGATTCTGAGAGTGTTGCTTTATCTTTATGAAACAAAACTAATCCCATACTTTGCAGATCCGTTTGACATTTGCAAATGTATTTGTGAGTTTGCAAATCTTTTAAATGCATTTGTGGATGGTGTTTTACATTTACAAATCACATATTTACACACAAATAATTGTTATGTTCACACAAATAATGAGACAAATCTATGCCCATATACCCATATTAATTTTCAAATGCGCGTTCCCGTGACAAGGGGTGCATTTCACGGCGGGGGTGCATAATTTGGCACAACACATGTTCTGCTAGGTAACTCAAAAGAAGACACATAATGGAATTAAATGTTGCACGTTATATATATTATTAAACAGGTTCATAGTAGCAATTAAGGGATCTCTTCAAGATACAGCTGTGCAAACAGAATTGTACGTGTTACACCAAATGGAGAATTAAAGCTCTTTGGGATGCATGCACATTATAACAAACATCAAGGCCAGGTGCGTCAACGCAGAAATTATAGTTTTTAGTCGATCTATTTAACAATGGAAAAGTGAGCAGTTTAATCTTCCAAACTAGACAGAGGTTTAGGAGATATTTTAGATAATACTGTCAATTTGCAACAATAGCACTCATAGTTAAGTGGCCACCAGATGGTATGCTTGTCACTTATGTCACATAACGTCCTTTGAACCTTCACTGCCAGGGCTTTTATTTTGAAGGAAATATATCCCATCCTTCTTCCTGATGTGCGTGCTTCACAACTGGAGATTGCATGGCTGTGCATGCCTGACAGTGCTGTTCAGAGTTCTTTCTCACATTGTGTACTTGTGAGAGAAAGTAATGATGCTAATGTGATGCTAACGTTACCTTAGATCCAGTCTGCAGATATGTCTTCCGACAGCAACACTGCTGGAGGTATCCAGGGGCTTCTTCTGAAACTCCATGAGTCCCTTTCGGATGAAGACCCACGGGCTGCAGCTTTGAAATGTCACGATATTGTCGGTGACTTGGCACAGGACTGCATGCTAACAACCGATAATGAACTTGGTAAGACAATGAAGTCCATCAAGTATTCCCATAGATAGCAGAAACGCTTTGTGTCCGCGCCAAACTCCAATAACAATATGGCCATTTTGTGTTAATGATGCTACTGTTGTTAACCCGCGATGAACAACTTGTAGGATAAGGTCATTTAGGATGTATTATAAGGAACATAATCATTCGGCGTGCAGAAACAATTTCAATATTTTTCAGATTTCAGTTTGTATTAAGTTTGCCTGCATCACACAATGTTCTTCCGCCAAAACTCACTGTTGTGGGCGGTAACCTCATCATGAACACACTGTTAGTACCACGTGACATAAAGCAAAGCTTGCAGGTGGCTAACCATAACTCCATTGGAAGTATACACTAAGGAATTAATAAAACAATCTCCAAAAAATAAGTTTGTCAGTATTAAACCCAAGTGGATTTGCAACAGAAAGTAGTGCAGTCTGCAGGGAGTTGTTCCATCTGACCACAAATTACCTCCAAGGCAGCCTTTTGTCAGGGGGCTCATACATTATTCAACATATGGTTATATATTATCATATTGCATGGTAGATCTTGACCCTGGTAGTCTGTTTCTGGGCTGATATTAGTCACTCCCTATTTATCTAAGCTGTAGCAACAAAATCCATTGTACTTGCTTTATAATCCACCAAATGTATTCATTATTAAAATACAATTGGGCTAACAATTTGCATAGTTTAGTGTTGGTATTGTGATTTACACACTATAAGAAGAATGTAAAAACAAATATTAACATTTCCTTCTGATCCCATCCTCCTCGTCTTGAAGCCTTACAGACGTCCTTATTGTTCTCCAAAGACTATGGACTGCTCAGCTTCATCAGGAAGTCCCTGCCATCAGATGAGGTAGATATCATTGAACATCTCGTTAATAAAGTCACTGAAAAGTTCTCATGATGACCGAAAACATCCCTGTCATCAGTTCCGGGACACCCGAGTGGAGATCTTGGGGTTCTTGGAGAAGTTCTTGGACCGGGTCTCACCAAGAGTCAAAGGTTGGGAGAAGACTTACGCCATTGACATAAGAGTAAGTTCCCCATTTAAAACCAGATTAAAAGAGTGTTAGTATTTTCATGTGAATTCCAGAATCAAGTATGTTGTTTCTCTTCATTGCTTTGTTTGTGCAGAACACATGCATGGTTGTGTATACAAAGGAAAAACTGGCAAAGTGTAGGGCTCCAGTGCTGGATCTCCTCATAAAGGTTGGTTTCTCTTTGCATCTGGTACACTTTTCATACAGTACGGTTGATAAATGTGTGAGTATGAAAATAAGTTGTTTGGATAAGCTTCTTAGACATTGTTCTTGTCAAAAACTCTCCACAGGTTCTCCAAACAACAAAAGCTTCCAGTGTGGTCGCAGACCTTCGAATCTGTGAAATATTCAACAGATATTACAGCGAACTCTGTCAGAAGAGCAAACTAGCAGACTCTGGTGAGACTTCCTTTAATGCCTGAATCAAAGGCACCACCGTAATGAGAATAACTTTATACAGGCAAGGAATATGTACTAACATAAACGTTTTATATCTTTGATCGTAGTCCTCGGCAAAATCTATGAGTTGTTGGGAGTTCTCGCAGAGGTTCATCCCAGCGAGATGGTCCACAACTCCGACAAACTCTACAAAGCCTATCTCGGAGAGCTAAAGGAACAGGTATGCAAACAGATACAAGTGAATTGACATAGACCGAAACAAAAATCATGGTCAGATGTTTGAGAAAAATGACTATCTTTAAAAATCAGTGTGTTTACACAGCTTGTTTAATGTGGCTTTTCATTTGTGTTTTAGATGACCTCTTTAACTAAGGAACCAAAACTGTATGTTGTGGCTGGATGTTTGAGAGGAATCACTGCACTAATGGTCAACTTCCCCAAAACGATGGAAGAAGGTGTGAATGACCATATTTTTTTTGCAGTATCTATTTATCCAAAATGGAGGACAAACATTTTCAATACTACAATGATGTTGTTTGTGTCTCTGAATTGCAGACCCAGCAACATCTAAGGACATTTTTCAATATGCCATGAAGGCAATCAGTCCCCAGGTAAATGTCATTGTTGCTATAAAAAACCCTCTAAGATTATAGATTATGCATGTAATGTTATTACATCAAATGGGATACTATATAACATGACTCCTGTGATTGTTTGTTTTTCCTTATTTTTGTTGTAGGTGGAAATGAGCCGCTATGCTGTCACATTTGGTAAGACCTGCCATTTAAATAATACCTTGAAGATAAAACTCCCTGAAAACTAATACGTCTCTGTTTGTCAAACAGCCGGGCTCAGATTAATCGCCAGACATGCATCCCAGTTCAGCAGCTGCCTGATGGACAACTACAGAGCTTTGTTCGAGGTGATGTCCAAGCACTGCGGACACATCAATGCTGAGATGAAGAAGACCAGTTACTATGCACTCGAGGCCTTCCTCAAACAGGTACACGCTTGAAAGCTTTTCCACTTCATGATAAAAATAATGTATCTTTTGTCATTCCAACAACTTGGATTAACATTCATTTTATTATCATGTTCAGGTGGCTATTCTGGTGGCAGATAATATCGAGGAGCACAAAAGCAAGTTGAAGTTCTTCATGCAGAAGTTCTGCGGCATCATTAAGACCATGGACTCGACACATAAGGAGCTGTCCATTGCTATAAGAGGATATGGATTCTTTGCAGGCGTATGTTCATTGCCTTGTTTGGTTTGATTACAGTTGTAAAATCTCAAACTGGTTTCATCTACATTCTAGACTTAATACAAGACAAAATAATCATGTTTTCTTCTTTAGCCTTGCAAGAAAGTTTGCCCTCAAGACGTGGACCTGATGTACACAGAGCTGATCCAGCGCTGTAAGCAGATGTACCTGACGGAGTCTGATGATGAGGACGAGAGCTTCTACCAGCTGCCTAGCTTCCTGGACTCTATAGCGAGCGTCCTGATCCACCTGGACAAGGTAACACACTTGCAGTCAGTCCCTCACTTCGACCAAAGATTGCTGGATAAATCACAAATGTTACCGCGGAACATTTTGAATCGCCCCTCAGCAAATTCAAAAAGTATTATGAAATATGACCCACAACTGAAACTTGTTATATTGTACTTCTCAAATATATATGTAAACTTATATTACACAGTATTTCAATAAGCCAAATGTTTGAAATACATTCAGTCCATTAAAGTTGAAAACTATTTCTAACAAATCTAAGTTGATAAGAAAAAAGTGACTTATTTACATAACAAGCTTGAAATATACCCTTCCTATTTCCCCTTATTATAAGAAATCTGAGGCTCCTGTTTTAAGGAATGAGCTGCCAACAAAATAAAGGAAACCCCATGGAGAGCTGGGATGTAGGCTGTTTGTTTTCATAAAGCATATTCAAGTAACAAGCATAATTTACCTACATTTGATTGATTTTGCTGACTTATAACTTAACTTATGAGGCAATATTCCTCTAGTGAGCGGCCCAGCCCTTCGTATATCTTTATGTATGTGGCCCTCGGTGTGAAACGTTTGGACACCCCTGGCCTAAACTATCTAAACCATTGTGTTCAATGTGTCAGATTCCAGAGGTGTACACCCCCCTCCTGGAGCGCCTGATGGTGGTGCAGATCGACAACTTCCCTCAGTACAGCGAGAGGATGCAGAGCGTCTGCTGCAGGTCCATCCTGAAGGTGCTGGTGGCCATGGCCTCCAAAGGACCTGTGCTGTGGAGCTTTATTAGCTCCGTGGGTACGTTTATCACCAGCACGTTATACCAAAAGACCGTAATGAAATAGAAATGAGTGAAGAGACCCAGTAATAAAGTAAAAATAAACCTTTTTACTAAGATCATGATTTTAACAGCATTATCTGTAAAGGGATTGCACATAACATCGGCTAATGAATTTACTTTTTTATTATTTTACAGTGCACCAGGGCTTGATCCGTGTCTGTTCAAAACCCATCATGCTCTCTGAGGTCGGGTGCATGTTTCAGATGTTGTTGTCATAATTTGATTTAAAAAATAATTCCAAAAGTGTTTTACTGTGCTGATGTATGCTTTCTGTCCTTCCCTTCTCAGGACAAAGATGGTGGTCAATCTCAATCTTCCCAAATGCGTATAGGAAAGTGGAAAGTTCCATCCAGTCAGAACTATCTGGCCCTGTTCAAAAGCCTTCTGGACTGTGATCGGCTGAAGGTACAGCTATGTTAGTTTTTTATGATCACATGCTTGTGGCAACATGCTTTACAACGTTTTTCAGGATTTTACGTGTGCAGTTTTCATAAGCAAGTATATACCACGAAATAGATATAAGCATCGTTCTTGTCTACATTGTCTCCTGCCAGGTTAACTGTTTCTATATTCTTAAGCAGTGACTATTTTACATGTGTGTACTCCTCTGCAGGACTCAGGATTTTTGGATGGAGATTTTGAAAGTCAGAACGCTGCTCTCCTGTCGTTGAGCCGTCTGCTTTATGACGAGCTGGTGAAATCAATTCTCAGAATTCTTGAAAAATTGGACTTGTCTGTGCAGAAAGTTGCAACAGGGGAGGAGGTGAGGTCTCATTGAAAATGACGGTTGATGAGAGATGATGGATTCATCAAAAGCCTTTTTGTCCATTGAACCCTAATTCATGCCTCTTTGTCTGTCAGGCTCCAGATGATGCGGCCCACGTCCTGCCCTCTTCTGACCCCACAGCTCATCTGTTGCCCAACAAGATCAAAGATTTCACTGCCTTTATCAACCTGGTTGACTTCTGCAGGTAATGAAGACTACACACATAGAGGTGATCTTGATCTAGAAAGTGATTCGATTTGTTTGACAGTGTTTTTTTCTTCTTTTTTTGCAGCGAGTTGTTGCTGACAAAGCATGTGGAGTATTTTGACTCCTGGATGTATCCCTTAAGCCATGAACTTATCCTTCACTCCATACGGAATCCACTCGTCAGTGGCTTCTACAAGCTGCTCTCTGTCACCATGAAAATCGGCAAGAGAATCAAGTACTACCAGGTAATATTCCCACCAGTACAAGGCATCCTATTGTTTCATTTTTCAGGGCATTGGAAAAGGATCCAGACAGATCTCTACCAGTGGACCACGTTTAAGGAATATCAAAGTAGTATAGGATTCCCTTTGTATTACCTCTACATTACCTTTTCTCCTATATATTCAATGTAAGTGATCACTACTTTTCCTCTGTTTTCGACAGGGAGTTGGCACAAGAAGCTCTTCCTCCCCTCAGAGTGACGCTGTGAAAAGTTCTTGTTTTGCACTCTTCTCAAAGTTCGGAAAAGAGGTAACTTCGAGGTGTCTTCAAAATATTTCCTGGGAATGTCGCAAACTTAAATGCAGCATTACAGAGGAAATGTATATGCAGGAGATGAACATGACGTGTGTCTCTCTGTAGGTGTGTGTGAGAATGAAGCAGTACAAAGACGAGCTGCTGGCGTCCTGCTTGACCTTTGTCCTCTCGCTGCACCACAACATCGTAGCTCTGGACATCAAGGCCTACTGTCCTGCTCTGGAGGTGGGATTCTTTAATCTGTTTTATTGTATTTTTCTGAATTAGATAAGGATGTATGAATACAGCTTTTATTTTGGGTGTGTCTAGGTGGCCCTGAAGTTGGGTCTGAGCCACGTTCCTCTGGCCAACGCCGCCCTGGACGCCCTCGAAGACTGGTCCTCCTACATTCCTCTGGAGACCATGCAGCACTGCTACTCCAGCATCCTTCCTCTCCTGGATGGATACCTGAAAAGCACCTCCACTAACAGTAAGTCTGCAACAGTATGAAGAGAGGTCACACATATTTGTTTGGTTACATTTTTCCATTATTTCAGTTAAACAGATAAAGAAATCTGCCAAACAAAAAGTCTAATGCAGATTTTTGTTGATTTTAGACAAAGATGAGAGCAACTGGGAGGTGATGTCTTCTCTGTCTTCAAAAAGTGAAAAAGGATACAAACGAGTGTTGACACGGCTCATGAAAAAATCCAACCAGCTCAACATGGTACTGAACGAGAAAGTGGGAAGACATCTTTTAGTATTCTGGAGGGACTGTTTGTTTTTTTGTCTATCTACAATCCATCAGAATTTGGCTGCAGTTGTTGTATAACAAGATTAATTTACTGTTTACTTAATTCCTTGGAGTAGTTTGTTCACTGCATAAATAGAAACAGTTAAACATGCTTTGTCCAATTTAAAGACCCCCACAATTACTAAGAGTTCCTGCAGTCATTTAATTTCCATTTTTACCTCTTATAAAGCTAAATTACTTTATAACTATTACAAATCATAGTTAACGACTTGTCGTCATGCAGAACAGAAATGGATACGAGTACAACTGAACTTGTGAACATGAAATTAATTCTATGTTAATGCAGGAAGATGCTCCGCTTGACATTGTGAGGCTCAGGGTGGTGAAGCTGCTCGGTCATCTGGGAGGAAAGCTGAACAGGAACCTTGTAACTGGTGAGGATTTTCAGAATTTACCTGCCATTGCATTATATTTTACACTATAAATGTGTTATTTCCTCAAGAATGATGATTTGAGAACACTTTACACATGACTGTAAATAGACAATTGCTATTTCTGTCGATCATTGGCCTTTCTTTTTTGTACATTTAGTGGTCTCATCAGAGGAAACGATGAAGAAATTTGTCGCCTGGGATTCTGAGAAACGGCTCAGCTTTGCCGTGCCGTTCGCCGATATGAAGCCGGTCATCTACCTCGACCCCTTTCTGCCTCACATCAGTGAACTGGCTCTGTCCACCAGTGACAGACAGACCAAGGTGTGTCCTGTAACATCAAAGAATTCCCACAAGCTAGTTTGATGACAAAGGAATTACCAAACAGAAAATAAGATGTTATTTTAATCCAGTTTCTCTTGTGATGCAGGTAGCAGCCTGTGAGCTTCTCCACAGCTTGGTGGTGTACATGGTGGGGAAGAGTGCTCAGATGGTGGAGGGGGAGAATAAACTGTCTCCCATGTACAAGCTGCACAAGAGGCTGTTTCCTGTGCTGCTGCGGCTAGCCTGTGATGTCGATCAGGTATGTTCCCCCAGAAAATCCTTGAATATGTTGGAGTTTAAGGATATAATTAATATTTGTTTGACTAATGTATTTTAATTAACTATACTGTCAAGCAAGCTGTATTCTTTAAACCTTTTTACAAATTAATGACTGCCTAAAAAGCTGTCTGATTGCGTAAAGGCAATTGAGGGAGCCTGGTTCTTACAGAAGAGCTCGGGTTGTTATTTTTTATTATGTCGCCAGTGATGTTTGGGAATTGACATTTCTTCACCAGGTGACCAGACAGCTCTTTGAACCGCTGGTAATGCAGCTGATTCATTGGTTCACAAACAACAAGAAGTTTGAGAGCCAAGATACAGTAGCTGTCCTAGACGCCATTATGGTAAGTGTTTTATATACTATAAAGGGCTTCATAGGCAATTGTGCATCAGTAAAAGTTACATAAACCCTAAGAAGACACTTAGACCTTTGCTTACATTGTTTGTTTTTGTATTCAGAATGGTGTGGTTGACCCAATGGATAGCACTCTCAGAGACTTCTGTGGCCGCTGCATTGAGGAGTTTGTCAAATGGTCGATCAAACAAACCACCCCAAAGCAGCAGGAGAGGAGCCCGACTAACATGAAGTCCTTGTTTAAGCGGATCTACAGCTTGGCTCTCCACCCCAATGGATTCAAAAGACTGGGTGCAGCCCTGGCATTTAATAGTATCTACAGACAATTCAGGTACATTACCTTTTTCTGGTTTTACATTTCCAAAATGACGGATTGTGTACTGTATCATCTCATTTCTGTTGTGTATGTGTCCCTCCAGGGAGGAAAAGTCCTTGGTGGAGCAATTCATCTTTGAAGTTCTCGTCATATTTGTCGAAAGCCTGGCTCTTGCACACTCAGATGAGAGATCTTTGGGTAATTGATCTTCCACTTTAGCAATGTATGAACAATAATTAGTAATGTATGCTTTAAAAGCAGCGTTTTTTCTTAGAAGCAAAAAAAGCAAACTGTTTCAAGACACGTGTTTGTAATTGGATTTAGAATGGTATTAAGAACCTTTTTATGCACTCGTGTTGTGTTAAACAAGGCTCTGTTGCACTTAACAGTAACATTATAATTTAAAATATAGCTAATCAAAAACAAAAGTAAACCCTAGGCAAATAAACAAGTAAATAATAAATGTAGCAATTTGAATTTAAAAGCAAATGAATCAACCAAAACAAATTTTAAATATGCAAAAAACTGAGGCTGTCCCTCCGTCCTCAGGTACAGTGCAGCAGTGTTGCACTGCCATTGATCACCTGAAAAGAATCATCAATCAAAAGGCGCCCAGTCTCAATCAGCACAATGCTAAGACGCGCGTCCCAAGGTTAGTATTCTGTGTACAAGCTGCGTTCTAGTACATTATACTACATGTTCCATTATAATCTTTTTTTCCTCTTTCTACTCACATAGGGGCTTTCCTCCTGATGGAAAGCTGTGCCTCTCTGATGTGCTTTTATGGCTTCTGGAGCAATGTGGCAGACCTCAGACCGAGTGCCGCCACAAATGCATGGAACTCTTCTATGAGTTAATTCCTCTCCTCTCAGGTGAGCAATCCTACCACATGAAGACATTCTGATTATTTTAAGAATTGTAATTTTGAATTCAACTAACATAAAGTTTGTGTGATTGAACTTAGAGAAGAAGTCTCCACCTCAGTGGGTGGATGGCATGCTGAAGGATCATGGCAAAGGCTTCCTGATCCCACGATTTGAGGGTGGAGGTCTCCTCTCTCAGCCCACTCTCAGGGACCTGACGGGGCCTTTCAGTGTCAGAGCCACCCTGCAGTGGATGGACCTGCTGTTGGCTACCCTCGACTGCTACAACACCTTCATCCACTTACAAATCATCAAGCCTCATCAGATGCTTAGTAAGTCGTCAGGACATCCCTCTCTCTGACATCAACTGCACAACATATACACTTACAATCTTACAAGTACTTAAATAATATGTCTGTTGTTGACAACGCTATAAATACTGTATTTTTTTCAATTTCCCTGTCAAGGCTCTGAGGAGAAATCAAGTTTTCTTAAAGCGATACGCTTCTTTGTGACCGAGCTGTCAACTCAAGAACTGGCAGCGGCGGAGAGCTGTTTCCCTCTCGCCAAGAAGACCTCTCACTTCAGCCCCAGAGAAGTGGACCAGTTCAACTTCAGCAAGTGCACCATCACTGTCCGCCTGCTGGAGTTTACCACCATGATTCTTGTCAAAGGAGACCAGGAGTTTTGGAAGGTGTTGCTGAATTTAAATCACTCTGACGTTAAAAAAAAAAAGAACCTTGATTTTCCCTTTCGTTGACTCACAATTTCCTTCATTTGTTCACAGCTTCTGGAGCAAGACCTTTTTGTCTCGGATTTCTTTAAGCTGACTGCGCTTGTGGTGTGTGAGCCGTCTGCTGTAGGTTTCAACATGGCAGATGTTGAGGTAATGAAGAACCTACCAGAAGTGTGCGTTCCTCTCCTGAAGGCCCTGCTGGCTTCACCTTATCGCTCTTGTCTTGAAAGCAGTTTGCGGGTAAAAATCTCCCGTAACAGGTATGTCGATCATCTTTCACTAGTATTATTTTAGGCACACAACACAAGAAATAAATATATAATATGATGGATTAAGTTGAAAATAAATTGGAATGATCAACACCAGGATTACTTTCTTTCCAAATGTAATGTATCTAGTGTGGAGGAGTTGTGTTCTGTAGACCTCTACCAGTCCAGCACTGTGAGCCGCCACGACCAGATGGAGATGGTTCTGTCTTCCTGTACGCAGATCCTCAAAGCCGACTTCCTCAGCTCTATCCTGCACAGTCAGGTATTTGGCCTGGGTCATATTCATATTTTATCATGTGACTATTAACCTAGCTTTATACATGCAGCACCATTTATTCAAGTTTTTCAGATGGCTATGCAATTCTGTTTTCATAATCATTAAACACTCAGAACATCTTCTAACTCAACTTAATGAACATGCACTTATTTTCTTTGTGTTTCTTGTGGTGTGAAAGGATGCCACCTATGCCCAATCCCTTGGGTCCAGACTTCTGATGACAGTGTATAAAGGTATAGCACCCGGTGAGGACAGGAAGGCACTTCCATCTTTGGACATAAATACCAAGAGGCTGGCGGATAGCCTGCTTCAGCTCTCATTCTCTCTAAGTCAACAGGTCAGATCTATCTCTCTTTGGGTTACATTTGATCATACATTGAAACTACTTACACTGAGTTATTGAAGCTGCAGCCAAGTGACTACAATAATGACACATGCTTACTGTTTCCCTGCAGAGTGAGCAACTGGTGGACTTGTTGTTGAACACCATCATGCTTTCTGTGCCAATATCTGGATGTCGCAGCAATAGATTCCTGAGCTTCTCACACGGCGAGTACTTCTACAGTCTCTTCCAGGTGACCATCAACACTGAGCTGCTGAGAAGTCTGAACACCACAGTGCCACGCCTCATGAAAGCTTCCTCTCTAAACCCCAGCATGGTAGCTCATTCATTTGTTCTTCCCCATTTTGAATTAGATTCAGAAAAGCTTTCTACTATAGACAATTTATTGTTTCTCTGCATTTGAGTTTGTTTGTTCCATTTTTCACCAGGTGAGTGTGCTGCTGAACGGCATGCTGGACCACAGCTTTAAAGAGCGCGCTGTGAGGAAGACTCAGGGAAAACAGCTGGTTGAAGAGGTGCTGGGAAGATGGAACAGTCTGCAGTCCTGGTGGGAAGGACACGCCTCAACTCCAGAGAGCAAAACGGCCACTCTGCTGCTCCTCTCTAAACTCCTACAGGTAATGTGAAGTTAATACTGTTAGTCCCTGAGAAACATATCCTAGGTCCAGGAAAGAACAACACAAGCATGCAAGACTATCTTACCCGGTATTCTTTCTTATTTTTTCTAAATGTAATTTATTTCATGAAAACGTTTTCCCACTCTAATCAGATTGACTCCTCTGTCTGCTCTGATACAAACCATGAAGCGTTCAGACCGGTGTTTTCCACGTTCACTATGCTGCTGGTTGACATGACTCTGCCTCTGAATCTCAAGGTAATGGAAATGGGATGGGTATATGTTAAAGTCACTGTGGTGCATTGTTAAAAACAACTAAGATTTGTACCTTTTCTGTTTGAGCTGATTATGTTTTTTTTTTTGTTGAATTGTCTCAACTCTTCAGAGTCAGGCTCTGTTGGTGTTGCCCTTCTTCACCACCCTCCCAGAGGAGCCATTAACTGAGTTGCAGAGAGCTCTTGACTCCCTGGTAGTGTCCCACTTCCCCATGCAGTCTGATGAGTTTGCGAAGGGCTCGCTTCACCGCAACAACTACATGGACTGTATCCGAAAGGTAAAGTCAGCAAAGATTTATTTAAACAAGCAGACTCTTATGTTTTCAAAGACTCTCATGTGGCAAGTTTCTCTTGGTGGTTTAACAATATAAGACAGGGTGTACTTGGTGCTCGGGAATGATCCACCAATTTAACCTGTCTTTCTGTCTTTTAGATGCTGGATGCTCTAGAGCTTTCCCAGAGCCCACTCCTGCTAAAACTGATGGCAGGGATTCTGTGTCGAGATAGAAAACACATCATGGAGGAGCCCTTCCAAGCCTGCTTCCAAAGAATTGCAAAGCGGTAAGTAAAGCCTTCACAACCATTCATCATTGATGGGGAAACAACTTCCCACTTTCGGAATGGGACCAGACAAGGAGCGTCGCCTTAGGTTGTACAGGAGTTGCTTATTTTGCGTCCATTCTGTGTTCATCATGTCTGACCAGGTCGAGCAGTGAGCGGCAGCTGCAGCTGCTGTGCACAGTGTACGGGGTGATCCAGCAGGCGGAGGTGCCGATGAGCTCCGTGCTGCAGGCCATGATGGAGAGGGTTCTGCTGCCTCTCGCGTCTCACTGTGGCACCAAAGCCCTGAGTGACTTCTTCGTGGCAAATGTCTCCGACATAATAGTTTTGCTCCTTAGCCGCTTTACTAAGGTTTGCCTCTTAACTTTAAAATATTTGTCAATGCTTGTTTTTCAATCAATCAACAACTTTATTAATCCCGCAAGGGGCAATTGGTTATGAGCAGCAGCTTATGTCATGTACACAGGCAGGAACATACAAGAAGAAAACACACAGACACACCCGGGAGCACAGATGTGGATAATTCCAATTTACACTATAAATAGTTCAAAGCATCACAATAATAAATAAATAAATAAATAATCAAGTTAAAAGCCTTTTCAAGAATTTAAAAGTTTGAGTGCAGAAGGGATGAATGATTTAGAAAAGCGATTAGTCCTTTGATCAGGTAGAGCATATCTTCGCCCTGATGGCAACAGACGAAATTCATGTGAAAGTACATGACCTGGAGAGTTCAGAATGCTCTCTGCTTTCCGCAGAATCTGATGGTTACAGAAGGAATTTAAGTCTCTCTGTTTCACGCCGATGATCTTGGAGCAGGTTTTAACAATGCTGTTCAGGCTGTTTTTGATGTTCTCCAAGGATATTTGGTCATTAAGCTTGTGTTTTAAATGTTTATGTCCTCACAGCCTATTTAGAACGGAGGATCACATTTGAAATCGGTTTAAACGTATGTTTTGATTTTAGTCAAATGAGACAGAATTCGAGATCCAGTTGATGAAGAAGAACGGCTGCTACAAGCTGATGGAGCTCCTGTATTCCCGCCTTTCCAAAGATGAGGTTTACTCCAAGGAGTCCCGCATTAATCAAGCCTACTGTCGCTCAGACAAAGCGGAGGGGAATGAGATGTCCAAGACCTTGATCAAGTAACACTTTTTACGATTCGAGAATCAACATAACAGTGATGTAAAATGAACCAATTCTTCCAGGGATACATGATGAATATTGATTTTATTTCATTTAGGTCATGTTTTGAAGCATTCACTGAGAATATGGCTGGTGAGACTCAGCTCCTTAAACTTAGGAGACAGTATCACTGTGCCACATACAACTGTGCCATTGCTGTCATCAGCTGCAGCTTCAATGAGCCCAAGTTCTACCATGGCTTTCTCTTCAGTGAGAAACCAGAGAAGGTAACAACCAGCTTTAATAAATATATTCAACTGTAGTCTAATCCATGGGAAGACAGTTCTCTTTGAGTAGTTAGAGGACTTCAAAGATTGTGGTTTTCTTTCCTTGTGCAGAATCAGTTCATTCTGGAGAATATCATTGACATTGAAAGGACCTACAACTTTCCAATTGAAATTGAGGTATGTTTTTTATTTTACCCATTTGAACACCACTGTTATTTGAGTTGCCTTCATGGTTTAATACATACAAAAATCATCAGGTCCCACTTGAGAGAAAGAAGAAATACGTCATGATTCGAAGTGAAGTGAGCGAGGAGAACGGAGGTATTTACTGCTGCCAACATTATAGTTTGTTCTCCGTAAGTAGATAGTGTTTGATCATGAGTTTTATGTTTTCCACAGAAGCACCAGTGTACCTGTCCTCCCAGTCTTACATGGCCGACAGCAGCCTGAGTGAGGAGATGAGTCAGTTTGACTTCTCCACCGGAGTCCAAAGCTTTTCCCTGAGCTCCCAGAACCCAGAAGGGCAGAGACGCACCGTTGCAAAGAGGGTGAGTTCTTTAGATTGTTCTTCTATCTTTTATGAAACAGATTACAGCCAGTATCGTGGCTAAGTGTTATATGGTGGTTTTGGCAGTTTGTCCCCAGATGATTGAAGGAAAACTTATTGCATTATAATCTGTTTTTTATGTTGATAAGGAAGTTTGTTGGTTTTGGACAGGAGACAGAAGAGGCAAATACTTCCCAGGATGCAATGGTGGATCTAGAAATGGATGAGCTAAATCAGCATGAATGCATGGCGACCATGACTGGTCTTATTGGACACATGCTGAGGAACAACATAACCCCCAAAATTGAACAGGTCAGTGGCACTGAAGAAGCGTTAATAAACTATTATTTCCATCTGAACCAGTCACACTATGCACAGCTGCACATCATGTGTATAATTATTGTGTTGTTGAAAATGCTCTCTCCTTTGCTAATCAAACAGGGAAACATGCCTAATGAACTTCCGCCATGGATGAAATTTCTACATGGAAAACTCTCAAATCCAGCAACACCTCTGAATATCAGACTCTTCATCTCAAAGCTCATCATCAACACAGAGGAGGTAAATGTCCCTCGATACAAATCCATTCATTTTCTTTCTTTGTAAATAAATAAATATGATGATTTTTTTTAATCCACCCGTTTGTGACACCCCATGAAAATGTTTTGCTCGCTATTGTTTTGTCGACAAATTGCGCTGATATTTCCAGGTTTTTCGACCATACGCCAAGCACTGGTTGGGGCCGCTCCTGCAGGTCGTGGTTTCTGGAAACAACGGAGGAGGGGGGATCCATTTCATGGTGGTGGATATTGTTGTCACGGTGCTCTCTTGGACAAGCCTGGCCAGCCCCAAGGTGGCATATGTTTACATTTATATAAATCATTAATACATTGTCATTTCAGGGTATAAGAATGATTATAGAGTTTAATGTTACTTTTTAAACTTCGTGAGAGTATTCCCATTTATTTTCTTGCTATTGTTACCTTTTATTATCATGTAAAATCTATTAATATTATTAGTAACAGGATTCTTTTGTCGCAGGGTAACCCCAGAGATGAAGTCCTTGCCAACCGGCTGTTAGAGTTCCTGATGAAGCATTGTTTCCACTCCAAGAGGCCCGTTTTCCGCCACAATCTGGAGATCATTCGCACTCTCGTAGAGTGCTGGAAAGACTGTCTGCATGTGCCCTACAGGTAGAACTTGCACACTTACTGAACAGTTAATTTTCATGTGAAACAACCTGGGCTCAGTGGAAATGTCCAAGACACAGACACCGTTTAAACTATGCATGTTCCCTGAAGGTTGCACGCTCTGCATGAAGGAGATCGAGAAATGTCTTTTGAAAATCAATATAGTTGAAATTGGTTTATGATTTTTTTTATTTGGCAACTCACAGAAAGTCTCAATAGATCAGGTAGTACTTATGGTAGTGTTCTAGCATCATTACTGTGTTTTTCAAACAAATTATAATTGAACCAGTCCTTGACTTTTTCTCTTTTCTTGCAGTCTGATATACGACCGATTTCGTGGCACCGACCCAAATAGCAAAGACAACTCTGTTGGACTTCAGCTGCTGGGAATCATCCTGGCCAACAACCTCCCTGCCCACGAGGCCTCCTGTGGAATTGAATATGATGGGTAAAATAAATAGTGTAGCTAAATGACAACATAAGCATACCGTGTCACCTGTCAAAACCATGATTACATTTGCTCATATACTGTAAATGTTACCTTTTGAGTTGTAGCTGGCACATTTAGATGAAATAAATCAATGTGTTTACATGTTTGTTATACCTCACATATTGCAGTGTCTTTTAACCATTTCTGTCCTGTGTATTCTTTTCAGGTACATTCAGTCTCTCACCAACAACGTTACCTTTGTAAGGTACAAAGAAGTCTACGCAGCTGCTGCTGAAATTATCGGCCTCGTCCTGAAGAATATGACTGAAATGGACAATGTATGAGACCTTCCGAGTTTTGTTGAATGACAGTTACTTTATATTTACATTGATGTCTGAGGATAGCCCAGAGCACCTCAATAGCAAAGATCACAGATGAAAAATAATGATTGTTTTCACAATTGATGCAGATGATAAATCCCTCCTCTTTTTATTCTTTAGCATCGTCAAGAGCTTCTCAGTCTTGCTGCAAGTAAGATAACAAATCTGAAGAAAAAAGACATGGATGACAAGTTCATTATTTGCTTGAACAAAGTGTCAAAGCACTTTCCTCCATTCATGGATCGGTGAGTTTGTATTTCTAATCTGTTTATGCTATTTCAGCGTAATGCAAATAATGTCATAAATAAACAAGGAATTTTACCTTACCAAAATCCTTTACTCTGAAAGTAAATAGTTTTTCGAACTTGTCTGGGGCTTTTTGTAACGGCAGTTTTATTTAAACTTTTTCAGATTTGTCAACTTTGTGTTCTCCCTTCTGCCGAAGCTGCACGGCATCTTAAAGACTCAATGTTTGGAGTGTGTGCTGAGCCGAGCTGATGTCATCCCAGACATCTTTCTTCATCTAAAGACCACAGGCTTCATTCAGATGATGAGCCATAGGTAATCCTAACCATACGGCTCTCCATGATTTGCATGTTTATTGTTTTTCTGTTTTAATAAAGCCTGATTGCCTATTATTATAAGTATTCAGTGATTCTAATGATTCTGGGAATTTAAACGGGTACAGGAGGCAATATGTATAGTATTCATACAGTGCAGCAATGTGTTGTCATTTTGTTTAGTTATCACTTATTTAGACATTTGTTTTTTTATGATTTATTAACAGAGCTCTCTCAATAACCTAAATACTTTTTAAATAACCGGCTTCACACAAAAACAGTACATCCAGTTCCTTTGTGAGAATCAAATACAGAGACTCCAAAGAGATGTACCATTCAGGGAGTCCTTTATTTAGCTGATGTGACACAAATGTGAATGGTTTTTATTTCTTTTTTGCTGACCCATGTGTCTGCACATCTCTCCAGGGATGAATCGAGGCAGAGAGTTTGTCTGGATATCATCCACAAGATCACGGCCCGCCTGACTCCAGTTGAGCTTCAGGAGCTCCTGGGAGCCGTGACAGCTTTTGTGTCCCACCCTTCCCCAGTGTGCAGAGAGAGGATGTATGACATCCTCATGTGGATCCAGGACAACTACAGGTACTGTGAGCCTTTTTGGCTTCAAACTAAATGTGGGTAAAAATGCATTCCAGGTGGCAAAACTAGTCAAATGTGCAAATCCTCCATGATGACTCGTGTTATATTGCTCTATGCTCTTAAACTGCATTAGTGTGTGTGTGTGTGTGTGTGTGTGTGTGTGTGTGTGTGTGTGTGTGTGTGTGTGTGTGTGTGTGTGTGTGTGTGTGTGTGTGTGTGTGTGTGTGTGTGTGTGTGTGTGTGTGTGTGTGTGTGTGTGTGTGTGTGTGTGTGTGTGTGTGTGTGTGTGTTGTGTGTGTGTGTGTGTGTGTGTGTGTGTGGTGTGTGTGTGTGTGTGTGTGTGTGTGTTGTGTGTGTGTGTGTGTGTGTGTGTGTGTGTGTGTGTACAGAGTTCATGTGGTCTTTAATGATATACTGTTTTTCTTATCCGTCCAGTGATGCAGAGAGCATGGAAGACAACACCTCGGTTGAGGTCTTGAATGCAGCTAAAGAAACTTTACTTCAGGGACTATCTGAAGAAAACCAAGGCCTTCAGTAAGTCCCCAATATTTCTCACTTGCCTTAATTGTATGTTATCATTTCTTATATAACCCAGAAGAAGTGTGTCCTGAACCCTCCACCATACAGTATTGAGTGTTTTTTTAACAAACACCCCTCTTCCATTCTGTTTTCAGGCTTTATGTTCGGAACTTCTGGAGCCAGGAGAAGCGCCTTCCCACTGCGACCCTTGAGCGAATGATGGCAGTGCTTGGTTCTCTGTACTCCTGTCAAATAGAAAAGTGTTTCTTAAGCCTGGCTACCAATCTGCTGCTGGAAACGACCAGCCAGAGTCCCGACTTTAAACGAAACATGTTTGAGTATCCACTGTCAGAGTGTACCTTCCAGGTCCGTAGAAATCTGCAGCATTCATGTCTCTCAAAGATTTCCATTTTAAGATTGAATTTGTTTGTAACTGATGAGTGTGATGGGTTTTTCACTCTCTAGGACTATGTGATTGATTCCAACTGGCGCTTCAGGAGTACAGTAATGACTCCCATGTTTGTTGAAACCCAAAGCTCTCAAATCCCTGAGAGTGTGTCAGCGACGCAGTCTGGAAGCATAAAGGGGAAGGTCCGAGCCACTCAGACTTCATTGGAGTTCAGCCAAACTCAAACAGCAGGTACATAGAGTTGAATATCCTGGTATTGAAGCATAACTCATGATCGAGGCATGCGAGGTACCAGATATATTTGAATTGATTTTTCCCCAGGTCGACGTACAGCATATAACTGGCTGACGGGCAGCAGTGTGGATACACTAGCAGACTACACCCTTGGCTCTGAGTCTCTGTCGTCATTGATCGTGTTTGATAAGAAATCAGAGAGGCAGGCTGCAGCGAGGAGGCCAGTAGGAGAAGGATTTGGCCTCAGGCGGCTCACTGCATCAACAGATGAGGTGGACAGCCGCACACAAGGTTAGTCTTTTAAAAGGATAAACCCACCTTTTTAAATACGTAACATAAGTATGTTCTAATATAGAAATATTGGGTCATATAATCAAGTTGAAATAACTTGTGTCGAAAACCTCATGAGCAGTATGAGTATTTATGTTGATAGAAATTCTATTTATGAGAATCTTTTTTGTCAACAGCTGCAAACGAGCAACGTAATAACATCCTGAGATTGAGACGCCGATTTCTCAAGGATCAGGAGAAAGTCAGCTTGAATTTTGCACAAAAAGAGATCCGACATCAAAGACAGAAAAAGGTAATAAACCTGCAACCTTTGTGGAAGATTGAATGGCACCACAAATTCATTGTACTACTACTACTCATTTTAATACAGCCAGTGTCTATAACCATCAATGGTTCTGTTTGGTGTCCTACAGGAAGACAAAGCTGATCAGAGGCTAAAAAAAGAGGCTCAGGTGACTCTCTACCGTAACTACAGAGTGGGAGACTTTCCAGACGTCCAGATCCCGTACAGCAGCCTCATCGCCCCTCTCCAAGCACTAGCCCAGGTTAGACTGCCAGAGGTCTCTGTGCCCTTGCCCGGAAAAAGGACAACTTTAACCACAGCTAATTGACTTTTCCCTTTCTTTGTGTGGTCCTACAGAGAGATCCGATTTTAGCCAAGCAGCTGTTCAGCTCCCTGTTTGCTGGAATCCTTCAAGAAATGGAAACACTCAAACCAAGAGAGGAGAGCGGGAGGATTAAAGAGGAGCTGCGGTGCAACATGAATACATTCCTGAGCAAAAGCTCCCTCTGCTTCCCTCCATTTATAGCATGTGTGCAGGTAAGACATTGAGAATAATTAATCATTTAAATATGTTAACTCTTATGGCAGTCTTAAATCTGAAAAATGACATTTAAAAGGCTAAAATGGAAGATCTATTGGTCATAATTACACTGTATTAATGACCAATGAGAACAAAGCTAGAAAATTCCCTTGCAAGTTCTCATACTGAAGGTATTTTGAAACTTGATTATCAATGTCAACCCTAAAACGACATCCCTAAGGCCGAAAGCTGATGGGTTGAGTTTAAATCCTGCTTGTGTTGTTAGGACATGTGCCACCAGCATAAGGAGCTCCATCAGCTGGATCCAGCAGCCATCAGCTCCACCTGCCTGATGAGCCTCCAGCAGCCGTCGGGCATCCTGCTGCTGGAGGAGAGCTTGTTGCAGGGTGGGGGGGGGCCACGAAGAGCCTTCTGCCAAGCGCTCCCGAGGACGCAAAGAAATCCCCCCAGATACCAACAAATGGATCCACCTTGCAAGGTAATACATTGTTGTAATTAATGGTCTTAGGTGATTTGGTTAAGTGCTAAAAATGCTTTTTGTTTTCCAGGCTTTACAGATCCTTGGAGGATTTTGATGTTGTGCGTGGCATCTTGGTGGTAAAGTTGGGACCAAGTCCATCACCTGTGATGCACTTCAAGCTGAAGCCAACAATGACTATGCAGAAGCTGTTAAGCTTTACAATGAGGTATAGTTTTTCCCAATACAATACATCTATAGTGGTTATTTAACATGTCTAGGCACGTGGATTGGTTCAGTTTTACCTTGATTACCTGCTGTGTGTGAAACGTATTGATCATTTGTACACTCGCTCCATACTGGCAGGCTCTCAACACTGAGCTGTGGAGTGATAATGAGCCCACGGACTCCGAGAAGGACTTCTGGGAGATCGCTGCAATGGAGGCCTACAGTCATCTGACTGAGTGGAAGTCTCTCCAGTACTGCTCCACTGTGTACATAGATGAAAGCTCCCCGCCCAACCTGGAGAAGATGTGGTCTGAGCCGCTCTACCAGGTAATACATCTGACCTTTCAAATTCAAGGAATGTACCAAGAAGTTGACATCCTGCAAGTTTGACTCTGACCAAAATGCTATTCTTCTTCTCTTGTTTAAATTGCAGCGAGGGAGTGTTTGAAATGAAAACCTACATTACAGATACACCTCTTAGAATCTTTAGTCCTTTTTAGTAATACAATTATGCGATGGTAATCAAAGGTTACATTTGACCCCAAAAGAAGAAAGATTTCTTTAGCAAATCGGAGGATTATGAAATCAATGGTATTCAGATGTCATTTAAGTTTATGCAAAGCACAATGACAATGTCGTTAAACTACATGTGAGTACCAAATCTATGCACCACAGCTTTTCTTAATAGTATCTTTGCTTTGGTGCCAGGACATGTACCTGCAGCACATGATCCGCAGCATGTTGAAGCAGCTGCAGCTGGGCGAGACGGACCAAACTCTTCTCACCTTCATCGACAAAGCTATGAAGGTGGAGGAGCGCAAAAAGCTGCTGGAAAGTCATTACAGCCAAGAGCTCAGCTTACTTTACATCCTGCAGGAGGACTATGACCGCGCAAAATACTACACCAACTACGCCATGCAGCTCTTCATGCAGGTCGGCTGTTATTCATTCTTACTTCAAAAGCAACACAAAACGTTTTTACTGAACAGTATAATGTGTATGTATTTAGAATTCATACTTCGAAAATATTGGAAGTGGCAGTGCATTCAATGTCTTTGCCTCTTACAGAACTACTCCAGTGTGGATACACTGTTGACTCAAAGTCGGCTGACCATCCTGCAGTCAGTGCAGGCTTTGACTGAAATCCAGGACTTCCTACTGTTCATTAGAGAAGAGGGTGAGCAGATGCTACCTTTTTTAAAACAAAAAAAACTGCGAATATCCCCAAAAAACGACCCCTCAGGCTTATTATTTAATCCAAAGTAATACCCTGTAGTATAATCTCACTACAGCTGACCTCGTTACATACTTTGAAAACAATCTTCCACACTCTTCAATACCTTATTCATTTTCATTCATTAGTGTCTGTGAGCTCCCTAAAGCGGCTCATCCGACTGTGGACTGAGCGGTACCCTGATGCTAAAGCGGATCCAATTAACTTATGGGATGATATCATCACATCTCGGTAAGAAAGGAACATTTTGTGTAAATGATCAGAAAACAAATGATGTGTAACATTTGATCTCCACATTTCAGATGTTTCTTCTTGGACAAGATCAGGGAAAAGCTAAGGGTCCACGCTCCCAGTGACAGCATGGAGGTGGACGACTCAGAAGGTGACATTGACACATTAGTTAATGAGTGCAAGTTCAACATGAAGCTACAAATGGCCGACAGCGCGTGGAAGCAGGTGAGGAACCAGCTGTGGAGGTTATTCTTCTTGTGCTATCACGTGTTTACCATACACTCAATTTGGAACATGTATGTTGTTTTCAGAATAACTTTCCTGTGGCCACCAAGCTGCTGAAGGAACTTCACGGAGAGGCCAAAGCAAACAGAGGCTGGTTGCTGCGGTGGGTCCACAGCTATAGCCGTTGCAACCATAAACACAGCCTGGCCCAGGGTCCTGTGGAGCAAATCAGTACAGTGCTGAAGATTGTCCCACTCCTGGGTAAGCAAGGGAAATAACTCCTGCGTGAAGTCTTTGCCATAACACAACTGAGAATCAACAGCATTCAAGCATTTTATTTTTAGCATTTGTTCCTGTTTAAAACATTGTAGTAATTGAACAAGTCAGGGTGTCTACTTATTAATATCAGCATTTCAAGTTTGTAAGGCCATTCCTTGGAGGCATTCAACTAAAAGACACTTTTTTATTTTAGTTTTACACTTTTTGACGCTATTTATAGTTTGTGCGTTAGTTAGTCAGTTGTAGTAACGCATATAAAGTAATCAGCGTATGACATTGTTGAGATTATTTCAATGACACTCAAGTATAACTTCACTTAAAGGTGGGGTAGGTAAGTTTGAGAAACCGGCTCGAGATACACTTTTTGTTATATTCCATGGAATGCTCTTAACATCCCGATAGCAATGAATATCTGAAGTGCTTTGACCAAAAATCCATAAAAAAATGTCATCTGTGGAAGCTGTGGCGCTGTAAAAAGCACGACCAATCATTTGAGCCGGCCCGGCTAAAGTAACTGGATGGCCTACCTGCCTGTCAGCTTTCCATCTGTGCACAAACTTATCTCGTGCCCTCATTGGTCATGTGCGCGTTCGTGTGCGTTGGAGGAGGGGCTCTGTGAGGAAGTGGCAGATTTGTTCCGGTTGTGTATTTTCAAATTCTAGCGCACTCGAGCTGGTTTCTCCAAAATCACCTACCCCACCTTTAAGTTGCTGTGAAATGCTGAAAAGTGTGCCTGTATTTTAATGTCAGCTCTTTTGTTTCTGCAGAGGACCTTCAGGATGACTGTCAGAACGCCACAGCTAAAATATTCAGATTCCAAAAGATACTCCAGGGTACGTCTTTCGACATCCTGGCAACGGCTGTAAGCAAGAGCCCCTCTGTGCTGGGAACTATTGAAGCTGAGAAGGCAGAGAGAATTGCGCAGCTCTCTGGATATGCTTGGCCCAGTGCAGATCCAAAGGTAGGTATCCTTCTTATATGTTTTAAAACATATAATGTACAGTATGTCTTGTGCAAAAATGTGTTGTATGTTAAAAATAATGATTTGCTAAAAACTGTTTTTCCTGCAGAAAGTGGAAGTGGGGCTGCAGCTAAAAGCATTGCAGTTGCTGTGTGATGCTACCAGAAAGGCTGATGAAGAGCTCCAGTCTTATACTCAGGACTGTGTGGAGAGCAGCAGCATCATTGAGACATACATGGCTTTGGCTAACTTCTGTGACAAGCTGCTGCGGGAGGAGGAGCAGAAAGATACTGGTGCGACATAATACTAGCTTAATGGTTTGCAAAGGATACTCTGAGGACACTTTATTTACTGTTTACGTTTTTTCATGCCCTCATGCAACCGTAACCCAGTGATCGAACTTGTAATGTTTTTGCGTTTCGTTACAGAAAGCCAATTTCCAGACCTGCTGTCGCTGCCTGTTCATGTAGTGGAGAGCATGATGAAAGCACTGAAGATGAACTCAGAGGAAGCTCGACTCAAGTTCCCACGTCTGCTGCAGATCATAGAGTTGTACCCCTCTGAGACACTGGACCTCATAACAAAAGAGGTAAGAATCTTAAAACCAGGGATGTCATGTTGTGTGAAAACAAAATTATCATTTAAAAATCAATAATTTGACTCTGTTATCTTGAATTTGTGAAGAAAGGTTGTTTTTCCCCGCATGATTTCAAACAGAATTGAAGTAAAGCCATATTAAAACATCTGTTTCTGTGTGTAGATGATGTCTATTCCATGCTGGATGCTGATTGGCTGGATTAGCCAAATGGTTGCCCTACTGGACAAGCCCGAAGCAGTGGCCGTGCAGCATTGCATTGGGCAGATAGCAGAGTGCTACCCTCAGGCACTGGTTTACGCTCTGATGATCAGCAGAGAATGTTACCAGTTTGAGGACTCTGCTACAGGCTTCAGGCAGCAGGAATTTGTCAACAGGTAAACTACCAAAAATAAATTCTGGGGAAGAATTAAAAAAGACACTTTAATATACATAAATTACTATTGTGTGTGTGTGTGTGTGTGTGTGTGTGTGTGTGTGTGTGTGTGTGTGTGTGTGTGTGTGTGTGTGTGTGTGTGTGTGTGTGTGTGTGTGTGTGTGTGTGTGTGTGTGTGTGTGTGTGTGTGTGTGTGTGTGTGTGTGTGTGTGTGTGTGTGTGTGTGTGTGTGTGTGTGTGTGTGTGTGTGTGTGTGTGTGTGTGTGTGTGTGTGTGTGTGTGTGTGTGTGTGTGTGTGTGTGTGTGTGTGGTGTGTGTGTGTGTGTGTGTGTGTGTGTGTGTGTGTGTGTGTGGTGTGTGTGTGTGTGTGTGTGTGTGTGTGTGTGTGTGTGTGTGTGTGTGTGTGTGTGTGTGTGTGTGTGTGTGTGTGTGTGTGTGTGTGTGTGTGTGTGTGTGTGTGTGTGTGTGTGTACTTACACTTACAGGCTCATGAGCATGCTTGATAAAGGAGAAGCTGTGAAAAACTTTGTGGATGCACTGCAGCAGCTAACAAACCCTGATATGCTTTTTAAGGTAAGTGACGATGAATTAACCAAACGGCCCCTGGTTATTAACCTGTCTTTACCTGATGATTGTCATTTGGCCCACACAGGATTGGTGGGACTATGTGAAAAATGAATTGGAAGGACCAAGCTTTGACAAGAAGCAGATGGCCAACATGTATGACGAGATGCTCTCTTCCCTCGGGGATCGTGACATGGGCCGTCATGGAAAGTTTCGCACAAGATTCATCAAGGCTTGTTTTCTTTGATCCCTTTCGTATAGCAAAAGTGTTTACTCTACACAAATGCACTATTCAACGTCATTTGTTTGTTTATTTCACAGAAATTTTCCAAAGAGGTGGAGAAACTACTGGGACCTAACGGCAGCAAACTGTTTGAGAAGAGGAAAGAGAAGAATTTTGTGCGGCAGGTGGAGGAACTCGCATCATCCATGCGTCAATTCCCAAATGACCCACCAGGGAATCTGAAGGAATACTCGCCCTTGCTGAGTAGATTTAAAGCAGACACATTCAACAATGAGCTAGAGATACCAGGTCAGTTTAAACTTGCAATCTGAGCTCTCTAAATGTAGGTGTTGATTAATCTGTTGGCTGATAAAGCTGTTTTTCTTTCCTGTCGTTATAGGACAATATGATGGCAGATCCAAACCTTTGCCAGAGTATCATGCAAAAATAACAGGCTTTGACGAAAGGGTATGTTTATTTTGACATTTACTGTAAAATAATAGTTTTCTAACCCTTTTTTAAGGTCGGTACATTAGCTTGATTTTATGCCCCGCAGGTAAAGGTGATGTCCTCTCTTCGCAAACCCAAACGTCTGATCATCCGTGGGGATGATGAACGGGACCACCCCTTCCTGGTGAAGGGTGGAGAGGACCTTCGTCAGGACCAACGCATCGAGCAGCTGTTTGTTGTCATGAACATTCTTCTGAGTCACGATGCGGCCTGCACCAACAGAGGCATGCAGCTGCGCACCTATCAAGTCATTCCCATCACCAGAAGGTAGTGGGCTTCTCTGCTTATCCATTACTCTGTTCTTCCAGTTGAATTGAATGCATGTAATCTTTACATAAATTGAAGTAGGACTAGATCATGGTTGTTTTCATGTTCTTTGGTAGCGGGGTCGAGCAAGGAAGAGATTAAAAACAGCACAAAGTCTAGATATACAAAAACGATTATATTTTCTAATACAAATTGAAATAATACTAGTATTGTTCAGTGAAGTTTAATTTGCCATCCTCACTGCCTTTACAGAATTGGCCTCATTGAATGGATGGAGAATACCTGTACTCTGAAAGACTTCTTGCAGAACACAATGACTGACGCTGAACGGGACACAGCAGGAAGGTACAGTATTTATATTTCACTCTTATAACTTAGATGTCTTGAGTGATTAAGTTGAAATTAAATCTTCAGAGCTATTAAACTTTCCACATTATATATATTTGTATCAAATATTATGAATTTGAGATCCAAGATACTGTATATCGTAATTAAGGTTTTAAGGTCTAAAGAAAATATAAAATACAATAACACTAAACTAAACTATTGTCTTTCTTCTTTTAAAGGTGTGCCGAAGATTACAATAAATGGCTTCAAACCATGAGTAAAGATAAAAGTGGTATAGCACTATATGGTTTAGCTTACAAGTAAGTTTCCTGAGTGTTCATTTTTTATCCTGAAACTTAAAAGTTTTGTCAAATGTGAAATATCAGACAACCATGATCTACAGCATATTTATCCTTTGTCAGGAAAGCCAAACGTAATGAGACGGTCAACAACTTTTCCAAAGTGCTGAAGCATGTACCCAGCGATCTCCTGAAGTAAGTTTCATTTGTATTAAATAAAACTGCTCATTATAACATCATTTCACAACATAACTCAATTTCTTCTCTTTTTCAATTTCGCAGGAGAGCTTTCCTGAAGATGTGCAACAGCCCTGAGGCCTTTCTTTCCTTGCGCTCACACTTCATCAGCTCGCATGCCTTGCTCTGTGTGAGCCACTGGATTCTAGGTATTGGAGACCGCCATCTCTCCAACTTCATGATCAACATGGAAACAGGAGGCATGATCGGCATCGACTTTGGTCATGCATTCGGTTCAGCCACACAGGTTATTCTTGTTTGTTGCATTTCAAATGAATGTTGAAATATTTCAGTCGGTACCAAAGTGGTGACCTGACCTATTATAAATAAATTGTATTTCCTCACAGTTCCTCCCTGTGCCTGAGCTCATGCCATTCCGGCTGACACAGCAGTTTGTGAATCTAATGCAACCATTGAAGGAGTCGGGTTTGATCCAGAGCATCATGGTACACTCCCTCCGAGCCTACAGAGCTGAGCCAGACCTTTTGCTGAACACCATGGATGTGTTCGTCAAGGAGCCCTCGCTGGACTGGAAGGTAACCAATCACTCCTCCCTCGAAAAGATCCTATTAAACATTGAATTTCTGATTTGTCACTGTGCAACAAGTGAACTGCAGATTATAAGGCATTAGTATAGGAGATCATCTCTGGGGTTGTTTGGGAACTTAAATGTGTGATAGACAGAATATGTGGGGTGATCGTCTCTAGAGTTGTAATATTTGACACAAACATGAAATGGAGACCTTTTTCTAATACTTCACACTTAACAAACTGAACTACAAATGATGTTTCTCTTACAGAACTTTGAGTTGAAACAGCTGAAGAAAGGAGGCACATGGACAGAAGACGTGAACACCAAAGAAATCAACTGGTACCCCCTGCAGAAGGTGAACTTTGCCAGAAGAAAACTAGAAGGAGCAAATCCAGCTGCTATAACCAGGTATATAATCATATACAGTATCATCACAATACGTTAGACCACTTAATAGGATTTCATTCATGTTAGACCAAATTAATTACATTTTATTATCTAAGTTCTGTTTCAGAGGCTTTTTTGAGCCTTCAAAATGGCATAATTTGAATTGGACATGTGTGTGATTGGATGTTGTTTTGTTATTGTCAGTGAGGAGCTGAAGCTGGGCTTTGAGAAGGACGCTTCTTTCCCAGGGCTCCAGTCTGTGGCCCTGGGGAGTGAGGAGCACAACATCCGTGCTAAGCTTCCAGCTGCAGGCTTGTCAGTGGAGAAGCAGGTGGACTGTCTGCTGGACCAAGCCATGGACCCAAATGTGCTTGGCAGAGTTTGGCAGGGCTGGGAACCATGGATGTGATTGGTTTTCACAACTCATTGCTGGATAGTCGCACAGACTTTGGAAAATGTGTAGGAAAAGGAAATTGGGGAACATTGTTTAAAAAAATATCCTTGTAAGGTCAAATGTTTTGTCTTTTGTACCTGTGAAAGATACTTTTTGAAATATGAAAAGGATTTGGCAGTATCAGCATATTATTGGCCACTTTCATAACATTTCAAAATGTTTGTGTGGTAATGTAATTTGAGAATAGTACAATTAAAGATTCTTGTTTTAACATAAGGGCATATTTTGATGTTGGCAATTCCTTGCACTTAAATTCTACTGGAACAGAACCAATCTTTACTATCCTTTATTTCTGTCTTGTAACTTCAGTTTGAACAAAAAAATAAATGTGAGATGCTGATGTAAAAAAATATACTATCACTTGGGTTGTCTATTTTTAAACTTTTATAATATTGTGAACTTGGGAAAATACATAATATTTTAGATTTGTACGATACAACAAATGCATTCATTTTTCATTGCACGAAAAACTTTAACCATCATTTTAAAAAGCATTTTAAAGAAGCTAAGGGAGCAGTGACTTTGTAACAATATTTTATTGGCTAGCAATTCAAGGCTCAAGCTCAAAACTTGTGCAAGTCTACACAATATTTGTATGGACAATAATGACATCAACATAGGTCACACAAAGACCTATGTTACATATCGCCTTTACACATAAGTTCATTCAAACACAAAAACTTGACTTTGATATATTTTTCATGATTTTAAACTATCAGCCAGAACATCCCCAAGGTTTTGAGTTAGGGAGGATGGTTTAGCTGTCAAAAGATGGTGCAAGTCCAAAGTGCTGTCTGCGTACTGGCTATAATGTGTGAGAAAAGTCTCTTTGAGTGCCTCCTTTTCTGAGCTAGTAGTTTTAGAATAACCAGACACTAACTCTGTGTATGTATACCAGGCTTTCTCTATGTTGTTCACTGGAATTTGGTAGACACCAGCTGCCCATTTCATTTCCGCACGAAAGTAGTCAAGCTTAACATCAAGAGCTTTAATGTCAGAGTAAACAACATGAATTGGGTCTGCTTGTGGTGCTAGCAACAGCATGGATTTAATCCCTCCAGCAATCTGTCCCCCAACTATTGGTACAGGTTCTATATTAGCAACAAGTACCTCTCCAATTATTAATAATTGTTCTTAAACCAATTTTTTATCTTTTCACACTTCCCTTCTCTGCCTCCACTTTCATGCCCTCCATCAGAGTGTCTGGTGGATCGCTAAGGACAGGGAGGAAGGAGGACATCAACAGCAGTAACAGCAGGCCAGGAGTTCACATGACTGACAACATACAAACAATATGACAATAACTGTAATTAACTTTTATGTGTATAAGTACATATCGATGATTATAAACCAACATCTGAAATATTTCTAGCGTTCTCCTTTGTCCGTCCATGCTTCAATAGTCACATTTTCAGATTAGGAGCTTCACTTATAGACACAACAACATGACACTCAACATTTTAACAAAATGTTTAATCTCTCAACATAGACAACAGACCTGGAAGGAGGCTTAGAGCGCTGATCTGCCCGTGGAATGGATGCTCAGAAGGCTGATGGCTGGTGCTGCGCTGGGCCCTCGGAATGGTCGGAGAGTTGAGTTGTTGGTTATTTAGGAGCTCAATTAAGTTTTGGAGATGGTTTCAGATCTGGAGTCTTTATAGAAAACTGACCAGTCCCACCTCATTGATAAGGCAGTTTGTATCCATATTTGGCCTGATGGAGTTGGAGGGGTGGCTTTGCCTTATACAGTGGAACAGAAGGAGGGACGTTATTAATTCATGGTATTTATTTTAGTGCTTTTCCAAGTGTTCAAAGAGCTTTACATTACATATTACATATATTAATACATGCAATTTAGGGTGAAGTGTCTTGCCCAAGGACACAATGGCATGTTTTCTGCAGTGGCGGTCAGGGTGGGATTGAACCTGTGATCAGCGGTCCAAACCACTGCGCCACACCCTTATTGACCTGAAATAATCCTATTCCTGATCCTAATCCGTATACAATAAAGTGAAATAATAAAACGCATTCTGAATTCAACTATAATAAACACCTAAATGTTTTGCTACAGGACACAAAATACTTTCTAAATGCCAGACAGGGTTTTTATGACATCCCTTTACCATGATAGCATTACAGAAAGTGTCCATTAACTGTCCCCAACTGTCTACAAAAGTATTGAAGTGGAACAAACTGTACAAAAGCAAATTGTCCTTCCATGTACTAGTAATTAGCATTTGTTTTGTAACGCTTGGCTGTGTGAAATGGGAAGCATTTGTTGTACTTCTGCTGAGGTGCATTAGGTCAGTGACATTGCACTAGAGCCAACAGATAGCTAATCTCTTCACACAAGATTGGGAGTCCAAAAAGAATACACATAAAGCCACAGGGGGTATGTGTGAGAGTACATTTGCCCTGAAATCAGATGTAAATGTAAAACTATAAATAAATCCTTGTAAGGCAAAGTAAAACATCTAAAAGGAAAACTCGAAATGTATAGGACTAATTGATATCATTGTCTGTGATTATGAGACAAGTTACCGCCGTAGGTCATCTGGATCAACCTCTAGGACTCTCTAAGGCTTCAAATATAAACTTCTGTAAAGTTGAGCCATACAAAAAGCAGAACTGGTGTTACCTTTAACTGAGACGTTAACCTGCTTGATGTAAGGCAGGAAACAGCGGGGGAGGGAAAGCAGAACTGATGAAGCACTAACTGATTTCGAATTTCGTCAGATAGGATCTGCAATAAGTTACTCAAATCCTCCAGAGTTCTGCTGAGGGCTTTCTGCAATATGTTATGAGATGTAATATCTTTGAGGCCATTTGGAATGCAACTGTTTTAAGAGATTACAGAGAACACCTTGTACAGTTTATGATTATGTAATTAAAGCATTAATACTTTATCCAGGTCTGGTAGCTATATCAAAGGTGCAATCTTGAACTTATTTCACATGAACTGTGCTAAACTGAACAGGCCTAAAAACCCACGCACACACACAAACGTCAGTTAATCAATTTTTTTAATAGATAATACCATTTTTAAAATAGGGAAACAGTATAATTGAAATATAACTATTAAACTCAATATTTCAGTAATGTTGACCTTTACTTTTCCAAATTTGATCAAAACAAGTGTTAGTTATTTTGTTTGTGCACAGAGATGGTAATCATTCATACATCCCCGATCGAGGGGGACAGACGTTATTATTATCAGATAGCTATTAGTGTTAAAAGCTTGATGATGGTGTATTTACAGAGCTAGGTCATTTGTTGTAGTGTGTTCACAGTTTACTCAGAATTATTCAAGTACAAATTGGACTTTCTCTGGAATTACCGCTGTGGTAATTCAATGTGCATAATACTCCATTTCTTTGTGTCACTCACTTGTTGTTACTACCATGGTCGACATGGCTATCGCATAAGACATCAATCACCATAGAATAATAAGGTCATGGGACACATTCCAATCCCATTCGAATAAGGGGACAAAGTAACAAGGAAATCTGGAAAATCACCTGAAAACTTTGCTCATTCAAATTGTTAGTCATTTTCTATGTAGTCGAACTGAGGCTTGCAGGGTTTTTCCTCCCTGCGTTGCCATGTGTTATTTAAATACATGGATTTACAAACCAAAGTAGAACGTAAATGGTACAGAATAAAAAAAGGAAATTTGAACAAAAGCTTTTTTCTCAATACAAATCATTTCACCGTTAGTTATTACTTTTTTTTATATAAAAATCACATTTGTACTAACATAACAAATACAAAATATCAAGTAAAATATGTAACAACCCACTGCAAAAAGTGACAGAGGGGAAAAAACAACAGCCAACAGGACCTGGGTTGCAGACATGCTGTTTTTGCTGAGGCACCTTCATATATCAGCACTACCAACAGTCTGATAACAATAACTCTTCTGCATATTTGTGTTAAATACTGCATAAATACAATACAACTCTGAATCAAGGCTAAATAAAACAAAGATTGGTACCAATAAAAACAAAATGTCATTTTATCAGATCATTTTCAATTTGACCTATGCCTCTCAGGCTATGGGGAAAATACATACATGTTAAGAGTATATTCCTAAGACAAGAGACTGACTTAAAAAAATGTTAAGCCAAAGGTAAATATAATATATTTTAAGGTCTCTGGGTTAAGGCGCAGCAAAGTTATCTTCTTTCTAGCATTAGAGGACACTTATAATGCATACAATGAGAATAAAGGAGACGTACCATTTTAGTTTTGAATAGGCGTGTAGTGCATTCACTTTCTACAAAGACACTATTTTATAGGTTTATATATTTAATTTTCTTAACAGCAATTAATTAGGCTGAGAGCTACCAAAGTGCATGATGCATATTTTCTATTTTAATGTAGAATGTCATGGCCCATTACCAGTCAGTTGTTTCCATTTTAGATTTAAAGTAAGGACATCATATTGTTAAGGTCTCTGCCATTTTTAGTAGAGAGGTTTAAGGTTTAAGGAAAGAGCCATATAGGTCAATTAAACTTTAGATTAGAAAAGCATCAAATAGAAACAACATCTTGTTTCACATAAGAGAACATGAGAACCCTTTGATGAGAGCTAACTTCGCAAAGAAGAATATCACAACAAGAATGCAGATGCCATTAACACTAAATTAACACTTTCTCTTAAAAAAAGACTCTTACCTGATTGACATTAAAAGCTGATGTATTTGGTTTTATCCAACATAAAAGGTATTAAAAAACTTAAAGGGTCATACAGCTGCAAAATCAACTCCTTTAATTCTTTTAAAACTGTGCATCAGTATGATACTACAGGGTGAAATGTAACATCATTGAGTATTTCTTGCCAATTGGAAAATAAATGAATTTTCAAAGATTCTGATGAAATGTACAGCTTAAGACCTCTCTACCTTTCTTTTAAAAGATGAAAAAGTTAAATTCAAGTTAAGTATCTTTACTTGTTGGGTTTTGAGTTCATTCAACAGAAGTGAATTAAATCAACTGTTTTGATTTTTGTTTAGAAATGTTTGAACAGCAGAATTCTCTATCATATCCCTGAACTCATGCATAACTATAATTGCAAGCTTGGGATCATGCAAGCTTTATGTTGTGTGGTACCAAATGTCAAAATGTGTCTCCGCAAAGACATCAAAATATTGTTTAACTTTTGTTTAAATGTGAAAATAGAACATCTGTTTTTCGTGCTGTTTTTTAAATCCTGGAAATAGCAATGTTGTGATATTCCTCTTTAAGGACAGAGGGATATATATTTATCAATATCATTATTAAGATAATAGCGCCACATCAGTGCTTTACAATTGTTGGCCTAATAAAGAATTGGTGTGATAACATGAACACTTACGGAAAATAACTAAGTAGCTGACGTGAAAATGTCTACAAGGAAATAAATTCATGTTATACGAAAAGAAACTCTTTGTGACCTGGTGTGCATAGCATATATACTGAAGGCTTGATGTTCCCTGCTTTACGACAGGACCTAGTGTCATACACTGTTATATCTTGGGTCTCCACCCACTTATGAACTGCATGAGTTTCTTTACCTGCAGTTTGCTTAGCTTGAAATCCTCTGACAAAATCTCCTCAGTGAGCTGCAGGAGTAAACTCCCATCGATCTTCTCAGTCACGAAAAAAGAAACAATGTCATCCGGCAGGCCAATAAACCTTAGAGATCTGGACACCTCTTCAATAGAAAGATTAGCCAGACTGGAGGGTGGCTGCCACTGTGCATTGGGAGATAATGATGGAGAGTTAGGAGTTAATGAAGTAGAGATGAGAGGTATCTCTTTTGTGCCCTTCTCAAGTTTAGGTAGTGAGCAATTTGACGTTTCCTGCTCACTGTCACCATCGAATCCTGACAGTAAATCCGTGCCCTTCTTTATAGCATTTGATTTTGGTGTTCTCGGCGGCAGGATGGGGCAAGAGAGGCTCTGCTTTGTGTCAGATTCTTCTATTGGCTTGTTTCTGTACATTTCTGAATGGTAACTTGAAGATTTGGTGCAGAAGTGATTCACGGAGGCTTTCTGCGACCTGAAGTTCTTACTGCTGTGAGCATGCTCTCCATCAAAGTCAACAAAGCTGGCTGTGCAGGCTTTCTGGCTGCTCTGGGATCTTTTTCTGGGGTAGCTGTAGTAACTTCGACAGCCAGATGGTAGAAACTCCTCCATGCTGTGCGATTCTCCTCCGCTGAGGTTATTTGGCCACGACAACCTGGAGGACATCCCATCTGATGGCAGGCTACTGCTTGGCCACGTCACATTCGGCTCAATGCTGTGGGATCTAACCCAGTTGCAGGGGTTGCACACATGGCTTGGTTCTTGTGGATCATCGGCCTCCTGCTCAGATGCTCCACTACTGATGGAAAAACAAAAATATTTTGGGGTATAAGAGCAGACCTCATAACAAATATTTCAAAAACAGAAATGTGGGTGAATAAAAATGTATGTCTGTCAAGGATTAGCATAAAGTTTCCATTTAAACAAATATGTGTAATTGTCTAAATGTATTAAATCTTACTTTTGTCAAAGTGATTTTATTTTCCTGATATTTTCTTTCTTATTCTCATTGGTTGTGATTAGTGTCACATGATTGCTATGAAATGGTGCCAATTCTTACATGTTGTGGAGTCCAGAAGAATAGTAGGAGAGGGTCGGACTTGGAGACCGAGTGTCTTGCTGCCGTGGCTTAGACAGGATGGGCAGTGATGCCATCTGTTTCAAGCTTCGTGGAGGAATTGGTGGGGCATTCAAAAGACGGCATTCTTCCTTCACCTAGAAGGGTAAAACATTTTTTTAGAGGGTGAAATTTAGTGAAATGAGAAGGAATTAATTCAATGTTATATGAATAGATTGGGCAACATTGAGAAACCACCGGTGTAACCAAATCTTAAGGATTACCACTGTAAGCAAAATATATTATACTCACAGCTTGAGACTTGGGCGGAACCGGTGGTGGAGTAAGAGACGAATCTGTAGTGACTGGGTATGACAGGGCTGTTGTTGTGCTGCAGCCATTGTTGATGCCTCGAAGTCCCTCACTCACAGAAGGTTTTGGGATCTGACCTCTCAATTGGTCCAACCACAGCTCCTCATAGGGGACGTCAGACTTGTTGGGGGATGGTTGTGAGTTTGTGCTATCCATCAGTCCGGGGTAAAAGTGTTCATTTTCTCCAGATTCTGAAGGGATGCTATCCGAGGGCAGAAGAGCCCAATCTCCACACAGTGTCATACAGCCTTGCAAATTGACCTCACTGTTACCGTGCAGGTTGCTGCCGTACACGCACACAGATAGACGGTGGAAGGACTGGGTGAGTTCCTCCCGGGCATAGGTTAAAGAACTGGGAATCTGCATTTGGTTGGGACAACCGTTGGAGCTGCTGCTGCATCCGCTGCTTCCACCGCAACTGCCATTCCCGCTGGTTTTCTTGGGGCTCTTACCGTCGTCGTTCCAGTCTGTCCGCACATCCCGAACAGCACGAGAATAGTCATCTATGTCAAACTGATCCTGGCAGAAGGAGAACCAGCGATGTACCATAGTTTCTAGCCACAGCTCTCCTTGCAAGAGCTCTTCTGGAATAATACATCTAGGCATGGCCATATGAAAGGGAAAATGGATGGGGATAATTTTGTTGCTTCGCAGGATGCAGCACACAACCACCGTCTTTGTCTGAATGTTGACTAACTTGTAGCGATGACCCTCACGAATGAGGTGGAGGTCATAATGGTTGCGGGGTGGACTGTTGGGGACTGATACATTGACAGGGAGACGGGTTTTCTCCACAATGTTCCTGATGATGTGCTCGCCGTCCTGCATCTGGAGCTCCAATGGGCTACAGGTGCTGAACCTGCCTTTGCACTGGAAAGGCAGGCTGATGCTCTCGTTGGTGCGATGGTTCATGCAGATCAAGCAGGGCATCTTGCCTCGACCGATCTTACTGATGGAGTTTAGCTTCCCAATCTTCTTAAAAATTGTGTTGAATCTTGATTTTTCTTTGGAGGTCTTGGCATATAGAATCTCAGCCTGGCCCATTAATGTCAGTTCATCACCGGTGCAAAGTGTTATGTTGTACACTTCGGTATCTTCATTGCATTCGCCTGAAGCCATCTGTGAAAAGATGAGATTTGAGAAAGATCAGAAGGGCTGACGAAATGAAGGAGAGCTTTACCACCTTGTCATTTTTAAACATTTTGATTTAGTTTATACATTTGAATAGACACTACCGAATTCAGAAGGAGTCATAACAATCGATTATAAGAAATGAGATATACCTTAACATTGAACGTGATTTCTTCCATAACGTATACCCTTTCAGGGAATGCTTTAGCCACCTCCTCCACACTGTTGAAGTACTGCACAGGCTCCTTGACATCTCTGTCCTGCTCCAGTAGCTTAAACTGACCTGAAGTAGGAAAAGTCGTATCAATGCAACTGAAAGGTTTAGGAACCTATTGTTGATAGATTTTTTTATTAAACACTGATACATCAAAAAAAACTTAAAATGTAAAATGCATTTAATCATTCAAGAAGCCCACAATTCCAACCCTGTGTGTTGGTTTTGACATATACAAAGATACCAAAAGACAATGTCAAGCAAATTCAAAAGCCTCGAGCATCCAAGCAGAAGCAGCTCACCTTCATAGTGCACCGGGATCTCTATTTTGGGCCCAATGACATAGTGTCCCTCCTCCAGACTGTGAGCAGTAATAGTTGTCCACTGACGGCAGGAATGAATCAAGAGGTAGTCATTGTCTCTGAGCCCTTCAACCATCTGACCTGACAGAATTAAACCAACAGACAAAACTGATTATCCCTCAAAATCCATGCTAGATTGGAATACTGTAAAACGTACACCTTCTTTAATAAACATTTAGAATATCTTCTGATGCTGCCCCTTTGAACAATCAAAATCTGTCATAAAAGTGCCATGACCTCTAGAGATCAATAAAGGCCTATCTTATAAAACACCAACACACTTCATGTATCCCGTGAAACACAATGTAAATGTTGCATAATTCGGCTTGCAAAATGTGAAATTCCTGGTATAAAGTTGTTGAAATATTAAATATTATATCTCTAACACAGATGGCCATAGCTTTGTTTGAAGTTGTTTAACATGTCTTTTTTTCTATTAATAGGCCTGATTAGAATGTGGTACAAGGAAGGAAAATGTGTTTGAGACAAATATTAAAGGATTATCCCAAACATTAAACAATATGCCATAAATACCACTTTTGAGCCTGACATGCTTTTTCGACTCAATCCAAGGCATTACACTCAGTACAATACAATCATTATCCTCCATGGACAATGACAAATGCATTAATCCATACCTCTATCAAAAGCACGCATTGTCGAATATCTGTGTCTAAATCAGGCATCACGCTACCTTTACAGTTTATGATATGCACACATGTCCATGTAATCACTGTGTTGCACACCTAACAGTCTCCTCGGGCCTTAATGCATTGTACCTAACATGAAACATTATCGCTGTTATTACATTAAATGTTTATACTCTAACTTTCTGCATGTACTTGCATTGCTGCAGCGTGACAGCAGAGAGGTTACAGGACATATAAAGTAACACTGACAAAAGTCGTTATTTGTTGTAACTGCACGATATATAATAGCGCAGAAAAAGACAGTGAAGCCACTTTCATCATTAAACATTACAGTTCTAATACCAATATGACACTTCTGACATGAATTAAGACGATACGCTGACAAAACCAAGAGGAACTATTTGTCTTTCAAATAGTTATGGTAGGTTTAGCTGCTAATTAGCAATGTAGCAGCTAGCAAAAGACAACTTAGAAGTGACAGCAAGTTACTAACCGTTATCCAGCTTGGCCATTTGAGGCAACCTATAAGCACTCACAAGTTGATCTAATGGTAAAGACGTAGTGCTCCATGTAACATCTTTTAAATTGTTGTATAACATTGTTCCAAGGTCCATTTTGCTAGCTTATTAGCCAGCTGGAAAGCTAGCTAGCAATGTGTAAACACGGTCACAAAAGGCTACACTAAGCTAACCAACTGAATAATATATCAACTCTCCATCGACAGTTTTATGTTTGGCACGTATCTTATTAATCGTCGCATATTTCCCTTTGCATTTGCCTACGTATCTTTAAGGTCCGTAGTCTTATAATGTAGCAAAGACATGTTTGTTTAGCTCGCGACGTCTGCACCAGGGCAACTAGTCTGAAGTTAAGTGAATAACGGAAATACGTTTTGGTTTCTTTTAAAATAAAAGCTTTATTTACATTGGGGTACATATGAGGGTGAATAACACAAAACACATGTCAAACTTTCTCAGTGAAGTTGTTCTAATCCTTTAGAATATAAAACATAGCGCGCTAGAGGGAATTGTATTTGAAAATGGGTCAATTTGAGAGCAATTTATTTATTAAAGTATGTACCGGAAGTTGTAATGTTGTACATCTAACTGTGTTGCGCATGCTGGTAAATTCAAGACAAAGGGGCAAAAATAAAGACAACCTGGTGCTCCATTAAGGCTTGTAAATTAATTATAATGACAAAAACCGACACTTAAATAGTTCCAATTGCTTGTCTCTGTACTTTAAAAGCCACTCCTTAAATATTTCAGCAACCCATCCCCCTTAGCATAGGCTACCTGTATATATTATGCAAAACCATTACATTCAAGTAAAAGTAGTATGGGAATGTAATGGGCCTACCAACACACGTCAGCCTATATAATTGCCATATAATCACATGGGAGGAAGGACTAAATCAATTGGGCCTTCAAACTTGCATAGGCTATATAAATGTGCCAACAATGACACCATCATCACACTTCCTGGTGCAGCTGGTACAAATAAGAAAAACTTCCCTATTTTTGGTCTTTAGCGAAGTGTACTCCTACCCAGCAACTATGTCTTTTGTTGCCACTCTGCGCCAGTGGGACATGGCTATAACTTGTGTTGACAGACAGGATTTGTCAGAGGCACTCAAGATTTTCCTGTCTATCCAAGATCCAAACTCTAAAATTAGTTTTGACATTGGCTGTCTCCATTTTCTCAACAAAGACCTGGATGCTGCTGAAAAGGTACGATTGACCTTTGTTCGTAGATTAATGTAAGCCAAAACATTTCCCACAAAGTTTTATTTATTTATAATATTACTTAAATCTTGTTCAGGGATGTAAACTGATTAGGCTGAAATGAAATGATGTGATATTTCTGAGTGTGAAATCGCAAGTCACTGAGAAAGAAGAAGTAGAGTTTACCATTTCTCTTTTCTAATAGGAAGTAACTGTGTTGTCTTGTGTTTCTCAGGCGTTTGATTGCAGCATCCGTAAAGATGAGCATTTGGCTGTTGCCTTCTTTCAAAGAGGAATGACATTTTACAAAAAGAAGAGGCAAGAAACACTAGTCATCTTAATTCAATGGCCACAATTTGTTTTCATATTTAACACTATAATTAAAAAATACTACACACAGTATGTTTTCGTTATCATACATTTAGGTACTTTTTTTGTAATTGTTTTGGTTTATTGCAAAAATAATTAGATTTTATGTTTGGATTTTTTTATATTCAAAGGTATGAGGAGAGTTTAGCTGATTTCCAGCAAGCTTTCAAAGCACTAAGAGGCAACCAGCTGATAGATTACAAAGCGCTTGGTCTCAGATACAAATTATATGCATGTGAGGTAAGTATTTAAAAGCCTCCAATCATGTTTATATGTTCTTGTGAAGCCTCCTTATTAGTGGAAAGCAAGGTTCTATAATAACAATGTTTACTGCAATAGGTTCTTATCAATATGGCTCTGTCTGAGGCTCAGCTGGGTAACTGGGAAGAAGCCCACAAAAACCTTGTGAAGGCTCTCAATTACAAGACAGACGCCAAGCTCAACATCATCGATAAAGCTCTGGATTCCGCCCTGGTCAGTTAACATACTGTAAAGTAATCACTATTTAATGATTATACACAGTGGTATTAGTGATGTAATTAAAATGTTCTTTCATGTCAGAATTACTTGACAAATATTATAATATCCATTGCAATGCATTATCACCAACAGAAACAGAAACTTTTCAAACCAGTCGAGTTCCCATCAAAAGTGCTTTTCAAACCAAATAAGCACTATGTTGCTGAGCTGGAGAAGAAGGACTACCTGGGCAAAGCAAAGGTAATACTTATGTGATACGTTTAGTTACCATGTGTACTACATTATTATTTAGTGTGGCATTTAACTGTATTTGAATACAGCTCATCTAGTTCACTAAAATCATAATGTCAATGACTTAACGCTATAACAATGTGCTATAACAAGCTACATTTTTTCTCTGCTATCTTCAGGTGGTTGCCTCTGTCGTTCCTCAGGATGCCTTCTCTGGATTTGCTCCATTACAGCCACAGGTGAAATATGGGTTATTCTATAGCGCTTTACAAATAATTATCAGATGACAAAGATATAATTTGTTATTAGCAGCTGATTGTGTTACATTATATTTAAAAAACAAATGACATGGAATATTTTTTTCAACTTAATTGCTGCTTTGAGTCAGCACTAATGATTGGATGCTTTGTGTTTCTGTTTACATCTGACAGGTACAAGACGGTCCAACTAGTCCAAAGGAGCCGGAGGTTCTAAGGTAGTTTCGTGTATGCTTAACTGTAAAAAAATATGATTACTTTTCAGTTGTTCTAATTCAGCCTTGTCGAATGCGAAAATAATTGTAAATGACCTTAATACTTGTCAATATTTTTGCAATAGAAGATACATTTTCCACCGCATGTGGATGTGTTAAAGGAAATAAATCAGCCCTCTATTTGGAAAGGAAAGAGGGAAACATTTATGAAGTGTTATGCTTTCATTGGAGGGGATATTATATATAACTCTGTGAATGTAAACAATAGAGAAGCAATTGTTATCCGGTAAAAAATAGACTGGTGTGCCAGCAGCTCTCTTGATGCCATGTGGATTTCTCCTGTCTTCACAGGGCTTTGGAAGGAGAAGCCCACACTGTCCTGTTTCAGTTTGTTCCTGAGACAAGCGATGAGTTGGCTGTCATGCCAGGCAATGTTGTGTTTGTGCTGCAGAAGGGAGCCGATAACTGGGCATCTGTGATCTTTAATGGAAGAGTAAGGCCACTACTGTACATCTGCAACCAATTTGTTAGTGTTTTTTCCCATAACTTTTGTTGTTTCTTTTATATGAAATATGTGTAGAGAACGTAACAGAATTCTTACATGTTTATTGATAGTATTAAGCATGTTGTTCATTATAGAGGGGACTTGTTCCTTACAATTACCTGGAGCGTTTGATGTCCATGGCTTCCAAACAGAACGAGGTAAGGAATTAAATATCTCATATTTAATTTTGAAGATTGCTTTGCAGTATTTTAAGAAGTGATGTATTCTTTGCTATAGGACTTTTTATAACATTACCAGTATTATTGTTTAACGGTGGACAGGGAATACCTCAGCCTCCGAGTCAGGAACCACCGACCAGACCTAAAAGAAAACCAGGTACACTCATCTGATTAAGAAAACTGCAATAGAGAAATTGCCTATGACTAACTAAATCCATTGGTCAAAGCACATATTGTAACATAAGAGAAAGTATTTGAGCAAATGCAATTTGTATCCCCCTTCTTTGTATTTAAGCGATAACTCCAAGGAGCGACAGCAGCGACTCAGAGAGAAAGGTATGCTGAGTCAAATCCTTGACTATATTACACCAGTATATCCCAAAATGTGCCAACATGTGAAGTGTTCATTTTCTTTCTTATTTAAAATTCCATCAACATGTCCTTTCATTAATGCCAGGAAGAACAGCCTCCTGACAATTCACTTATTGTCAAAGTCCATTTCACATTCACCTTTGCTGTCTCAGTACCACCTGGATCACCTTATGCAATACTGATTGAAAAGATCAGTAGGAAACTGAATCTCCCTATGACTGCAATCACTTTGAGGTAAGGTGTACATTTAAAAAAAAAAAATCATCTTATAGTTTGATTGATATGTGTTAGTGGTAAGAGTACAACATTAAAACCTTTTGTTCCATATAGTCTAACCCCTGAAGCTACGGGACAAAGTGTTATCAATGACAGCACAGACATGGAAAGTGTGTGGAGTCGTGCCAGTGGTGTGCACATCACTTTGTGGTGTTACGCAAAAGAGGTAAGGAAGTGCTCATCTTTTCCTGTTTATGCTGGCTTCACAAAATACAGATACTGGTTGAAAGTGCTATTAGTATTGTGACAATTACCGTTTGTGTATTTAGCAAACAGATCACAGTCCAAATATCGAGGTTCCCTTGGTGGCACTTTACTCGTATGAGTCATCAAATCCAGAGGATCTCAAGTTTCATCGAGGCGATACAATCACAATAATCTCTAGAGGTGAGGGTCCATTCTTTTTAATCAAATTTGCTTAAAAACTCAATAATTTATCCAAAAATGTCATTCTAATTCATACGTTTCTTCTTTTCCTTTAGTTAACCAGGATTGGTTGGAAGGGCAATGCAACGGGGATACTGGTATATTTCCTGCATCCTTTGTGGAAGAAGTTCCTGTCAATGGCCAGTAATTTAAATGAAAGTAAGCAGCAAAAATAATAAAGGATAATCTGATCATTGGTCAGGTACTCTCTATCGAAACAATTTTAGAATCAACCACATTTGATTAATTTGTACCTATAAATACTTAATATTTACATTTTTAAACACCTGTTCATTCAAATAAACTCATCTTCAAGTGTGTCAAGTTGTTATGTTTGGATAAATGCGATAACAAAAACTAGTGATATCTGATATACATTTTATGAAAAAAACATTTAATTATTTCTTACATTGAGTAATTCAATTCAGCAATATACATCTAAATGCCTCAGGCATGATTAAATAGTCTTGTGTGCTACTGGTAAGTTATCCTTCCTCTTCATAGGCAATAGCTATGCCTCTCCTGCCCTCTACTGCCTTCACCACAGGTGTCGCTCCCAAATTCTGCTCCAAGCCACGCCAGCTTCGTTCCGCCAGAAAAGACGCTGAGAAGAGAAAGCAAAAATATGTAACGTAATATGATATTTAAAAGTATATTTGTATACAAAAAACACTGGTTGATTGTTTTCTCACATGCACAAGCTGCGATAATTGTATGAGTGCAAAGTCTACAATAAACTCATGGATGTACAGAAATTAAAGCAAGCAAGACTTTTTGGATGGTCTCATACCAGCTGAGTTGGTGTTGGCCACAGTGAGCATCTGGTTCCTGAGGACCACTGAAGAGCCGAACGAGGAAACTTCAGGCTCACTGCTCATCAGATTCTGACTCCGCAGAGCTCCAGTGATTAAAGACACATCAGTCTCACTGCCCTCCTCCTGCTGATCAGCCAAAGGCACGTGACTCTGTCCACCTGGTGTAAGTTTGGGGGAAAAATATTATAAATTAGCTATAGGCATATATAAATAAGAATTTAGGAGTAGGTTTGTCCGATGTGAATATATCAAGATCTAACCTGGCAGGAGATGTCGAAAGTCTGTGACATATTCCTCTGACCACTCCCTCTTCCTGTTGCAGGCCACCTCCATCTCAAATGGTGTTACCACAGGTTTATAGAACTCACTTGAGTCCAGCAGTGAGTTCTCAGGACACGCGATTAACACGAAAATGTCAATTTCAAGAAAGTTTGCCAGTTTGGGCACGTTCAATTTCCCCATGGCAAACAAATAGCTCTTCTTGCCAGCTCCATGAATTGCCTCCTTCAACTGCTGGATGATTTGGAGGTAGTCAGACACTCCTAATGTGCCAACTAGAATGCCAACAACATTGGCATCTTTGGCCCTTTCTATAGCGTAATAACGCTTCATTAGGGCACGGTTGATACTGACTGACTCTGTCCTCCCTGTCATTTTTATGGGGTCAAAAGAACAAAATGAGCAGCGATTCCAAGTCATCATGAAGTTTGTCAGAATTGCTCCTTCTTGGCCTACATAGAACATACTGTAATCCGTGATGCTTAAACCACTTGTCAGGGAGAACTGCCTTCCAAACTGATAAATAAGCTGGTTGTTATCTCCCTCTGATAGACATGTGTCATCATGTAGTCTCTTTATCCGACCATGGCTGTAACACTGCTCCCCTTCCACAACAAGTTCTGAGACGACTAGGTTTGGATACTCTGGTGAAAGGAGTGCCACAAGGTCATCTGAAAACAAATTAAAACAATGTTGTGTGAAAAGAAATGCTTGAATCTAAAGCTGTTCTATAAAATGGCATACATATGTATTATCTCTTTCATATAGCAGGGCTCTTTTAGAAAAGCTTACCAATAGCATGAACATAGTTGACATCATAGAGGATGATGATGTGACTGTGTGTGTCTGGGTAGAGTTCTCTGAAGGCAGAAGTGCATTTCTCAAGATCCACCGGTCGTCTCTCAAACACATACATCAATGGCAGCCTTTTAGACGGGCTGAGGCAAGCACTGCCATAGTGCACAATGCAGTCGGCTCCAACATGTTCTGCAGCTACCTCGTCCACACAGCAACTGCCAAAAAAAGAATCAATGCATCCATTAAAACTCACGGTAGAGCAGTGACTTTGCAGGAAGGATCCAAACACTTACAAATAGATCATGTACGCATTATTAGACCAAGTAAGACTTTTCTAATTTAAACCTGGTGTGTTACCTGCCGTAGGATGTATCTCCCAGAATGAATGGCTTGGCATTGCTGTTTCTCTCAATCTCCAATGCTACTGCAACTGCATCCACCAGCAGCTCATCAGGAAACTGCAGAGCAACCTGTAAATATTATCCATGATTTAACTTTAGTTGCTTTCACTGGCTAGTGTGTCAAACAGCCTTTTGACAATAATTGTGTTGTCCCTTCAGGATTCAATTTACAAATGTCTATGTGACGAAAAGTACATTTTAAGTACTCACCTTTTCAAATTGATGCTCAGTGATAAAGCCACAAATGTCCTTAATCTGATACAACTCTTCAAGTTTTTCCACAGGATTGCTTTCCCCCACCGTAACATCCACGACACGCTGAATTACGTTCTCCGAGCTGCTACTAAATGCGTCAGCCATTGTTGCATAGAAAACGCGGAACAGTGCCTGCAAAATGAGTAATAATACACATTTCAGGACATCATTTGGACACAATTCAAACAATTACAATCCTGTTCTGCCAGGAAAGTGTGTGATAAACTCCATTAAATTGTACTTAATTTAGATATTTGACAATATTGTTAACGTTATATTGGCAAATAGCTCAATGAAGCAACAATGTATCCAACTACTTCACAACATTGTCACGTTGACGTAATGGTATTTTCCTTTTGTAAAACATATATCAAATATAGCCTAGTCACAGTTAACCATCCCATACCTTACATTACCTACTTTTAGCTTAACGTTACTTTGGTTCCGTATGCTAGGTGTGTCGCTAGCTAGTCTTTTTTCACAATATGAAGTGTAATAACGATAATTTACGAATTACATTTACAACACATACATGTAAACTTACATAGAGAAGTCATGTGGAAAGTTGTTGACGAATAAACACTTATTTGACAGCTACACACGTGTCGGCAGCAGTAAAGTACACTACAGCAGCTCTACCATAAGCACTTCCGGTTCAAACGTTTCAAAGTAAAAGCTAGGATACACTGAGCAGTGAGCAATGACATGCATTATCGTCGATTATCATCCGTTTATATTCCTGGAATTTACACAAACTAACTCACACTTTCAGATGACTGAGTTAAAAATATTTGAGACACATGAGACAGTAAATCATGCATATAATACATATTTTAATGTAGTGCAGAGTAAAAGCAGAATGACATTGCCATGGCAGAGCTGACCTCTTTGACAATGGCCAGCTCATTTCAACAGTAGCCTACATTAAATATACTAATAACCATAATAATAACCATAATCTTCAATAGAAAGATAAACTAACATTTTGACAATGAATTTGATTAAAAAAAAGTATTCATGTTAAAACTGAAATATCACAAAGCAAATACAAGTCAGACACAATTTAAATACCAACAGCTTCTGCTGAGCATCTCTCCAACATCTACAACTCAATATATACATATTAAAAAATAAATACACATAATGTTTTACTTCTGTTTCAATCAAGCTTATCTGGATAAGTGGTCAGACACCATAAATCATTAAATAGTCTTAATTGCATTACTTCTAAGAGTCACATCAGTGATCTGTTGAAAGAGCCATTTGTCAATAACTCCCCCTTCTGAAAAAAGATTGCACCGACAATTGTGAAATCCCATAATTTAAGAGACTATAGTTGTCTCTCTTTCATTGTCGAATTTAGTTGCTGCATTGAAGGTCCACTGTCACGAGACGTTATATGAAAATCGTATTCATAATCCTGCTTACATCCAAATACGATAGAATCCCAGGACCACAGTAAGACAGGTGAAGACTGAACCTTTGAGGATAAAGTGATCAAGCATTAGTCTACTATTTGACAGCTTAAGTTCTCAAGGCTATCATTGGTTATTCTACATAGCAACAATGCACAATATCTTACCTGCAAGGTATTTTATAGTATCCAGTTTATGAGATTCTAACATTGTTTTCAAACCGGCCACTTCAGTGTCTATTTTCATGTTGGTCTGAGTTAAATGGCGATCTTGCTCTGCAGTCTGTAAAAAAAGCAATAGGACAAAGGCATAAAGATAAGCCCCACCAAAGACCTACACTAGTTCATATTTATAACTGAGAAGAGCAAAGGCTTTTTAAAAGTAGCAAAGCAATCAGTGACAGCCATTATAAAAAACAATTGAATTGATATGTTTTTGGCTTCTATTTCTACTTTTAGAAACAACCATTTACAGATTAGCTGTTAAAAGATAGGAAACATGTTCTGTAGGTGTACTGGAAAAATACAAACCATTTCCATTATCTCAGTTCGCGTTTCTAGGAGCAACTTCTCATTCTCTATTTTCTAGAAAAAACATTAAAAAAAGGTTTTAGTAATTAAAGATATACCAATAACAAGAACCGACTATTTGACAAGTCATTATCTTTATGTACAAGTTAAGATTGAAAAAATACAAATTAAAAAGGGCACTTGAGGATCTTCAAAACACATGTATTATTCTCAAACACTTACCAATTCTTTTGAACGACTTTTCTCCAAATTCATGTCCATAATTGTGTCCGAGCGCAGTTTATTCATGACATCCTGCAAGGTGGCATTGGAGATGAAAAAAACGTAAATCATCTTTGATGAAAACAAGATGAGGAAATACTTCTTAATACTTAGACTACAATTTGGACATAAAGGTAATAAGAATAACCACTTACAGCCAGTTGGATCTTGATGTGCAGTAACTCGTTCTTGAGTTTCTGGGAGAAATGTTAAAATTGTGAAAATCATATAGTCATCCATGTTCCTATTTAGGGCAACATTGGCAAACATGAAGCAAAAACATCATACATTCTTCCACTCATATATTTGCTGACATGACATTTTTTTTTATCTATCTAGATTTCTAAATGTGTGCTTTTTGTTTTTTTATATACAATTTATTTGACAAGGTATTTGCAGGTAAAAAGTCAGTTATGCATATCATTTGAATTCCAGGATCACTTAAACAACCAAGGGCACAGATAATGCAACAATTACTTTTGGGAAACAGCTTAAGACCCCGGCCACACGACGACGAAAACGGCTAAACGCATAGGATTAATGCAAACGCAATCGCAAAAAAGCTTCCGTCCACACGCAATAGTCATCCGGATAGTGTCTGTCCACACGAGACCGCTCCGTTTAGCTCCAACCGCTGGAGAAGCTGCAGTACATATGCAGGAGCCTGTACGTGGCGCTGTAACTTCCTCCACAAAAGCAGCGAAGAAGCATGGTTGTCATGGTTGCCCTTCTGTTTATTCTCCGCGGTGGGGGCCGAGGGAACCGGGCAGAGTTTTTCGCCAGTCAACGTGTATTAAAGTTTAAACCTTCCGGACAAAATTATAAAAGTGCCGGTCAAAGGTCTTCTTTGTTATTTATTGAGCTTTAAAACAAATGAATAACGACTCTATATAATATAATAATAAAATACACGGAGCCTCTCTTTGGACAGCGTCAGTGTCTGTTTCATGCAGCAGCTGATCCAGTAATGAGTGACCCGGCCGACAGTAAAAATAAACATATTTATAACTAGGTAGTTTGAGAGGTGTCTCCGTCCTGTCAGATTAGACTTCACTCGCGTTTATGTCCATATCGAGAGAAAGATAAATAATCTGAATTCAGTGTGCAGTTTACTTTGACACGGGGGTGAGCAGCAGAGGTGGGGAGAGGCGGGGCTATTGCCTCATCATTATCAGAAAATTATCTTATAGGGCGTACACACGGAGCCGTTTGACCCCCCAGAACGTTGCGTATGCCGTTCTATCCACCTTGGGACCTGTTATCGTTTCCGCAGTCGTTTAGTGCCGTATGCGGTCGTCCTCGTGTGGCCGAACGGTCTATATGACACTAAACAGTAACGCAAACGACCGTTTTCGTCCTCGTGTGGCCGGGGCCTAAGTCTGCTCATCATAAACATACTCACCTCATTTTCTGCCAGTAAAGTAGAGAACTCACTCTTCTCTAGGATTAACATGTCCTTCTTTACAGATGCTATTTGAGACATCAAACGCTGCAACATGATCTCCTGCCAAAATCACACAACACAAAAGTTCATTTTTAAAACCATATAAAGAACAAGTAAACAAATGAAAGAAATACAGAATGTGTATTCAGGTGTTTCTTTTATATTACAATTTGACATTACATATACATTATTTAATCATTTACACCATGCGCTCTGGAATATAAAAACAATACTGGTATGGTGACCTTTACAGCACTAAAGGCACAGCCTGAATGAAACACAGAGAAGAAACAAAAAGGGCTGACATAATGCTTACTTTTGTTTTGACAGTATAAAATAAACAAACCTCCTCCGACAGCCTCACCTGCTGCACTTTGGTCACCATGTCACTATAAATGACATCCATGTTAGAAGTTGTCATCTTCACCAGTATTTTTACAATCACCTCAGCTTGCTGAGTTGTGAAGCCTGTTCAAAGAAAAATATATTCATTTTTGGGGGGAAATTCAACAGCTTCTTAATAATAGAAGAAGCTTAAATATTGTGACGTTTTTTTAAATAACAAAAGCATTCAAACCATTTTCCTCAAAGAGTCGTACCACTGCATGGGTGTCAAAAAGCAGCTTCCCACCTTCAGACTTTGGTACAGATCGATCTAAATGCTGGAGAGCTGGGATGGACGTACTCAGCCCTGAAATCAATGATAAGAAGATATAAGTGAAGAAACTAAGCATGACCTGGAGACCAAAACTGTAAATGTCCTAAATGTCATGGACATTTCAGGTGTGATGACACACCTGAACAATTGGAGGCCAGGTTGGATATTATGTAAATACAGTCAGTGTGTGATGTGGGTACATGTTTCTATTGAAAACTTTGCAGATTTAGCATCAGGGTTTTGCTTATGCACCACGGATGAGTTGTTACTGGAGAAGTTTGTATTTGGTGCACTTCAATTAAACAATGAATGCGTTTTTAAAAATTAATGACAGCTGTGCAATTAAGCCCTTAATTTGTGTTTGACTTAGCGTTTTAATTCAAATTACCAGAGCAGACAGGAAGTCGACTTTTATAAAAGCACCATTAAAAAAACAGAAGAGAACTTTTATTTTGAAACTCAACAAAGAGGTCCAAGTCATGATAAATCCCATGAAGTGAACAGTGACGACTTATTTTACAGTCCCATTATCTGAGAATAATTTATGCAAAGTTTCGCATTGGGGGTTTCAAAATGGGCACACCCTTTCTTTGAGGTATTTAAATGCGCCTGCACTGCATTCAAGCACAACCTAGGACTGTGTTATATGTGAAGTAGAGTTACCGGTGTTTGAGAGTTAACAGCGAGGTGCCATACTTCAACTGTTGGTAAACAGACCATGAACTGTAGTGAGTTAACTTACCTCTTGCAGTCATGTATGTCCCTGCAGAAAGATGTACAATCTTTTGCCCCGCGTGTCTCCCTCTCCATACCGGCTTCTCAAAGCTCCTGAAAGGTTGAGTGATGATACACCGGACACACGGTAGTGTGTTGGCAGCAGTCAAACAAGACATGTTTGAGGAAATGGTCGCTGTCATAACACTGTTAACTCTGCCTTGATTGAAAGAAAGGTCATACCACTTTTCTTGGTGGTTAACACCGAGTTTGAGTCGCGAATGGCACTGTTTTAGCACCATTGTCAAAGTTAGTGTTCAGCCAGCAGCTGGCCTGTACTTCAGTTTGTTAATATCGTCAGCATATCATTAACCTCTCTATCGGGGCTGTATTGCAACTTTTCACCCAGCTATTACCGCCGCACTACAAACCCGCACAATGACCAAAGACAGGCAGAGGACGGGAAACTTCCACATTTCCGGTCACACATTTCAAAATAAAACTCACTTTTCACAAACGCTACCTAAATCACTTTGGACTGGAGACATCATAGACTTATCAAAAAGAAAATCAACCATTTCAACGGTTTATTTTATCATCTCACAATTTTAAGCTCTGTTTGTAAATAATAAGGTATGAGAAGTTTTGACCATGCAGTATCTACAGTATCTCAGAATCTATAAGGCTCACACTCACAGACTGGTTCAGATCTTATTGTAGCTTATTGACCTGTTAAGAAGGAAAATAAAACAAAAAATATATACATTTATATATATATCTATATATAGATATATCTATATCTATACGTATATTTGGTGATTACGGTTCAAGTCAATGAGAATGAATGGAAAACAGCAGGGTGTGATATTACATCAGTTCTCTACTGCTCATTATGTTAAAAGTTATACTGAATCAAAAAAAGCTTTAGTCATTGTAAGTGAATATTCTGCTTGTTACAGTATATAATCTACAAAGCATAACAGCCTATACATTTTCTCAATGGCAACAAGATACAAAATGTGACACAGGTAGGCCTATTTTAGGAAAGGTGGGTGTACTAGAACAAAGGGAATCCATCTTCAGACGATTGGGTATGTAAAATCAAACACCTGTCTTATACTTTACTAGTTATATTTGAAACCAATTTTAACTGGCAGTCTTGTATTTTTTTGTCACTTCATGTTCACCATGACAGTATGGTAACTGAGTATTTACTTCTATTAATCGCAAACTGGTTTGCATCCAGATTAATTTCAGTGTATATTTAGACAAATTGTCCTATGCATAACAAGCAAATTGAGTTGCTTATACAAAAGTTAACCTTTTTTAAAGGAACTTGTTAGGAAATAACTACTGTACTTGCAGTGGATATTTTTCAGCAATTTTTTTGTTGCTGAGGTTTAACAGAAAAAACAAGTAGAGCTTATTGAGGTTTTGCTCATGAGAAAAAGACAATACAAATAGATAAAGTGGCTCCCACCAAAACAACAGCAACCAGCAATAAGAGCACAAATAATTTTCTGCGCTGGTGTAGAGGCTGGTGTCCAGGCTGCTCCTCATCGACTGAGAGCAGGGAGGCGCTGTCCGTGCTGCTCAGCGGGTCTGGATACTGTGGCCCATGGGGCTCCACCATCCAGCGCAAAACGTTGACTTTCATCTCCATGTCATCGATCATGTGGTCAAGTTGGCTGATATCCTTCTCCATGGTGCTGCGCTCATGGCTCTCAAACTCAGCAGGAAGGGATGTGCTCTGAGGTTGGTTCAGGTCTGGCACACTGAGCGCCCGGGCTGCTACCTCACTGCCTCCTCCTGCATTACCAACATTTAAAATTGGTAAATACTTCAGTTTTATTTCAGTAAAAGAAGGCATTGGTAGGCTACTGTGTCACAAGTAAATACTGTTTTTTACAACAGTCATTCAATAAATCCTACCCTCATGGAGGTTATAATGTTCAGATTTTGTTAAAACTGTTTTGGAGTAGGATTTAGTGCACGACTGCTGTATTAAAATGCATTCATTTTAGCTTACTTTGCATTACTATTTTGCTAGCCGATTATTTGCACATCAAAGTGTTTTCACATTGATATATAATTCAATACAATGGTTTGATCAGTGTCAGGGCTATACTTTAATTTACCTTGTAGGCCATTTTGCACCCGTGTCTCCTTTTTGGACAGAGAGAAGATGTCACCCATGTTGAAAACTTTGCACATGTCAACATGGAGGAGCTCTAGGCTGGAGGAGAAGCCCACCCAAAGGATCTCCATCTCCTTACGTTGCTCTTCAGGCAGGCTCTTGTCTCGGAGATGTGAGGTCAGATGACTACGGATGGCCATGGCCAACCTTTGGGCCTTTTCTCGCGTTTGTCGCAACTCATCCCGCAGCTGCAAGCTGTCTGTGCATCCACCAACACATGTGGCCAACACGCGGTAACATGCTACAACCTGTTTGAAGAAAAAAACAAAGATTTCGTTTTTGCTAATTAATAAATTAAAGGGACAGAGTGAATTTGAAGCTGTGTGCTACTTAATTAAGGTGATTATATATATTAAGCAGTGTATATATAATTACCTTCTGGTAGCTTGGGGTTGAAAAACGTCAACAACTCAGACCTGAATACTGTCTAATCTACTGGCTTTGGAAGCTTGAATATTTTCTCTGTAACTCAAAGTTTGTTTGTAACCGCAACATCCAATTTGTTTTGTATCAGTATACATGCTCCTGCTTAGCCCAGCACCTGATTGAGTATACAGACCACTAATCACTTGTTATAAAAAGGTACGTCTGCGCTCTTAATAACTCCCCGCTTATGTTGATGTTTAAAAGTCAATGTTAACTAAACAAATCTTGCTAGAAGTTTTTTATTATAAGAAAAAATACTTATTTTAGGATTGGTAACAGTTATTATAAATATTCTTATGTGATTCAAAGCCAAATGTATCAATAACTGGGAAATGTGAAAAGTCGGACAGTTCCTCTTTTATGACCAAATTCATATCATATGTTAACAGTGTTTTATTAACAGGCATGAGATAAATCCTGATGGATTAGCAGGAGTGGTTCCAGTGAAAAATATTAAAATTAATCTCATTATCATTGATCTATTTCTAGATAAGCCATAACAACCTTGTGTACTCAAGAGCGAGGATAGATGAGACGGGGAGACACAAAGATGACTACAATTATGCCATTTGTAAAATGTGGATACTGTAAGTATTCATTTCCAGACAGTATTTTTACCATTTGTATTTTAATATACCCTATACAGTATATTGCCTCATCTTGTCTGAATTGCCCACTTTGAGTCCTTGTATATAATTTCAATTGTTCACAGCATGCAACACTGTACCTATAAGGGCAAGCTAAAATAAATAAATTAACTACATGCTGACGACAGTGAAAAAAAGGTCATGGTAAAATAGAGTTAAAACAACTGCATTCATATCTATGAAGGCATTGCCATTGCATTATCCAACATACTGGAATAGTCACAAAGATTCAGTGGACCAAGACATCCTTTTCATGGAGAGTGCTTTTTTAGCCATAGGGTGAAAAGAAGATTCTTAGATGTCTTGTGCAGGGTATATTCAGTCTAACACAAGTACAAAAAAATACCATTATAAAGAGTGAGTAACTGCTGGCGAAAACATTTAAATTGTCAACTCAGTTGAAATAACTATTATTTTGTAAAGTAAGACGTAACAAATAATTGCTTATAACGAACAGTGGATGATTAATGTGTACAAATATTCCATATGTCCTTTTTGACATTAATTACATTTTTTAAAGCAGAACTTAATTACAACATTCTTTTTGTCTTATGTCAACAGTCAAAGCTGAAATGAAAAAACAGTTGAAATTTGGAGACGTTTACCTTTATTAAAGAATCCACCAGAGCCTTTCCATCAACCAAAGCCTTGTCTTTGCCAACTGTGCCATCATCACCTACTTTGTTATTTATAAGTGGCATGAGGATGACTTGTCCAGAGTCTCAGACTCTGGCCAGATTTTATTCCAAGTTGCCCTCTATTTCTCCGGCTGCCCCTGCACCTCTTCTTCCCCTGGATGATGCTTCATTCAATGGCTGAGGGTTGAGTTAAAATCCCAAATCTGCATCATGCACAACAAAACTCCACTCCCATGACAAGTTGCAATTACGGATGACAAAACATATTTCGGATGCTAAAAAGTGTCCCAAAAGAGAAGCCAGAAAAGTAGAAAAAAAAAAGTAATATAGTGATGCGACTCTTAAGCAAGATGCTAAGCCTGTGATTGACCCCCTTGCACTGACGCAGGTCAAGACGAAGAGCTAATCTCATTAAATACCACTGAGACAAGAGAGAGAGAAGAGCAGCTGTCTCTACCACAATGCCACTCTCACTAACTGAGAGGAGGCTACGCTCAGTTACCTCAAGCACATAACACTGCTTACAACTCAGTCACTTATAAAAAGGTCCACATGGTATATAAAAGATTTAGGAAGTGTTACTCCTATTGGTTAAGAATGAAGGTATCTTACTGACAAAGTGTAAAGATAGACCAATAGGCAAATTAAATAGTGATGCACTTAAGAAATTGAACATAGTATAGGCCTACATGGTTTCTTTGTCCCTTCGCAACCTTTTGTGGTTCATTTCCCCCTCAGGCTGTAGATAATGTATGGCCTCATTTTGAACAGATTGATAAAAGGTTTGGCATGTTCAAAGCATAAATTCCCTGGCGTGACATTTCTTTAGTGTAACATGATTTCTATGTCAAAAAGCACAGCTTGTGGCCATGCAGGACTATATTTAAATGGTGCTGAGAAGTTAAGTTGTCCATATTATGAGAGGAAAATATATTGTAAATGATAAGACAAAGGACTTCATTCTTAGCAATTACATTTTTATTGAAAACTAAAAACACAGAATCTGAATAAAATAATGTTATGCTTGCCGTTTCCTTTCCAGGTACCCTAAAGCTGTCCATGTATAGTTTTTTAAAACCCAAATTATAAAATCTGTATCCAGATACTGGGCTTTTTAGGGGTGTGCAGTTTTTCTCGGCGTTTGGGTAGTTGAAGTCTTTCGTGGAGAAGTCACAGCGTCCCTGATGTTGGCGAGCAGGCCTCTTTTGGGTCTGAGCTGCATATGGGAATTCTGGGAAAGCTTCGCCAGTTCTGATTTCAGTGAGGCGATCTCCCGATCCTTTTCAACGTTCTGCCATAGAATTTCCTCCATTGATTCGGTCTAAAAAAAAAAAAAAAATCCAAATTATATTCAGCAATCATTTCCATTCAGGTGAAGTCTTATGTTGGATCTGGTCACTGCTGAAATGTATTATTCTTAAAATGCATTATAAGTGCAATTTGCCATACGTTGTATTTTCTTATCACCTCACCTGATCCTTGGACGTTCTCTGTAAATCATCCAATTCAGACGATTTCTCCAGGTAGGCATCTCTGGTGTTCTGAAGTGTTACATTGATATCCTTCAGCCTTTTCTCTAGGCAAAGGATCAACTGACCCAAAATAATGTGAAAATTATCACACAACCAAATCAACATTTAATTGGGATGCAGAATTATTGTATTCTTGTTACCTGTTGTTTATCCTCACAAATGCTGTCAATGGCACATTTTTCTTTGTAGAGATGTTTGCATCGATCATCCCCTGTGGGAAAAGAAAGTGTGACATGTATATCCCTTAAAACAAAAGTTAAATGAAAGAAGATGGACAGGAGAGCATACAACCAATATTCATACCAGAGGGCATTTCCTAAGAAAGGACAGTGCGGAGACATCTTTATGAATAATATACCAACCTGCTGCTTCTGTCGATTTATATGGATGAGTCTGGCACGACTGGTCCACTGTTGGAAATGCACACAATCCTCCGATACTGGACGTTAAACCCTCCAACTCAGAAACTTTGCGCTTCAGGGTCTTCACAGGAAGTAAGACAGAAATGTGAAGTTTTATTGACAACCCAAAAAAAAAAAATCTGACTGCTTGTCAGGGGATATACCATACATAGCCAATTTGACAAACATTTCAACGCCTGAATATCGGAATTTAAGCAGTGCATGATTGCATTACATACCTCTACTTTATCCTGTTCAGCAGTAAACTCATCAAAAGGTACGTAGTCATCTTCCAGATTGTTCATCGCACTCTGGTAGGCATGCTCTCTGATAGCATCCTTGTAAATCTCAAAAGTGTTCTCCAGCTTTTCTTCAAAGCTCTCCTTCAGCTCTTCTATCTGTCGACTACACATTCCAAGCAAACCTTGATTCATAAGTTTAGTTTCATTTTTACTTTGACAAAGGTTCACTAAGTGAAGTTGTTGCTGACCAAGGACTTTAGTTGCATATATGAGAGGGTTATGCATTTAGAACAAATATGCCGAAACAATTATAAATACAAAAAATGAAATCTGTAGTATTGATGCAATACCAGAACTGAATCAAATCAGGTTTTATAGAGCACATTTAAAAACGATTTTTGGTCGAGCCAAAGTGCTGTAAATGTAATAAAAACACTACAATAGCAACAGAAGACAATAATTTACAACAGCAATTATAAAAACAAAAACACAGGGAAATGTCAGGGGTCGTACTCCGCTCTGACTAGAAGGACCTCACATGCAGGGGCAGACTGTTCCAGAGCCTAGGGCCAGCTGATGCGAAGGCTCGGTCCTCTTGGGTTTTGAGCCTGGTCTTGGGCACTATCAGCAGCAGCTGAATAACTAGCCTTCTCTTGCAAATGAAAAATAACATACCTGCGGAGTTCCTCACTCTCCATGAGCTGCTGTAACATAGCATCCCCCATTTCATTTCGGATCTCCATTTCCTGAACAAGGTTTCTTTTTCGCTCTGCTAGTAGTTTTGTTCGCAGGCTCTCAATCATATTTGCAAGCTCCTAGAAGATTCAAAATGAAACAGTTACTTGAGATAGTGAAGGTTAAACATTCCAAGACTGCTGTATTTATATTGGTCCTTTATAGGTGTTTTGTGCTAGCTTGCAAACTAGTACTAAACTAAAACCACAAGCATCAATTTCATGGTGAGACTTTATGAGAAAGGTCAGGGGATCACTTAAGTCAGTAGGATCACCCTCTGGGGACCATGAATGTCTACAGAAGACTTGTTATTAGAGACATAGTTGAGATGTTTTAGTGCAGTGCTAGACTGACCCTTACAAATGTTATAGATAACAGTTAGGATTTGTCCTATGATGTAAATGGAATGGGACTGACTAGAGACATAATCAAAGATTTTCTGACATACCGGATCTCCGACACATTTAGGGAACAGTTTTTGAATGTGATATGGAAAAGATATTGTACATTCTCCGTCGCCAAAGACATGTTTGCCTCGTCTTCCTCGTCCAGCAGCTCCTCCTCAGATAGGAAGCTCTCCAGGGCCTGGGTGTCTATCACCCCATTCTTCACCAGGGGCTTGCCATCACGGCCAACTAAACAAGGGGCAAGAGATTTCAGAGGCTTGTCTGGGATCACCTGCACCACCTACAGAGAGCACAGGTAGGATTAGGACTGAAGTGAATTCAGCTCATTGTACCACTCCCTCTCACATCATTATGTACCCAGACCTGTTTGGCAACAGCAGAGAATTTCATAACATGGAGAGTCTCATCGTAGGTGGAAGCACACTGGTTAATGTTCACGATCATGGACGCTCTTCCTTTGCCGCAGAACACGGCCTGGAAGAGCTTGGTTAGCTTACTCTCTCTGAAAGGGATGTAGCTGTTCTTCATTCTGATGAACACAGGAGAAAGAAAACTTAAACAAATGTCTAAGTTGTAAAGGGTCAATGCTGACTTTCTTCACTTAAGCAGCTGTACCCCTCAGTCTGATTGTTGCGTAGAGCAGTGAGGCACTTCCCCAGAATAAGCAGGGAGTTGTTGATGTTCCCTGCCTCCTTCAGCCTCTCGCCAAATGTCTTGGTTTTGTTGCATCTTTCAGAGCCAGCCAGGTCACACAGAGAAAACCTGAAGAACAAGAAATCAATTAATTGATTTTCTGTAGCTCATCCCATGGTGGTGGAGCTATCAGAGTGGTAATTCAGGATGCCAGTACAAACAACACAAAAGCAGCGTCTGAATGTCAATGACGTCACTTACTCTGAGATCCGTGTAACTGTACTGTCCTCGATCTTCAGTAACTTTATGGTAAATATGCTGTGGCTGTAAGGAAAGCTGGTGTAAGTTATGAAGACAGATAATGATGCAGAGTAAAAATGTGATGAAATGGAAAGATTGCCTTCTGCTGGATGACTGGTTCAACTTTGTGGCTGCGGCACTTCTGTTTTTGTTTCCAAACTGTAATACTTTGGAAGCTTCATCCAGGGTGAGGATGTTTATCCACCTGAGATCTGAAATCATTTAAAAACACACATTGTTCACCTTCAATGCCATCATAAGCTACACAAAGACTACTAATGATATATATTTACAGATATATAATCTGCCAATTTAAGAACACATGATTAAGTTGTGCACAAACCTTTGACATAACAATTTCCAGCACCATCGTCGCACACTCGAAGAGAAGACCGTTTCTTAGACTTGGAGCACAGGGAAGCTTGAAGCAGATCATACACACACTCATTGTAGATTTCAAAGAATGCTACCCATAATGCAAACTGGCTGCTGTCTGCTTCTGGTGGGTTGCTTGTCAACGCTAAAAAGAGAAGAACAAGAGAGCAAAAGACAAAACTAAAACTTCTGAGAAAGAACCGGAAGCATTGTTCTGACCTTATTTGTTCCACTTGTGACAACACTCACCAGAGTCTACAGTGGGACAACTTAAATGGTTTATAAATGGCCAGACAATTAATGTTTAGTGAGTAGAATTAAAAAGGGCTACCAGTTTGAGTGTAGGATAAAGAAGAGGATGACAGTCGTCACTCACCAGAGCAGGACTCTAAACCGCTGGATCTAAGAGGTTCACACTCCTAGATGGGAGAAAATAGATATACATGTTAAAGCATTTCTGGTTTAATTCATTTTAAATTCCGAGGAATATTTTTAGCAAAGGCTGAGAAAGCATCTCAGGTCTGATATAACTCTCTCACTTCTTTGACTGAAGCAAAAATGGCCGCTTTAGCACTCTTCTCCTGCTTGACTTGGTCAGGGTCCAGATATTGGGCATCATTCCTGAGGTAGGGCTTCAGGTCCATCCCATCATACAGATGGCCTCCTATGTACTGAAAGGTGGCATCCAGCACCCGAGGGAGTATTCCCGGCTGTTTTGGAGTTCCTAAAACATATTATGTTCAAACTGGCATAGGACATGTGAAACTGATACACGTGCATTCCATTGTTGGTGTGTTTCCATCTTTACCTTGGATTGTGTAGGTTTTCCCAGCATTTGTTACACCATAACTGAATAGCAGTGCATTCTTCCCATCCAAGAAATCAGACATCTGGCTTTTGACTGTGGCCTCAAATATCTCAGACTGCATCATTTCTGGCCCAAAAATCTAAAAGCCAGCAGAAAAACAGTCGGTTGGATATGAATGAGAGTGCAGATAGGTAAATGTTCATACAATTTAAAATGCTGCAGACCTGTGAGAAGGAGAATTTGTGCAGCGACATGCCAATGCCCTTTTCACTGCTCTTCATGTTGGCAGAACCCTTTGGTGCATTCAGTGTCACAGTCTGGCTGTTTTCAATCCCTACACAGTCCTGAATGGGGAAAAAAGCTAAATTATGCACAGTAGTTCATAAAAAGGTACATTTTGACAACTTTTAACTTTCTATAACTGAGCTTAATTTCCCAAATAAGACATTCAGATCATAGGACCAATATGTTATTTTTGAAAAACACAATGGTCATGGATATTTATAATCACAGGTTATGTTTGAAGTTAGCCTTTTATTTCAATTACGTGGATTCAAATGTAGTTAGAGGTACAGGGGATGTATATTGCAGTTAGGGACAGTGTCCAAATAAAATATAAATAATGTGGAGGATGAGGCTCTCCCAAAGTAGATTCCCTGGGTTGAAAAACCCTCTGGTCATATTCATCGTGTTGCTTTTTAGCTACTGTATTTAACACTACATGGACTGCTTGGCACCGTGCTGTACCTGATCCTCCTTGTCAGAGAGTTCCTCTTTAGAGAAAGGTCTGACTCTGAGGTAAACTCTCATGGTCTGCTGCTCAGCTCCACCTGGCAGCTCAGTCTACAAACAAAGAAGACAATCACACTACAAATTAAACCTGAAAATATGAAGTGGATCACTGTTAGATAAAAAGGGAAAAACCTTACCTGCTGGGATGAAGTTGAAATATAAGTCATGTCCATGTCACCAGTTTGCATATATTCGCTGTCTACATTGGTTACATTAACTGTACTCATTTTGAGACAAAGCAGCTCTAACAAGCCTAATGTACTGAACAAAGTGGTGATCACTTTTCTACAAACATGAAGATTTAGCCAAATGTATTTTTGGAAGACGATAGACAGGAAAATGGGCCCTTTGAAATGACTTATTTCACCCACATGTAGGTCGGCAGATGGAGGCGGAGCTTGTAGGCCTAATCAGTTTGAATTGAAAGCAGGTCTGAAGTCAAGCAAATCACCTAAGAGATCAACCAGCTTCCAGGACTCCACTCAAGCTTAAATTCACAGGTATATGTCAAATCATCATTTGAGGATGATTTTCTGAATATCTCAGTAGAGTTATAGGGGATGAAAAATAGTGGTATTTAAGTCATATGTGTTAACTTTCCTTTAACGGTCTCCTATTATACTGTTTTTCATCAATATATTATAGGTCTCAGATATATACAAAACATGTCTCTGAAGGGTTATTTTCGAAATACCAAACAAATCCCATAATCCCCTGTTTCAAAAGTGCTGATTCTCTGTGTTACTTTAGATGAAAATAAGTAGCCACTCCCCACGCCCCTGAGAGATATTTGGTTAAAAATAACAAAATGGTGCTCTAGGAGGAGATTCAGGTGATAAGGTGTTACAAGGTGTTGGTGGTTGGTTATTCGCTAATGGTTACACAAGCCCAAAAATCGTATGACATAAAGTGGCCAACATTTTATCAGCTCATTTTCAGGTTTTTATATAAATGGATCAGGACACAAAGTGAGCGAATCTCTTTACACATGCTCATGTGTAAAAGACATGAAAAAGTGGATTTGCATAATAGACAACCTTTAATAGGCCAAATAGTAACAAGACTGTTTTTCTGTTAGTCACCTAAAGTTATAGCAATATCCTTGCAGATATTTCTAGACTGTTTATGTAAAAATAAACAAATTATTTTTAAACGGATGCTTCATTATTTTGAAAATGCCATTTTGGAAAAGGATACCATACAGTTAAATATACGATTTCCAAGCAGAAACAACATTCGTCCACAACAGCCATATAGCATATACGCAGGATAATTTAATACAAATGACTGCTATTTGCTATATGTTTTGCTATTTAGTCATTTTGTATTAATCACTTGGTTTTATTCCTAAAAATGGTCTGTACCTTTCAGATCTGAGCTATAAACAAGCAAAGGATGATGACTTTATAAAAAAAGGGCGGTGAACATTCTTATTTTTGGTATGTCAACTCTAACGCAGCTTTGATATGCAATGGTCAACTTCATTCCCATTGAAGTGGGCAGTCAGCTAATGAGAATGCATTAAATTCTTTTGAAAGACTCATAATACAATCCACCGAATGAGCGAGGAATTAGTTGTGGAAGTGTGGAGAATCTGCTGCCTGAGTGTAGTAAACAGTTAGTTCAATTAAAGTACATCAGTCAGGTGGACCTAAAAAAAACATGTTTACTAGTTTATTATTTTCAAAATACCGGTCGCACAAACTGCCATTTAAGGGCACTTGAGCGTTAAATATAGTAATATGCTTCAGAAAGTAACAGCAGTCAATAAATACAGTTTTTTTTATTTCTTTATTCAGTCAGCTGCATCATTTATGCATCAGCGATGGTTACTTCAACCTCTACACCAGGTTCGATGCTGATGGAGGTGATCTGCTTAACGATTTCAGATGGACTGTGCAGATCAATCAGGCGCTTGTGGATCCTCATCTGGAAGCGATCCCAGGTTTTGGATCCTTCACCACAGGGAGTTTTCCTGGTGGTGATGCGCAGGGTCTGAGGGGGGAGAAAACCGTTTTAGCTTGAATCCAAATTGCCACATCGAAGTGACAGGGAGCCTATATTCGATTTAATATAAATACATTTCAGGTGCATGTATATCAGTACCTTGGTTGGCATGCGGACTGGTCCCTTCACCTTCAGGCTCTTCTCCTTAGCCCCACGGATCAAGTCTGCACAGACTGATACAAAAAAAAGACTACTTTAAAAACACGAGCAAACAAAAATGTCTCATGATATTTTTAAAGCAATGGCTCAGAATAGCGTATATCACATCGTCATGAATTATCAGATGGAAGTGTGTCTTCATCGCTCACATACAGGTTGCATTTCCACAAAGTATATTATGAGATTATTTACCTTTCTCCAGAGACTTTACATTGCGGCTGGTGAGGGTGATGCGGATGCGGTGAATGGCAACCTCAGTCTCAACAGGTGCCTTGCCAGTGTCCTTGAAAGCCTGAAAAAAATGGGGGGGAAAAAAACCCATAAAAACACTAGTCTTGAAATACCATTTTGATTAAAAGGATATGAAACATTAATATAGGGCTTAATCCATGAAGAAATAGCATATGATGATGTAAGTTAAATAAGCCAGGATAGAACTTCAAATGGTTACGGATTTCAAACACGCTGGAGATGTACGTGGAGCACCTAAATGCATCACGACGAACTAGCACGTGGAATTCCGAATATTAAACTATTAAAAAGTATTTACTACAAACATTGTCGTTTAAGATAACCCATGGACTAGTTCCACCGTCGATGCATGCAACCAATTTGTTAATAAGCGGCCATGTGATTTTCTCTTTTTCCAACTATATGACACAATGGGAGCACTGCACTAACATGATTCAACTGCAAGCAATGGATGCTGGAGCACTTTTAAGTAGGCCGAATTATAGTGAGTGTCTTGATTTAAGATATACAATATTTCTTATGTACCAACAGGTTTATAATTGTGTTAAACCGAGGATTATTATTACGCAGTCCAGTTAGCGAATGATATCTGGCGGGACATCTACTTCGGGTAGCTTAAGCTGTAGCTAACATTAGCAAGTAGCCTTCATTAAAATCGTTTAGGTTAAGCAATGAAACACAAATTCACTACAAGGGCACTATGCTTACAAGAGAATAGTTATATTCAAACAACACATACCATTTTGAGTATCCCTGACCGACTTATTCGGAAGAAATTCAGACGAACAGCGGTGAGCCAGGAAAATGAGCTACCAACGTGGTTTAGCTCTTGAGAAAAAGGAACGAGTAGAGGCCCGTTTCCTGGTTATGTACTGCTCACCCGGAAGTCAGACACTTCTTCGTTAGTGTTAATTCTATATTCAACAGTGGCATCTAGTGGATTCAATGTTGTAGTTTTTTTTTGGGGGCAGTGACTGTTTTGTGTTTATCTTTTTGACAAAGTCTATAGGCCTACTGAAGTATTATAGCTTTATTCATTACCAATTTGATGTCGTTTTCTTGATTATTTCCCTTGTGTGCTTCTTTATTTTTCTTCTCAAATACATCTCAGGGGTTAATATTGTACTTTCTTACTCTGCTTGGCTAAATTTTTCTGGCAGTCAGATTCAATTGTTTAATTAACAGGTAACAATTTATAATCCTCTTTCAGTCCAGTGGATCCATCTGAAGATGTTTTAATTTTTATTGTTTTCTTTAACAAAAACTAAACTAAAGGATAAAGGATTCTTGTATGTTTTGAGAAAACCCTCCCAAAAAACTCATGCATCATCAATAGGCTAAAGATGATGAACATGGTGGCACAATGTAATGATCTTATAGAATGCAGCCTAGGTTATTTAGGTTAATTTAACATATATTTGGAAACAAAGAGCATAAAGAGACAGGTCAAACATTGGTCTTTAAATGGCCTTACGTTAAGGTATTTGAGACTGTCAACATTTTCCTTGATTTCATAGAAGGCTTCTCAATTCTCTAATTTCCCCTCCTCGACTCCTATCCTTGTGTCTTAGTCCCGCCCACAGGAGATGTGAGCGGAGGAGTCGAGGAGGGGAACCGTGGAGAGAGGAGTGGAAGCAGCAGGCGTTTAGAGAAATGAGAAATCCTCTCCTCTGAGCAGACATTTTAAAGATACGTCCATTAATGATGACAGGAGGCACAGCAGCAGCTGTCTGATGGACAGATGTGTTCATGCTGATACAGCATTCCAACTATCTGTTATGCTACGCACAAAATTATTTATTATTCCGCCGGGTTATTTTGCACTTCTTCAGATTTTAGAGGGCGTGATGTCACAGAGTGGAGGACATATTTAATTTTGCCTTCATATTTTCTTTTAAACCTGCCATAATTCCCACACCCTACATTCCTGAGACATACTTCTTCATGAGAAACGTAGGAAAACATCTCGTAGCTTGAAAAATAAAAAATAATTGAGCAAAATAATTAAACAAAATGCCTCTTGAGGGCATGAAGTGACGAAAACTTTCAACATGTCTCCATTAAACCCCATTGTAAGCTCACCTTTCCCCACCACAGCAGCCGCACACCTTTAGTTAATCTGCCAAAAAGGCCACATTATTAACCTGAAAGTACACCAAAAGTACACTTCAGCTCAACTTCCTTGACATGCTTCACGCTTTGAAATTTCACCGATATCTGTTACGGTTCTTCAACAAAACGTTCACATGTAAGAGGTTTATCTCTCATTCAGAACAATGAAAATGCTCTCCTCTCAATGGAAACCTTTGATCTCTGGACACGTCGTTATCTCAAATATAAACACCTGTGTCACGATGAAGTCATAACTCCAACTGACATGCTCAGAGCAGCAGACTTCAGATAATGGTTAACACAGATACATCAAATCTGATGTAATGTACGCATCCCTCGCCATGAAACACCGTTTTCTCATAACTTCAGTGAAAATGCTCCAAACGGCCCAAAAGTTCACAGGTTTGGTAACGATGCAGCCATCAACACATCAAAGCGTATTATGGGATGTCATCAAATGCCGTCGGCATGGCGACAGATCATTCGCCATCAAGTTAGTTCAAAAGTTTGCAGTTCAAATATTCTGCTTTTTTTCCAAGCCTTTTTATTTTATTTTATTCTCTTATCACACATTCAAGCCCCCAGTGTTCTAAATTATTCACTTTCTTCTTACACATTACATTTCAGCATAGCAGTTTAGCGTCAGCTTTTCAGCATAAAGCATTCCCACAAGCAATTTCTTCAGGAATTGCATTCTCTAGTTTTAATGTTCCCCATAAATACTCATCTGTGGGAGTATTTGCAAATGATGTGAGTGACCACTGTGTTGTAGCCACAATTAAGGACACAAAGGTCCAAAAGGGAAAACCTCGCATTGTCATAAGAGAGACACAAAACATTTTGTGGAGCAGGGTTTTGTACATGATGTGTTTGGTTTTGATTGGGGAAAAATCGATCTGTGTGATGATGTTAAAACTGCATGGTCTTATTTTTATCTTGGTTTTATGGAAATTATTGATAGACATGCACCCCTGCGTACATTTAGAGTGAAGGGACGAGACAATCCTTGGTTCTCTGCTGAATTGTCTATTCTCCTACATGAGAGAAACAAGGCCTGGGCAAAGGCTAGGCAATCAGGCTCAGAGGTAGAATGGCTACGCTTTAGGCAGCTAAGAAATAGCTTCACATCGCAAATCAAAAGTGCTGAGTCTAAGTATTATCTGTCAGTTACCACAAAAAAGCCTAAATAATCCTTGAAAATGTTGGAAAGCCATTAAATCGTTATCCACCGGTGAAATCCGTAATGAGCTACCTCCTTGCCTTGCCACAGCATCTGGCTCTATATCGGACAGGGCCAATATGTTAAATTAATTTAATGAACATTCTGTGTCCTGTGGCTCTCTGTTTGATTCTGTTACTAACTCTGCTTCTTTGAACACCACAGTCTGTGACTCTGAACAATGTGGTTTGGAAAATCCTTTCAGTTTTTCTCCTTTTATTGATGTTGTTCATGAAGCCTTAACCAAGTTAGATCCTAAGAAACCGGCTGGCCCGGACAACGTAGAACTTTTCTTTTTAAAAATAGCTGCAGATTATATTGCACCACCTCTCACTACTCTTTTTAACCTCTCCCTCAGCACAATTCCAAAAGTATGGAAGTCAGCTTATGTCCTGCCTTTACTAAAAGGAGGGGAGGCCACTTTATTAAATAATTATAGGCCCATCTCTAAATTGTCAGTTCTGGCTAAGGTTCTTGAACGCCTAGTGAGGGAACAGGTAAAGGAGTGTTTATGTATAAATGACATCCTATGTAAACATTAGTCAGGTTTCAGAAAGCAACATAGCACCATCACTGCGACAATGAAAGTAGTGAAGGATATTGCTGGTATTTTAGACAATAAGCAGAGTTGTGCAGCTCTGTTTATTGATATTTCCAAAGCGTTCGATACCGTCGATCATCACATCTTGAAGCAGAGGCTGGCCAGTATTGGCATATCCAGACATGCAGTGGGGTGGTTTGTGAACTACCTCTCTGAAAGCTCCCAATGCGTTCAATTTGATGGGCTCACATCTGAGTGGTTAAACATTACTAATGGTGTACCACAAGGCAGGGCCGGCCCTCGGCATAGGCAGTATAGGCGAATGCTAAGGGCGCATCAACCCATAGGGAGCGCTGGAAATTGGGGAGAAAAAAAAAAAAAAAGTTAGAAAAAAAAAAAAAAAAGTTTTTATTTCATAACACAATTTCCCGATTTTGGATCAACAAAGTACATATTATTATCTTATACTAACAGAACTACGCCTATATTAAGTACAGCGCCCATAAACTATGGCACACACACCCCCCCCAAAAAAAATCAAGTTGAACTGCCCCAGCTTGCCCCAGCAGAGGTTTATGTGAAATTGTTCTTTTTTAAAAAAAATAATGGTAGTGTGCAATTATAGGTTTTAATTTTATATTTGTGTTAATTTAAAATAAATCAAACTCCCCAAAAACGTACACAGCTTCTGTGTGCTTTTATTAACATTGGAATTTACTGTGTAAACGGCCGCGGGGGGGGGGGGGGGGGGGGGGGGGGAGAGCTTTAGAGAGCTCTCTCCTGAAAGACTGAGAGGCTCTGATAACCTCAGCTCAGTGAGGTAAAGGCACACCTTTATATGATCATTATAGTTATACAAAAATAAGAGAATAGGTGAAAAACAGGTATAAAATACTATATGACAGTACAAAAAAATTGTTATTAATAAACAAGAATACAGTTTGAAAGGGGAGTGATTTGTAAAGTATCCATAAAGAAAAAGAAAATCTACTTACAGTTCTGTGTTGAGAGATGTATCCATAGATTTCCTAATGTTGTTCTCAAAGTGCACCAGATTGATGCTTTGAACTTCAATATTACACAATATACACCACAACCATGCACGCGCGAGTCATAGTAAGTGTCTGCCTTTGGGGGGGGGCGCGCCAGCTAAAATCTTGCCTAGGGCAGCAAATTGGTCAAGGCCGGCCCTGCCACAAGGTTCTGTTTTAGGTCCACTATTATTCTCCATCTACATCAACAGTTTAGGTCAAAATGTGGATGGAGTAACTTTACATTTTCACGCGGACGATACCGGGATGTATTGTGTAGGCCCCTCCATTAAGGAGGCTGTTGTTAATTGCAGGCTGTTTTTAATATTATTCAGACTCAGCTCTAACTAAAGCTTCTTTTAAATGTTGATAAAAACTAAGGTAATGCTATTTTCAAAAGCCAAAAAGACACCAGGGACCGCTTTGGATATTTTTACTGCGCAAGGAAAAATACTTGAAGTGGTTGCCTGTTATAAATACCTTGGTATCTGGCTTGATGATTGTCTCTTTTAAACTTCAGGTCAATAATCTGCTTCAAAAAGCTGAGGGTTAGGCTAAGTTTCTTTTTCAGAAACAAGTCCTGTTTCTCACTTGAGGCCAGGAAAAGGCTAGTCACTGTGACCTTTTTACCTGTGCTGGACTATGGTGATCTGGTTTATATGAATGCACCTACCCATTACCTGAACAAGTTATATGCTGCCTATCACAGTGCACTGAGATTTGTTATAAATTGGAAAGCACTTACTCATCACTGTACCCTGTTTGCCATCACTTACTGTGGAGGCTCACTCATTGGTACATGTTCATATATAAAGCCATGTTGGGTAAACTCCTGTCTTATATCTGCTCTCTGATCACACAGAGTTGCAAGTAGCGATTAACTGAGATCTCATGATGTGGTTTTGTTACATGTGCCAAGTGCTAGGACTGACATAGGGACGAAAGCTTTTATGTGCGCAGCTCCTCTTGCTTGGAACAGTCTACAAAAATAATGGAAACTGAGCAATTTGGTTCCACTGCACGGATAAATGCTATGCAATCTGATACTTTACCTGCAAATGTTGATAGGTATGTAAATTGTAAACCTGTAACTGTGTTGTATGATGTCCTTTTTGTTTTTCTGTCGTCATGTGTAACCTACTGCAGGTCTCTTGAAAAAGAGATCGATGATCTAAATGGGATTCACCTGGTTAAATAAAGATTTGAAATGAAAACATGTTTTGTGTCCCATGGCTAAAAGTGATAATACTTCTGTAAACAAGCATTTAAAAAAAGCTAAATCCAAACCAACGCCATCTCCTTTTCACAGTTTCTACAGAGCAGTTGGATGGCTGCAGTTTAAGTTGAAAGCATTTGTAAAAGTTTTGCAATTTCAGTCATATGCTGTGCCAACATTCCAAAAATAAAGACAGATTTACAAAAGCCTTTATGAAAGCACAGTTTATTGGTATATTGACATTAAGAAAAGCAGCAGTCAGTCATCTGGAACTAAAGACCTGCAAAAGCAAAAACATTTGTGAATCATCAGTTGGATGATGGATACAGAAACAGGGCATTTAGCAAATTGTGTCTTACCAGCAAGGTCTTTAGAAGACATATTTGCTTGGAGCGTGCCAGGGAACAGGCTCTCCTGGGATGTAGCGGGTTTGAGCAACTTGTGACCTTTTGCGTTGGTATCTCGAACGCGAGCTAAAGGAGGAGACTGGCTCCAGACCAGCCACCTCGCTGAAGACTGGCTCAGGTTCTTCTTCACCAGCAGGTTCAGAGCTCAAACCAGGCCTAGCTGAGCTACCATAGTCGACAACTTGAATATTGCTGTTATAACCATTCCCTGCATATGCAGGAGCCCTGTAATTGCCAGGGCCAGCACTGGAACTGGCCTCTAGAAGAGCGGGACCAGCCACCTCGCTGAAGACTGGCTTAGGTTCCTCTTCACCAGCAGGTTCAGAGCTCAAACCAGGCCTAGCTGAGCTACCATAGTCGACAACTTGAATATTGCTGTTATAACCATTCCCTGCATATGCAGGAGCCCTGTAATTGCCAGGGCCAGCACTGGAACTGGCCTCTAGAAGAGCGGGACCAGCCACCTCGCTGAAGACTGGCTTAGGTTCCTCTTCACCAGCAGGTTCAGAGCTCAAACCAGGCCTAGCTGAGCTACCATAGTCGACAACTTGAATATTGCTGTTATAACCATTCCCTGCATATGCAGGAGCCCTGTAATTGCCAGGGCCAGCACTGGAACTGGCCTCTTGAAGAGCGGGAAGTTCAGGAGCTTTGTTAGATCTCAGTACGGGTACAACTGGTAGATAGGAGCTGCTGCCCGGGTCCGAACTGGCCCTTCTTTCCCAATACCGATAGCTAGAAGGGGGTGGCCAATGCATGAAGCGTGGAGCAGCAGTTTCTGTTTCAAAAGGAAAAACATGTTAGCACTTTACTCTATTTTATTGTAAAAATCTTAAGGCAATATCGTCTCACCTTGTTGTATAGGATGACAGGTTATGTAGCCAATAAGCAAGCAGGAAATCCACAATATCCTGCAAAGAGATTTCATTTTAGATTAGGTTTCAATCTTACCAATCAATAAGCTACAAGTCAGTTGTCTACGTACATGATTTTAGTTAGAGATCCAGGTACATTCAGGATATGTATGCTGTGTGATTTCTTCAAGCAACTGTAGAGGTAAAGCATAGACAAAAGTGGTCATATTAACAATTAGGTAGCACAAAGTACAAATAAAAAAATGAAACACCCAAACCACAGTTAATACCTGCTAACTGCAACAAGCGTCTCCAACAAGCAGCTTTCCACAATGTCTTCAGAATCCAAAGAAGCTTCTTTTAAAGGATCCTCAAGGCTGTGTTAATGACTGTTTAAGTGGGAACACCTGCCAACAAGGACACCTGAGGTGTGTTCAATGTGAAAAGGTCCAGCTCCCTTTCATTGACACTACATTGTATGAATCATGAATACAACATTGAAAAGACACAAGTGTCGGCCGGGAGCAACCTACATTTATATATTATATGTTTGTACAGTAAGTGCGGCTAAAGTATAAAAATACTAAGTGTTCAAAAAATGTATTGGTTGTTGAATTGTCTTTGTTTTAATTTGTATATAATGCACACCCTGCCGTGGTGCCCTTGAGCAAGGCACCGGACATACCCCTTCCCCCCCCACTCCCATTGCTCCCCGGGCGCTGTACCAGTGGCGTAGCTGTGTAACCACGTTGGTTTCCAAATCAGTAAGCAACTCACATTTTTAGTCTTGAATATTGAAGTGGCAAAGGGTCAACAGGTCATGGTGCTGGGCTGTTACAGACCCCCCTCAGCAGTCAAGGCAAGGCAAGGCAAGGCAATTCAAAGTGTTTTACAAAAAATGAAAGACATTAAGAAAATGGCATTTAAAATCAGTCATTAAAAAGCAAAGATAATAAAATAAACATTAAAAGAAAAAATACATGGATAAAAGTTACAGTGCAATTTAAGATATGAATAGTTCAATTAAAAGCAGCGGCAAAAAGAAAAGTCTTCAGCCTGGATTTAAAAGTAGTCAGAGTTGCAGCGGACCTGCAGGTTTCTGGGAGTTTGTTCCAGATATTTGGAGCATAATAACTGAACGCTGCTTCTCCATGTTTAGTTCTGACTCTGGGGTCAGAAAGCTGACCAGTCCCAGAAGACCTGAGAGATCTGGGTGGTTCATAATTTAGCAGCAGTTCAGAAATGTATTTTGGGCCTAAACCATTCAGTGCTTTATAAACCATCAGCAATATTTTTGAAATCTATTCTTTGACACACAGGAAGCCAGTGTAAAGACTTCAGAACAGGAGTGATATGATCCACTTTCTTAGTGTTAGTGAGGACTCGAGCAGCGGCGTTCTGAATCAGCTGCAGCTTTCTAATAGATTTTTTAGTGAGACCTGTAAAGACACCATTACAGTAGTCGAGTCTACTGAAGATAAAAGCATGGACAAGTTTTTCCAAATCCTGCTGTGACATTAGTCTTTTAATCCTAGAAATATTCTTTAGGTGATAGTAGGCTGATTTAGTAACTGTTTTAATGTGACTGTTGAAACTCAGGTCAGAGTCCATGACTACACCTAGATTTCTGGCTTTATCTGTTGTTTTGAACATTGCAGACTGAAGCTCAGCGCTAACTTTTATACGTTCTGACTTGGCTCCAAAAACCATTACCTCAGTTTTATCTTTGTTTAATTGGAGAAAGTTCTGACACATCCAGTCATTGATTTGTGCAATGCACTTACTCAGTGTTTGAATTGGAGCATAGTCTCCTGGTGAAATTGTTACGTAAATGTGTGTGTCATCTGCATAGCTATGGTAACTTATTTTGTTGTTTTTCGTTAACTCGTTAATAACGCGTTAACGCAAAAAATAATTAACGCCACTAATTATTTTAACGCGATTAACGCATGTGTATTTTTTTTCCTCGGCCGCCCCGTAGTTTCAGAGCGCTTCGAGTTTAAAATACCATCTACAAGCTGATGCTGACAGCCCCGCTCCTGCCGCCCGCTTGTGGCAGACCACACTTCCACGCTCACCGGCAGGCACCGACTGGCTATTGGGAGGACCGGGAGGGTGTGTATGTGTGGCCCGAGCGAGCGAGAGAGAGACCTTGCGTGCATTGTTGTTGTTAGCATCTGGTGCTAGCTAGCTGCGCTAACGGATCTAAGGAGCTGTTTAAATGAAAACAGAGGAGCGACATTTCGCCACAACTGCGCCGAGCACTTGACTTTATGCAGGAAGCCAGACAGTGGGACATTGTACGAAAAGTCAGCACACTCAGCACGGATAGTGCGCGCAACATGATTGCAGCGTCCAGGCAGCTCCCGTTCGAGCATATGCCTTGAGTTGCACATAGCTCCAGCACACACACACACACACACACACACACACACACACACACACACACACACACACACACACACACACACACACACACACACACACACACACACACACACACACACACCACACACACACACACACACACACACACACACACACACACACACACACACACACACACACACACACACACACACACACACACACACACACACACACACACACACACACACACACACACATACCATTTGTATTGTATTATTGTATGAGAGAGGTTCCAGGTTGAATTGAGGCGAATATTTGTAATGTTCAGAGGTTGTTGTGTTTAATATTCATGGAAATATTTGTCATTGTTCAAATGATAATAAACATTAGCATAAAGCATATTTGTCCACTCATATGTTGATAAGAATATTAAAAACTTGAAAAATATTCCTCTAAGGTACATTTAGAACAGATCAAAAATGTGCGATTAATTTGCGATTAATCGCGATTAACTATGGACAATCATGCGATTAATCGCGATTCAATATTTTAGTCGACTGACAGCCCTAGTATTTACCTATAGAAACAACGTTTTTTCTGTCCTTTAAGTAGGATTCAAACCAATTTAGAACTGTTTCCGAAAGTCCCACCCGGTTTTCCAGTCGGTCTAGTAATATGCTGTGGTCAACAGTGTCAAACGCAGCACTGAGATCTAAAAATACTAACACTGAAGTTCTGCCACTGTCTGTGTTTAAGTGGATGTCATTGAAGACCTTTACAAGAGCAGTCTCGGCGCTGTGGTTTGGACGAAAGCCTGACTGGAACACATCAAAACAGTTATTTAAATGCAAGAAATTACTCAACTGTTGAAAAACAACTTTTTCAATGATTTTACCTAGAAATGGCAGGTTTGATATGGGCCTGTAATTGTTCATTACTGAAGCATCTAGATTATTCTTTTTTAAGAGCGGTTTAATGACTTCAGTTTTCAGGGCCTGTGGAAAAACACCTGAGTGAAGAGACTTGTTTACTATGTGAAGTAGATCTGAGGCCATGCAATGAAAAACATCTTTGAAAAATCCTGTTGGAATAATATCAAGGCAGCAGGAGGAGGATTTCAGAAGTTGAATAATGTCCTCTAGGTTGTTATCATTAATCTGATGGAATTGTGTCGTGGTGTTTGAATTGATATTAGGTGGACACAGGGACAACACATTTGCTGTACCTGATGCAGAGGCACTGGCCGTTTCTCAATCGCGAGGATGCTGGCTTGGTAGTCGCGTACTTCCAAGTCACTTCCTTCAGAAACGAAGCAAGTATGCTTCCAAGCCAAGGCTTCGGAAAACGAAGAAGAATGGAACAGACTAACAAGTGTGCCACTCTCTCTAACGGTTTCAACATAAACTGTACCGAAAATAAATACCTCACGATGTCTATCTAATTATGAACTTGCTTTACTTTCACGGAACACATTTTTGGTGATAACAAACAAATGTAACATATTTACCAACACATGTTCTACGCCACTATACTTACATTTAAATGTGTGCTGCATTGGTTCAGCAATTCTCCGCAAGGGTTTTTGAAATTGGTCCTTGCGCAAAGCATTGTGGGGATTCTAAGGACGCAACGTCTACCCATGTGCAGCCTCGAAATTTCCCCCAAACCAAGGACGCGGCCTCGGTGGAATTCCAAGTATGCTGGAGATTGGAACAGTCCTTCGGCGGCACTCGATGACGTAGCGTCCTTGAAATATTGGCTTGGAAGCCAGAATCCTCGAGATTGAGAAACGGCCAGTGACTGCTTGTCTGATTTTCTGAATTTTGTCAGTGAAGAAGAAGACAAAATCATTGCAGTCCCTGGTGGATACAATTTCAGAGGCTACTGACACTGGGGGGTTTGTTAGTCTGTCGACGGTAGCAAACAAGGCACGTGCGTTGTTTTTGTTTATGGTAATGATGTCAGAGAAGAAAGACTGTCGTGCGCTTTTCAAATCCAAATTATAAAGGCCAAGTCTCTCTTTCTAGATTTCAGAATGAACCTGGAGATTTGTTTTTCGCCACCTACGTTCAGCTTTTCGACACTCTCTTTTTTCTGTTTTCACGGTCATGGCCTTTCTCCATGGAGATATTTTCTTGCCAGTCACTTCCTTTACCTTAGTTGGAGTAATGGCATCTATAACATTTTTAATTGTTTTATTAAAATGATCTACTAGCTCATTTACTGAGATGTTAGCAGGGGCAAGTGTGGAAGAAAAACTCTGAGTAAACATTTCCCTAGTATTTTCAGTTAAATGTCGCTTTGTGGTTACCTCTTTTTGAACAATTTTGTGAACAGAAATAGAGCTCTCAAAGAAAACACAGGAATGGTCAGAGAGTGCAACATCAGTCACCATAACCTTAGAGATATTCAGACCCTTTGAGATAATTAAGTCCAGAGTGTGCCCCTTATTGTGTGTGGGCTCCGTCACATGCTGAGTCTGTCCATAGTTATCAAGAACACAAAACAGTCCTGGGGGTTGTCAACATGGATGTTAAAATCACCAACAATGACTAGACGGTAAAAGTTAATACACACTATAGTTAATACAGTTAATACACACTATAGTTCAGTAAAGTCATCAAAAAAGCTCGCACAGTATTTGGGTGGACTATAGATATTTAGGAACAGAGCTCGAGAGGAGCATTTCAGCTGAAGGGCCACATATTCAAAAGAAGCAAAGTTCCCATAAGATGTCTTCCTGCATTGAATGGAATCATTGAACAAAATAGCAACTCCACCCCATTTCTTATGCATTCTTTCCTGACTCATAAAACTAAAGTTGGGAGGGGTTGATTAAATAAGAACAGCTGCACTGTGATTTTGTTCAATCCAAGTTTCCGTTAAAAACATAAAATCGAGATTGTGCTCAGTGATAAAATCATTGATTAAAAATGTTTTTCCTGCCAAAGACCTGACATTTAATAAAGCTAGTTTAAGTTTGTTGAATACACAATCAGTAAGATTTTTGTGACAAGCTGTGGCTGACATGGAATCACTGCTAAATTTGATAAACTCACACAAACATTTGAGCACTTCCTGTTTCCAAGCTGATTCATCGCTCTTAATTTATTACCTATCAACACAGATATCGGCAAAGCTACTGGCAGGCAGGGCCCCGGTATGTCCTGGAAAGAGTTGAGAGTGCCATACGCCGTTGAGCCTGGACCCAACACATATCAGTTAGAGTTTGTTGCGTTTTGTACACACACATCCTTATCAGGCTTCGGAGACCGCAGATGCTTTCTTGAAGGTGGGGGAGGTGGTTGACGTAGGCACGGTGATGAAGACGGGGGAGATGGTGTGCGTCTCTGCTTCGGTGAATTTGGTGGGCGTCGTAGAAGGGCGGGGGTAAAGGACATGCTGCCAGGGGGGGGAGGTGGTTGACGTAGGCACAGTGATGAAGACGGGGGAGATGGTGCGCGTCTCTGCTTCGGTGATTTAGATGGGCGTCGTTGAGGAGCGGGGTTAAAGGACATGCTGCCAACCCTGCGTATCGCCTTAGTTTGGTCATGGAGGGTGGGCAGGGTGAAAGGGTGAACGGAGAGTAGAGAGAGCTGTGGGGTGAAGGAACAGTATCCTCAGAGGTGATAGTGGGGGTGAAGGGCGGGGGAGACTCCTCTATTTGTCTCCCATAATCAAGATATTCCTCAGGTGGGTGCAGTGATTTTCAAGGTTTTCTGAGCGATGTGTTGTGTCTTTCTCTTGCTTTGATTCCTCTTCTTGGTTGTCCTTGGCAGAGGGAACAGATTGATGACGCAGGCAGTTGAATATGTTAGAGATAAACAATTTCACTCCTGACTTGTTCAGGCAAAATCCATTTGCCTTAAAAAGATGTCTGCGGTCCCAGAAAAAGTTAAAGTTGTCAATAAAATGGACAGAATGGTCAGTACAGGCAGTTGAAAGCCAGGTGTTCAGTGCAAACAATTTGCTGAATCTCTCCACTCCTCTTCTGACTGGCGGTAGAGGGCCACTGATGAACACCTTTGCATTTAGAGAGCTGACAGTTTCCAACAAACATTTAAAGTCTTCTTTCAGCACTTCTGACTGTTGTTTCACAACATCATTTGTCCCAATGTGCGGTACCACATTTTTTACAGTCGGATGTTCAGCCCCAATATGCAGGATCTTCACAGGAAAGTCAGAGGCCATATCCTTGGGAAAGTACTTTGGTGTTGTTCTTACTACACAGACTTTTTACATCTCTTAAAGCAGTCGCCCACAATCAGAGTTTCAGGCCCAGTCGTTAGCTTTCCCTCTAGTCTTTTACTTTTGGAGTAGCTATTCGTTCTTACCCTGCTGTGTGAAGAGGACAGGTTATCCAGGTCATCAGAAAGAGATCTCCGGTTCTGGGTCAGTGGATCGTATCTGTTCTGGATTGGCACACTCTGTGGTTTAGGAGGATTGTTTGTAGTTCTCCCTTTAGCAGCTGTCCACGGCTGTTTAGTATGAATAGGGTTTGAAGAGGCGCTTTTCCTGGGCTCTGCCTGTTGTTCGTCCTCCCAAATCCCATGGAAATGATTTACTCTTAGGCCTTGCACCCAGACATTTCCAGGGAGGACTACCACTTGTAGATTTATTACCCGGTACACAGCCCTCCTGTTCCTTGGAATCCTTATAGCTGCTAACTAGCTTTGAGTTAGCCTGCCTTTGTCCATTCTTTTGCAAGAAGGACTCTTTGTCTTCGTTAGCAAATCTTTTATCTCAACTTGACTACAAGGAAATAGTGCCACTTGGCGATTTTAACTGGGACTGGTTAACTACAGTGTCAGAGGATTTTAAAAACCTTTGTATCTCATTAAATGTTACTCAGATTGTAGACAGTCCTACTCGCCCAAATATTAAGTCCCCAAATAAGTCATCCTTAATAGATCTCATTTTAACTAATGTTCCCCATAAATACTCATCTGTGGGAGTATTTGAAAATGATGTGAGTGACCACTGTGTTGTAGCCACAATTAGGGACACAAAGGTCCAACACGGTAAACCTCGCATTGTCATAAAGAGAGACACAAAACATTTTGTGGAGCAGGGTTTTGTACATGATCTGTATGGTTTTGATTGGGGAAAAATCGATCTGTGTGATGATGTTAAAACTGCATGGTCTTATTTTTATCTTGGTTTTTTTGATCCTCAAGGCCTGGGCAAAGGCTAGGCAATCAGGCTCAGAGGTAGAATGGCTACGCTTTAGGCAGCTAAGAAATAGCTTCACATCGCAAATCAAAAGTGCTGAGTCTAAGTATTATCTGTCAGTTACCACAAAAAAGCCTAAATAATCCTAGAAAATGTTGGAAAGCCATTAAATCGTTATCCACCAGGGAAAGCCGTAATGAGCTACCTCCTTGCCTTGCCACAGCATCTGGCTCTATATCGGACAGGGCCACTATGTTAATTTGTTTTAATGAACATTTTGTGTCCTGTGGCTCTCTGTTTGATTCTGTTACTAACTCTGCTTCTTTGAACACCACAGTCTGTGACTCTGAACAATGTGGTTTGGAAAACCCTTTCAGTTTTTCTCCTTTTACTATTGATGTTGTTCATGAAGCCTTAACCAAGTTAGATCCTAAGAAACCGGCTGGCCCGGACAACGTAGAACCTTTCTTTTTAAAGATAGCTGCAGATTTTATTGTACCACCTCTCACTACTCTTTTTAACCTCTCCCTCAGCAAAATTCCAAAAATATGGAAGTCAGCTTATGTCCTGCCTTTACTAAAAAGAGGGGAGGCCACTTTATTAAATAATTATAGGCCCTTCTCTAAATTGTCAGTTCTGGCTAAGGTTCTTGAACGCCTAGTGAGGGAACAGGTAAAGGAGTGTTTATGTATAAATGACATCCTATGTAAACATTAGTCAGGTTTCAGAAAGCAACATAGCACCATCACTGCGACAATGAAAGTAGTGAATGATATTGCTGGTATTTTAGACAATAAGCAGAGTTGTGCAGCTCTGTTTATTGATATTTCCAAAGCGTTCAATGCCGTCGATCATCATATCTTGAAGCAGAGGCTGGCCAGTATTGGCATATCCAGCCATGCAGTGGGGTGGTTTGTGAACTACCTCTCTGAAAGCTCCCAATGCGTTCAATTTGATGGGCTCACATCTGAGTGGTTAAACATTACTAATGGTGTACCACAAGGTTCTGTTTTAGGTCCACTATTATTCTCCATCTACAACAGTTTAGGTCGACGATACCGGGATGTATTGTGTAGGTCCCTCCATTAAGGAGGCTGTTGTTAAATTGCAGGCTGTTTTATTATTCAGACTCAGCTCTAACTAAAGCTTCTTTTAAATGTTGATAAAACGAAGGTAATGCTATTTTCAAAAGCCAAAAAGACACCAGGGACCGCTTTGGATTTGTTTACTGCACAAGAAAAAATACTTGAAGTGGTTGCCACTTCAAATGTTGATAAGTATGTAAATCTGTAACTGTGTTGTATGATGTCCTTTTTGTGTTTGTCTTCATGTGTAACCTACTGCTGCAGGTCTCTTGAAAAAGAGATTGATGATCTCATGAGATTCACCTGATTAAATAAAGATTTGAAAGGAAATGAAAACGTGTTTTGTGTCCCATTGCTAAATGTGATAATACTTCTGTAAACACAAGCATTTAAAAAAAAAAAAACGAAATCCAAACCAACGCCATCCCCTTTTCACAGTTTCTACAGAGCAGTTGGATGGCTGCAGTTTAAGTTGAAGGCATTTGTAAAAGTTTTGCAATTTCACCAAAGTCATATGCTGTGCCAACATTCCAAAATAAAGACAGATTTACAAAAGCCTTTGTGAAAGCACAGTTTATTGGTATATTGACATTAAGAAAAGCAGCAGTCAGTCATCTGGAACTAAAGACCTGCAAAAGCAAAAACATTTGTGAATCATCAGTTGGATGATGGATACAGAAACAGGGCATTTAGCAAATTGTGTCTTACCAGCAAGGTCTTTAGAAGACATATTTGCTTGGAGCGTGCCAGGGAACAGGCTCTCCTGGGATGTAGCGGGTTTGAGCAACTTGTGACCTTTTGCGTTGGTATCTCGAACGCGAGCTAAAGGAGGAGACTGGCTCCAGACCAGCCACCTCGCTGAAGACTGGCTCAGGTTCCTCTTCACCAGCAGGTTCAGAGCTCAAACCAGGCCTAGCTGAGCTACCATAGTCGACAACTTGAATATTGCTGTTATAACCATTCCCTGCATATGCAGGAGCCCTGTAATTGCCAGGGCCAGCACTGGAACTGGCCTCTAGAAGAGCGGGACCAGCCACCTCGCTGAAGACTGGCTTAGGTTCCTCTTCACCAGCAGGTTCAGAGCTCAAACCAGGCCTAGCTGAGCTACCATAGTCGACAACTTGAATATTGCTGTTATAACCATTCCCTGCATATGCAGGAGCCCTGTAATTGCCAGGGCCAGCACTGGAACTGGCCTCTAGAAGAGCGGGACCAGCCACCTCGCTGAAGACTGGCTTAGGTTCCTCTTCACCAGCAGGTTCAGAGCTCAAACCAGGCCTAGCTGAGCTACCATAGTCGACAACTTGAATATTGCTGTTATAACCATTCCCTGCATATGCAGGAAGCCCTGTAATTGCCAGGGCCAGCACTGGAACTGGCCTCTAGAAGAGCGGGACCAGCCACCTCGCTGAAGACTGGCTTAGGTTCCTCTTCACCAGCAGGTTCAGAGCTCAAACCAGGCCTAGCTGAGCTACCATAGTCGACAACTTGAATATTGCTGTTATAACCATTCCCTGCATATGCAACCTCAGGCTCACTGACCTGAGGGTTGTTATAGCGCCCATCCATCCAACTAGCATCTTTAAAATTATAATAGCTACCAACATTGCCCTCTGGAGCACTGGTGTCATATCTAGACGCTGCATAAGCAACCTCAGGTTCACGAACCACAAGGCTGTTATAGCGTTCATCCCTTAAACTAGCATTGTCATCTTTAACCACAGCCATGTTAGGGCTGCGGTAGAAATCTGGAGCCCTGTAATTGCCAGGGCCAGCACTGGAACTGGCCTCTAGAAGAGCGGGAAGTTCAGGAGCGTTGTTAGATCTCAGTACGGGTACAACTGGTAGATAGGAGCTGCTGCCCGGATCAGAACTGGCCCTTCTTTCCCAATACCGATAGCTAGAAGGGGGTGGCCAATGCATGAAGCGTGGAGCAGCAGTTTCTGTTTCAAAAGGAAAAACATGTTAGCACTTTACTCTATTTTATTGTAAAAATCTTAAGGCAATATCGTCTCACCTTGTTGTATAGGATGACAGGTTATGTAGCCAATAAGCAAGCAGGAAATCCACAACATCCTGCAAAGAGATTTCATTTTAGATTAGGTTTCAATCTTACCAATCAATAAGCTACAAGTCAGTTGTCTACGTACATGATTTTAGTTAGAGATCCAGGTACATTCAGGATATGTATGCTGTGTGATTTCTTCAAGCAACTGTAGAGGTAAAGCATAGACAAAAGTGGTCATATTAACAATTAGGTAGCACAAAGTACAAATAAAAAAATGAAACACCCAAACCACAGTTAATACCTGCTAACTGCAACAAGCGTCTCCAACAAGCAGCTTTCCACAATGTCTTCAGAATCCAAAGAAGCTTCTTTTAAAGGATCCTCAAGGCTGTGTTAATTACTGTTTAAGTGGGAACACCTGCCAACAAGGACACCTGAGGTGTGTTCAATGTGAAAAGGTCCAGGCAGCTCCCTTTCATTGACACTACATTGTATGAATCATGAATACAAAATTGAAAAGACACAAGTGTCGGCCGGGAGCAACCTACATTTATATATTATATGTTTGTACAGTAAGTGCGGCTAAAGTATAAAAATACTAAGTGTTCAAATAATGTATTGGTTGTTGAATTGTCTTTGTTTTAATTTTTATATAATGCACACCCTGCCGTGGTGCCCTTGAGCAAGGCACCGGACATACCCCTTCCCCCCCACTTTCATTGCTCCCCGGGCGCTGTACCAGTGGCGTAGCTGTTTAACCACGTTGGTTTCCAAATCAGTAAGCAACTCACATTTTTAGCCTTGAATATTGAAGTGGCAAAGGGTCAACAGGTCATGGTGCTGGGCTGTTACAGACCCCCCTCAGCAGTCAAGGCAAGGCAAGGCAAGGCAATTCAAAGTGCTTTACAAAAAATGAAAGACATTAAGAAAATGGCATTTAAAGTCAGTCATTAAAAAGCAAAGATAATAAAATAAACATTAAAAGAAAAAATACATGGATAAAAGTTACAGTGCAGTTTAAGATATGAATAGTTCAATTAAAAGTAGCGGCAAAAAAAAAGAGTCTTCAGCCTGGATTTAAAAGTAGTCAGAGTTGCAGCGGACCTGCAGGTTTCTGGGAGTTTGTTCCAAATATTTGGAGCATAATAACTGAATGCTGCTTTACCATGTTTAGTTCTGACTCTGGGGACAGAAAGTTAACCAGTCCCAGAAAACCTGAGAGATCTGGATGGTTCATAATTTAGCAGCAGGTCAGAAATGTATTTTGGGCTTAAACCATTCAAAGCTTTATAAACCAGCAGCAATATTTTTTTGAAATCAATTCTTTGACACACAGGAAGCCAGTGTAAAGACTTCAGAACAGGAGTGATATGATCCACTTTCTTAGTGTTAGTGAGGACTCGAGCAGCGGCGGTCTGAATTAGCTTCAGCTTTCTAATAGATTTATTAGTGAGACCTGTGAAGACACCATTGCAGTAGTCGAGTCTACTGAAGATAAAAGCATGGACAAGTTTTTCCAAATCCTGCTGTGACATTACTCTTTTAATCCTAGAAATATTCTTTAGGTGATTGTAGGCTGATTTAGTAATTGTTTTAATGTGACTGTTGAAACTCAGGTCAGAGTCCATGACTACACCTAGATTTCTGGCTTTATCTGTTGTTTTGAACATTGCAGACTGAAGCTCAGCGCTAACTTTTATACGTTGTGCCTTGGCTCCAAAAACCATTACCTCAGTTTTATCTTTGTTTAATTGGAGAAAGTTCTGACACATCCAGTCATTGATTTGTTCAATGCACTTACTCAGTGTTTGAATTGGAGCATAGTCTCCTGGTGAAATTGTTACGTAAATGTGTGTGTCATCTGCATAGCTATGGTAACTTATTTTGTTGTTCTTCATTATCTGAGCCAGTGGTAGCATGTATATGTTAAAGAGAAGAGGCCCCAAGATGGAGCCTTGAGGAACCCCACATGTCATATTTGTCAACTCAGATGTGTATTTACCTATAGAAACAAAGTTGTTTCTGTCCTTTAAGTAGGATTCAAACCAATTTAGAACTGTTTCCGAAAGTCCCACCCGGTTTTCCAGTCGGTCTAGTAATATGCTGTGGTCAACAGTGTCAAACGCAGCACTGAGATCTAAAAATACTAACACTGAAGTTCTGCCACTGTCTGTGTTTAAGTGGATGTCATTGAAGACCTTTACAAGAGCAGTCTCGGCGCTGTGGTTTGGACGAAAGCCTGACTGGAACACATCGAAACAGTTATTTAAATGCAAGAAATTACTCAACTGTTGAAAAACAACTTTTTCAATGATTTTACCTAGAAATGGCAGGTTTGATATGGGCCTGTAATTGTTCATTACTGAAGCATCTAGATTATTCTTTTTTAAGAGCGGTTTAATGACTTCAGTTTTCAGGGCCTGTGGAAAAACACCTGAGTAAAGAGACTTGTTTACTATGTGAAGTAGATCTGAGGCCATGCAATGAAAAACATCTTTGAAAAATCCTGTTGGAATAATATCAAGGCAGCAGGAGGAGGATTTCAGAAGTTGAATAATGTCCTCTAGGTTTTTATCATTAATCTGATGGAATTGTGTCATGGTGTTTGAATTGATATTAGGTGGACACAGGGACAACACATTTGCTGTACCTGATGCAGAGGCACTGGCCGTTTCTCAATCGCGAGGATGCTGGCTTGGTAGTCGCGTACTTCCAAGTCACTTCCTTCAGAAACGAAGCAAGTATGCTTCCAAGCCACGGCTTCGGAAAACGAAGAAGAATGGAACAGACTAACAAGTGTGCCACTCTCTCTAACGGTTTCAACATAAACTGTACCGAAAATAAATACCTCACGATGTCTATCTAATTATGAACTTGCTTTACTTTCACGGAACACATTTTTGGTGATAACAAACAAATGTAACAAAGTAACATATTTACCAACACATGTTCTACGCCACTATACTTACATTTAAATGTGTGCTGCATCGGTTCAGCAATTCTCCACAAGGGTTTTTGAAATTGGTCCTTGCGCAAAGCATTGTGGGGATTTTAAGGACGCAAAGTCTACCCATGTGCAGCCTCGAAATTTCCCCCAAACCAAGGACGCGGCCTCGGTGGAATTCCAAGTATGCTGGAGATTGGAACAGTCCTTCGGCGGCACTCGATGACGTAGCATCCTTGAAATATTGGCTTGGAAGCCAGAATCCTCGAGATTGAGAAACGGCCAGTGACTGCTTGTCTGATTTTCTGAATTTTGTCAGTGAAGAAGAAGACAAAATCATTGCAGTCCCTGGTGGATACAATTTCAGAGGCTACTGACACTGGGGGGTTTGTTAGTCTGTCGACTGTAGCAAACAAGGCACGTGCGTTGTTTTTGTTTATGGTAATGATGTCAGAGAAGAAAGACTGTCGTGCGCTTTTCAAATCCAAATTATAAAGGCCAAGTCTCTCTTTCTAGATTTCAAAATGAACCTGGAGATTTGTTTTTCGCCACCTACGTTCAGCTTTTCGACACTCTCTTTTTTCTGTTTTCACGGTCATGGCCTTTCTCCATGGAGATATTTTCTTGCCAGACACTTCCTTTACCTTAGTTGGAGCAATGGCATCTATAACATTTTTAATTTTTTAATTAAAATGATCTACTAGCTCATTTACTGAGATGTTAGCAGGGGCAAGTGTGGAAGAAAAATTCTGAGTAAACATTTCCCTAGTATTTTCAGTTAAATATCGCTTTGTGGTTACCTCTTTTTGAACAATTTTGTGAACAGAAATAGAGCTCTCAAAGAAAACACAGGAATGGTCAGAGACTGCAACATCAGTCACCATAACCTTAGAGATATTCAGACCCTTTGAGATAATTAAGTCCAGAGTGTGCCCCTTATTGTGCGTGGGCTCCGTCACATGCTGAGTCTGTCCATAGTTATCAAGAACACAAAACAGTCCTGGGGGTTGTCAACATGGATGTTAAAATCACCAACAATGACTAGACGGTAAAAGTTAATACACACTATAGACAGCAGTTCAGTAAAGTCATCAAAAAAGCTCGCACAGTATTTGGGTGGACTATAGATATTTAGGAACAGAGCTCGAGAGGAGCATTTCAGCTGAAGGGCCACATATTCAAAAGAAGCAAAGTTCCCATAAGATGTCTTCCTGCATTGAATGGAATCATTGAACAAAATAGCAACTCCACCCCATTTCTTATGCATTCTTTCCTGACTCATAAAACTAAAGTTGGGAGGGGTTGATTCGATAAGAACAGCTGCACTGTGATTTTGTTCAATCCAAGTTTCCGTTAAAAACATAAAATCGAGATTGTGCTCAGTGATAAAATCATTGATTAAAAATGTTTTTCCTGCCAAAGACCTGACATTTAATAAAGCTAGTTTAAGTTTGTTGAATACACAATCAGTAAGATTTTTGTGACAAGCTGTGGCTGACATGGAATCACTGCTAAATTTGATAAACTCACACAAACATTTGAGCACTTCCTGTTTCCAAGCTGATTCATCGCTCTTAATTTATTACCTATCAACACAGATATCGGCAAAGCTACTGGCAGGCAGGGCCCCGGTATGTCCTGGAAAGAGTTGAGAGTGCCATACGCCGTTGAGCCTGGACCCAACACATATCAGTTAGAGTTTGTTGCGTTTTGTACACACACATCCTTATCAGGCTTCGGAGACCGCAGATGCTTTCTTGAAGGTGGGGGAGGTGGTTGACGTAGGCACGGTGATGAAGACGGGGGAGATGGTGTGCGTCTCTGCTTCGGTGAATTTGGTGGGCGTCGTAGAAGGGCGGGGGTAAAGGACATGCTGCCAGGGGGGGGGGAGGTGGTTGACGTAGGCACAGTGATGAAGACGGGGGAGATGGTGCGCGTCTCTGCTTCGGTGATTTAGATGGGCGTCGTTGAGGAGCGGGGTTAAAGGACATGCTGCCAACCCTGCGTATCGCCTTAGTTTGGTCATGGAGGGTGGGCAGGGTGAAAGGGTGAACGGAGAGTAGAGAGAGCTGTGGGGTGAAGGAAACAGTATCCTCAGAGGTGATAGTGGGGGTGAAGGGCGGGGGAGACTCCTCTATTTGTCTCCCATAATCAAGATATTCCTCAGGTGGGTGCAGTGATTTTCAAGGTTTTCTGAGCGATGTGTTGTGTCTTTCTCTTGCTTTGATTCCTCTTCTTGGTTGTCCTTGGCAGAGGGAACAGATTGATGACGCAGGCAGTTGAATATGTTAGAGATAAACAATTTCACTCCTGACTTGTTCAGGCAAAATCCATTTGCCTTAAAAAGATGTCTGCGGGTCCCAGAAAAAGTTAAAGTTGTCAATAAAATGGACAGAATGGTCAGTACAGGCAGTTGAAAGCCAGGTGTTCAGTGCAAACAATTTGCTGAATCTCTCCACTCCTCTTCTGACTGGCGGTAGAGGGCCACTGATGAACACCTCTGCATTTAGAGAGCTGACAGTTTCCAACAAACATTTAAAGTCTTCTTTCAGCACTTCTGACTGTTGTTTCACAACATCATTTGTCCCAATGTGCGGTACCACATTTTTTACAGTCGGATGTTCAGCCCCAATATGCAGGATCTTCACAGGAAAGTCAGAGGCCATATCCTTGGGAAAGTACTTTGGTGTTGTTCTTACTACACAGACTTTTTACATCTCTTAAAGCAGTCGCCCACAATCAGAGTTTCAGGCCCAGTCGTTAGCTTTCCCTCTAGTCTTTTACTTTTGGAGTAGCTATTCGTTCTTACCCTGCTGTGTGAAGAGGACAGGTTATCCAGGTCATCAGAAAGAGATCTCCGGTTCTGGGTCAGTGGATTGTATCTGTTCTGGATTGGCACACTCTGTGGTTTAGGAGGATTGTTTGTAGTTCTCCCTTTAGCAGCTGTCCACGGCTGTTTAGTATGAATAGGGTTTGAAGAGGCGCTTTTCCTGGGCTCTGCCTGTTGTTCGTCCTCCCAAATCCCATGGAAATGATTTACTCTTAGGCCTTGCACCCAGACATTTCCAGGGAGGACTACCACTTGTAGATTTATTACCCGGTACACAGCCCTCCTGTTCCTTGGAATCCTTATAGCTGCTAACTAGCTTTGAGTTAGCCTGCCTTTGTCCATTCTTTTGCAAGAAGGACTCTTTGTCTTCGTTAGCAAATCTTTTATCTCAACTTGACTACAAGGAAATAGTGCCACTTGGCGATTTTAACTGGGACTGGTTAACTACAGTGTCAGAGGATTTTTAAAAACCTTTGTATCTCATTAAATGTTACTCAGATTGTAGACAGTCCTACTCGCCCAAATATTAAGTCCCCAAATAAGTCATCCTTAATAGATCTCATTTTAACTAATGTTCCCCATAAATACTCATCTGTGGGAGTATTTGAAAATGATGTGAGTGACCACTGTGTTGTAGCCACAATTAGGGACACAAAGGTCCAACACGGTAAACCTTGCATTGTCATAAAGAGAGACACAAAACATTTTGTGGAGCAGGGTTTTGTACATGATCTGTATGGTTTTGATTGGGGAAAAATCGATCTGTGTGATGATGTTAAAACTGCATGGTCTTATTTTTATCTTGGTTTTTTTGATCCTCAAGGCCTGGGCAAAGGCTAGGCAATCAGGCTCAGAGGTAGAATGGCTACGCTTTAGGCAGCTAAGAAATAGCTTCACATCGCAAATCAAAAGTGCTGAGTCTAAGTATTATCTGTCAGTTACCACAAAAAAGCCTAAATAATCCTAGAAAATGTTGGAAAGCCATTAAATCGTTATCCACCAGGGAAAGCCGTAATGAGCTACCTCCTTGCCTTGCCACAGCATCTGGCTCTATATCGGACAGGGCCACTATGTTAATTTGTTTTAATGAACATTTTGTGTCCTGTGGCTCTCTGTTTGATTCTGTTACTAACTCTGCTTCTTTGAACACCACAGTCTGTGACTCTGAACAATGTGGTTTGGAAAACCCTTTCAGTTTTTCTCCTTTTACTATTGATGTTGTTCATGAAGCCTTAACCAAGTTAGATCCTAAGAAACCGGCTGGCCCGGACAACGTAGAACCTTTCTTTTTAAAGATAGCTGCAGATTTTATTGTACCACCTCTCACTACTCTTTTTAACCTCTCCCTCAGCAAAATTCCCAAAATATGGAAGTCAGCTTATGTCCTGCCTTTACTAAAAAGATGGGAGGCCACTTTATTAAATAATTATAGGCCCTTCTCTAAATTGTCAGTTCTGGCTAAGGTTCTTGAACGCCTAGTGAGGGAACAGGTAAAGGAGTGTTTATGTATAAATGACATCCTATGTAAACATTAGTCAGGTTTCAGAAAGCAACATAGCACCATCACTGCGACAATGAAAGTAGTGAATGATATTGCTGGTATTTTAGACAATAAGCAGAGTTGTGCAGCTCTGTTTATTGATATTTCCAAAGCGTTCAATGCCGTCGATCATCATATCTTGAAGCAGAGGCTGGCCAGTATTGGCATATCCAGCCATGCAGTGGGGTGGTTTGTGAACTACCTCTCTGAAAGCTCCCAATGCGTTCAATTTGATGGGCTCACATCTGAGTGGTTAAACATTACTAATGGTGTACCACAAGGTTCTGTTTTAGGTCCACTATTATTCTCCATCTACAACAGTTTAGGTCGACGATACCGGGATGTATTGTGTAGGTCCCTCCATTAAGGAGGCTGTTGTTAAATTGCAGGCTGTTTTATTATTCAGACTCAGCTCTAACTAAAGCTTCTTTTAAATGTTGATAAAACTAAGGTAATGCTATTTTCAAAAGCCAAAAAGACACCAGGGACCGCTTTGGATTTGTTTACTGCACAAGAAAAAATACTTGAAGTGGTTGCCACTTCAAATGTTGATAAGTATGTAAATCTGTAACTGTGTTGTATGATGTCCTTTTTGTGTTTGTCTTCATGTGTAACCTACTGCTGCAGGTCTCTTGAAAAAGAGATTGATGATCTCATGAGATTCACCTGATTAAATAAAGATTTGAAAGGAAATGAAAACGTGTTTTGTGTCCCATTGCTAAATGTGATAATACTTCTGTAAACACAAGCATTTAAAAAAAAAAAAAACGAAATCCAAACCAACGCCATCCCCTTTTCACAGTTTCTACAGAGCAGTTGGATGGCTGCAGTTTAAGTTGAAGGCATTTGTAAAAGTTTTGCAATTTCACCAAAGTCATATGCTGTGCCAACATTCCAAAATAAAGACAGATTTACAAAAGCCTTTGTGAAAGCACAGTTTATTGGTATATTGACATTAAGAAAAGCAGCAGTCAGTCATCTGGAACTAAAGACCTGCAAAAGCAAAAACATTTGTGAATCATCAGTTGGATGATGGATACAGAAACAGGGCATTTAGCAAATTGTGTCTTACCAGCAAGGTCTTTAGAAGACATATTTGCTTGGAGCGTGCCAGGGAACAGGCTCTCCTGGGATGTAGCGGGTTTGAGCAACTTGTGACCTTTTGCGTTGGTATCTCGAACGCGAGCTAAAGGAGGAGACTGGCTCCAGACCAGCCACCTCGCTGAAGACTGGCTCAGGTTCCTCTTCACCAGCAGGTTCAGAGCTCAAACCAGGCCTAGCTGAGCTACCATAGTCGACAACTTGAATATTGCTGTTATAACCATTCCCTGCATATGCAGGAGCCCTGTAATTGCCAGGGCCAGCACTGGAACTGGCCTCTAGAAGAGCGGGACCAGCCACCTCGCTGAAGACTGGCTTAGGTTCCTCTTCACCAGCAGGTTCAGAGCTCAAACCAGGCCTAGCTGAGCTACCATAGTCGACAACTTGAATATTGCTGTTATAACCATTCCCTGCATATGCAGGAGCCCTGTAATTGCCAGGGCCAGCACTGGAACTGGCCTCTAGAAGAGCGGGACCAGCCACCTCGCTGAAGACTGGCTTAGGTTCCTCTTCACCAGCAGGTTCAGAGCTCAAACCAGGCCTAGCTGAGCTACCATAGTCGACAACTTGAATATTGCTGTTATAACCATTCCCTGCATATGCAGGAGCCCTGTAATTGCCAGGGCCAGCACTGGAACTGGCCTCTAGAAGAGCGGGACCAGCCACCTCGCTGAAGACTGGCTTAGGTTCCTCTTCACCAGCAGGTTCAGAGCTCAAACCAGGCCTAGCTGAGCTACCATAGTCGACAACTTGAATATTGCTGTTATAACCATTCCCTGCATATGCAACCTCAGGCTCACTGACCTGAGGGTTGTTATAGTGCCCATCCATCCAACTAGCATCTTTAAAATTATAATAGCTACCAACATTGTCCTCTGGAGCACTGGTGTCATATCTAGACGCTGCATAAGCAACCTCAGGTTCACGAACCACAAGGCTGTTATAGCGTTCATCCCTTAAACTAGCATTGTCATCTTTAACCACAGCCATGTTAGGGCTGCGGTAGAAATTTGGAGCCCTGTAATTGCCAGGGCCAGCACTGGAACTGGCCTCTAGAAGAGCGGGACCAGCCACCTCGCTGAAGACTGGCTCAGGTTCCTCTTCACCAGCAGGTTCAGAGCTCAAACCAAGCCTAGCTGAGCTACCATAGTCGACAACTTGAATATTGCCGTTATAACCATTCCCTGCATATGCAGGAGCCCTGTAATTGCCAGGGCCAGCACTGGAACTGGCCTCTAGAAGAGCGGGAAGTTCAGGAGCGTTGTTAGATCTCAGTACGGGTACAACTGGTAGATAGGAGCTGCTGCCCGGGTCAGAACGGGCCCTTCTTTCCCAATACCGATAGCTAGAAGGGGGTGGCCAATGCATGAAGCGTGGAGCAGCAGTTTCTGTTTCAAAAGGAAAAACATGTTAGCACTTTACTCTATTTTATTGTAAAAATCTTAAGGCAATATCGTCTCACCTTGTTGTATAGGATGACAGGTTATGTAGCCAATAAGTATGCAGGAAATCCACAACAACCTGCAAAGAGATTTCATTTTAGATTAGGTTTAAATCTTACCAATCAATAAGCTACAAGTCAGTTGTCTACTTACATGATTTTAGTTAGAGATCCAGGTACATTCAGGATATGTATGCTGTGTGATTTCTTCAAGCAACTGTAGAGGTAAAGCATAGACAAAAGTGGTCATATTAACAATTAGGTAGCACAAAGTACAAATAAAAAAATGAAACACCCAAACCACAGTTAATACCTGCTAACTGCAACAAGTGTCTCCAACAAGCAGCTTTCCACAATGTCTTCAGAATCCAAAGAAGCTTCTTTTAAAGGATCCTCAAGGCTGTGTTAATTACTGTTTAAGTGGGAACACCTGCCAACAAGGACACCTGAGGTGTGTTCAATGTGAAAAGGTCCAGGCAGCTCCCTTTCATTGACACTACATTGTATGAATCATGAATACAAAATTGAAAAGACACAAGTGTCGGCCGGGAGCAACCTACATTTATATATTATATGTTTGTAAGTGCGGCTAAAGAATACAAATACTAAGTGTTAAAATGATTAGTTGTTGAATTGTCTTTGTTTTAATTTTGATATAATGCATCCGGAAAGACAGACTAGTCTCAATTAAATTACATATTAGATGCTGTTTGTTTGAAGCGGCATTCATTCATTCATTTATTTTGTGTGGTATTTGATGGAAAGCCTTGGTACCTTTATATAATATACAGTAGATGCCATGCTTGGTAAAGGAGATTTCATTTGCACTGACCCAAGAGAGGCAGACACTTACATCCGGTAGAAATGTAAAAAAATAAAACAAGTATATTATCCTGATTACTAACTTGGCTACACTCAAACTTGATCCACGTATGAAAAGCAATAATAGCATTTAAAACATTGAAAAGCGTGTATTAATGACATGAGTGTAGCCTACAGTAGGTTATGAATATTACATTCCTGGCATTGTATGAAGAACACGTGATTGACTGTTCTTGGGCAAATACAAATTCCATTGCATAAATAATGAGGCTTTTATTTTGAAAGATAAAAGCGGAAGTCAAGTGTGTCGGTTAAACAAATAACGGAACTGGGGATAATTGCCAGAAGTTGTTTTGTTGAAACCCGTTAAGTAAGGACGAAAGTGTTTTTATCGTAAAGATGGTTGTGTGGTTCTAGTTTTCGAGAAAAAGAAGGGTAGTCATTGTCACGACGTCTAAACTTTATTTTGCTGTGCGTCATGATTTCCAATCACAGGCCGCCGCCAAATGACCGAGGAAAAGTTATAGACCGTTACCGTCGATGCAACTAACTGGAGTTGAATGGGAACGGAGACACACTTTAAATTAGAAGATGAATTTCGGTGTCCCCGCTAATTCGCTGCTGCTTTTCCGTGCCTGCGACGAGGGGGACTATGAAACAGCCCGAGGTATCCTGGAGCCCGGAGCCCCAAAAGAGTCTGGGAGGCAGAGCAGGCTGCGGTCAGAAGTGGGGTCGGAGTGCAATACCGTGGACATGTTGTCTCTGGTACCGGTGGACTCTACAGACGAGGAGGGGAACACCGCCCTACAGTTTGCCTCAGCCAGCGGTCATGAGAACCTGGTCCGGTTTTTGCTACGAAAGGGGGCATCGGTGGATAGCCGCAACAACTACGGCTGGACCCCGCTGATGCAGGCTGCTAGGTGGGGCTGCGGGCTGGAGTTCATTACACTGTTATAAAGTCATAGGAGAAGGACTCACCAACCTTCATTAAAACTCTGGTGATCTTAAGTTTGTCATTTCATGCCGGTGTTGGTAAAAACTTCACAATACCGTGAAGACATTGTCAGGAGCCACTCTTTAATTTGTCAACTAGAAACGGCCACATTTCTTCCTTTTTTTTGGTTGCATGGAGTTTGGCGGAGCATCATGTGTTTACTATCTTATTTTTACAATTAAATAAGTTTTATTCTAATTATTCAGTTCAATTTGAATGTTTTTAGCCCTTTTCTTGGTGCATTTTGTTGTCTGATGCCAAATCGTGTTCATATCTTTACTAATCTTTTCATCATAGTGCCAAGTGTACAGTTAAGTGCACACACAAGGAACACCATTTAGTAAAGACCCTGAGATTGGGTAAAAGGGATAGATAATTAATATCTACTAGCATTGTTATTAATGCAAAAATTGCATGTGTTTGCTCCAATGGGTCACCGCAAAGGTCTGATGAACAACACCTGTCTAGCTGTCTATGTAGAGTTCTCATGTGTGTGTGCCAATCTATAAGATGCTCACATTTCCTTTAAAAATTGTGACATAACTTAATTGACATAATGAAAGTAGGACTGTGCCTTGTCAACTTCCTGAGAGTTGATTCTTAAGCTAGGAAGAAATGTTTACTTAAACCGCATTTCTTATTCTCTGTCCCTTATTCTCCACCCAGGTTTGGTCACCTGACTGTTGCCCACATCCTGTTGGAGAACGGGGCAGAGATTAACGGACGGAACCGGCTCGGTGCAAGTGTTCTGACTATGGCCGCTCGTGGGGGACACACGCATGTAGTCAAGCTACTCCTGGAGAGCGGGGCCTACGCTGATGACTACGATCATCTTGCTATTGCTGCAGAGGCAGTATCCAACGGCAACAACAACAACAGCTGCAGGTAGGGGCTGTTTATGCCAAACAAACTAAAACAAAACTACATTTAGATTACCTTTTTATAAAAAAAAATGTGTAGTCTTCAACTTTTGTTTATCAGTTTCTTCCAAACTAATGTGGCTTTCTCTTTTACAGTGGGAACGGTTTTGGAGGAAGTGAAAGCTGTCTAGGAGATGGTGGCGGTAGAGAATTCATGGACATCATAGCCTTGATGGTCGCGTCTCAGCATGGCCACGAGGCCACGGTGCGCCTGCTGCTAGAATGGGGCTCTGATGTCAACTTTTCTCAGAAGACCACTGGCTGGGGACCACTGATGGTGGCCACCCTCGGCGGGAAGGTGGGTTCAATGGATAGATAAACCAGATGGACGGATTGTGTGTGATGTGTATCTTTGGAATATCTTGATGTGTGTTTCGTAGGTGGCTGTGGCTCAGCAGCTGGTGGAGCGAGGAGCGGACCCAGACAGGATCAATGTTCTGTCCAAGACGGCCTTTGAACTAGCCATGCAGCTTAAACAGAGAGACATCAAGGCGTATCTGGACTCCATCACCACTGTGCGACCACAGACAGGTAAGGCTTCCTTCCCAGATAGTCTGAAAATGAGTTGAATTCTTGGAACGTATTTTTGTGTTTTTATTAAGTTTAATAGAGAATTTAAATCTGACTGCTCTTTTTCAACATGTTGCTGTTTTGCAATGCAATTATCACTGATGTGTGAACAATGGCAGCTGTCAGCCTCTTTGATGTTCAATAGCTTCTCACCGGCAGCTCTTAGCTCAGTTTTCCTTTCTACATACGAGCCTTTTATTTTAATTTTAAAGGACATTGCATATGATGTCGTTCTGAAACTAAACATTAACATGAGCTCACTTCTGGCTACACTGTTTGACACTTACATGTAAGCTACCAATCAATAACGATACATTTGGCTCATACTTTAATGTAAAAGCAGTGCCATTGGCAGAGCTACAAATTATAGGTAAAACATCATTTAGTGGTTTTACCCTAAATGTATTAAACAATCGTGGCAGCACTGAACATTTTAATTTTACAGCATGTTTTAAATATATCTTTAAGTGTAATGTGTTTCTTCTTTCTCTATTTTTAAAGTACACTTGTGAGTGGGGAGCTCAGCAGTGATTAATATTTATTTACATAACCCTCCTCACACACACTTACACACAGATGATGCTGAGCTATGTGGAGTCAGGCCAAGTAGAACTGTTGTTTCAGTATATCACTGACTTTCTCCACAGACGATGAGAGAAGAAGACCAGATGTGTTCAGTGCTCTCAAGTTGGGTGAGTTAAATTGAACATTCAAAGATTTATCAAAACTAAACACATTAAATTAGGATTTGTACTAAAAACATGTGTGTTTCTTTACTCAGGAAATTCACAGCTGGTCAAGGAGATCTTGGAGGAGGATCCTACTCAGGTGAACTCATCCAATCAGGAGGGAGCGTCACCTCTCATGATCGCGGCAGTGAGTGGTCAGCTAGAGGTGGTGCAGCTGATGGTGGATAAGAAGGCCGACATAGACAAACAAGACGGTGTCCATGGGTGGACCGCTTTAATGCAGGCCACCTATCATGGGTAAGAAGGAAATAATTGTAGGTAAATTGATCAAAGGTCATTTTTTTATGATTGCTGACCTTATCCTACTTTCCCACTCTTCTTTTGTGTTCTCCGTCTCCCTCCTCCTTTCAGTAATAAAGACATTGTCAAGTACCTGTTGAGTCAAGGGGCTGATGTCAACCTCCGAGCTAAGAATGGATACACAGCCTTTGATTTGGTCATGTTGCTGAACGACCCAGGTACCCCCCACTTTTATCACTTTACTCTAACACCTCTTTGAGAAAATGTGCTCTTGTTTAAAAACACTTCCCTTCCAAATAAAACGTTATAAATAGCAGAACTATTTCAAAATCATAAATCCACCATTTGTGAAAACAGCAGAACCCATTTGAAAAAATAATAGCAGGTATTTGTCTCTTTTATCAAGTAAGCTTAAGAATGTTTAGTTAGGACATAGTGTGGAGGTACTTGTGATTAAAAAAAAAAATAAAAAAAAAATGTTTTTACTCAGTGAATCCTTATTTATTTTCTCTCTTCCTATTTTGGATATTTTTAGATACAGAGTTGGTGCGTCTGTTGGCATCAGTTTGTATGCAAGTAGACAAGGACAAGTCGAAACACCGTGGCAAAGCATTAATAACTCGCTCCAAAAGCCGACAGTCCCTCAACAACGTCCCTGTGCCACCTGACGAGAAGGGAGGCCTAAAGGTAAAAGACAAGTCCTGTGAATACAAATCCAAACCATCTAACACTGATAAATTATATTAAACTAAAAATCACATTAACATGTCGGACTTCCTTCCAGTCCTGGTGGAGCCGCATGTCCAATCGGTTCCGTCGGCTTAAGTTGACTCACACCCTGAGGCACAGTCTTTCGTCCAACCGACTGGCTCCATTTCCAGACGATGCTGAAGCTTCATTGGATGCCACAATGAAGGCGGATAGGAAGCAGGCTGCTGTGTCTAATGAGGCGCTGGCATCAACTTCTGCCATGGGGGGGAACGACAACAACACTGCTTGGGCTGTCAAGAGCAAAGATTCTGGTGAGACAGAGAATAATATGAATTC